CTTTACCCGCGACTAGCGGAAGAGCCCTAGTGCTTACACGTGGATTTTTATCCAAGTGTCGGGCGCTCGTTTTACGAGTCCCCATGAGAGGCGATATTTTGTCCATATCCCTCGCAAAACATTCCTGCCTTGACAGAAGGGGTCACCCAAACCCGCTTCCTCCGTCGAGGAGAAGCCTAAATGCGTTACCACTTTTTCAAGGGTACGCACGGGATACTCAAGCTCGCTTCCTCCGTCGAGGAGAAGCCTAAGCGCGTCACCTCCTTCTCAGGGGTACGCGTAGGAGAAATCGATTCTTGCTCAAGATATTCATCTTGGCAAAGCCTTTACCCGCGACTAGCGGAAGAGCCCTAGTGCTTACACGTGGATTTTTATCCAAGTGTCGGGCGCTCGTTTTACGAGTCCCCATGAGAGGCGATATTTTGTCCATATCCCTCGCAAAACATTCCTGCCTTGACAGAAGGGGTCACCCAAACCCGCTTCCTCCGTCGAGGAGAAGCCTAAATGCGTTACCACTTTTTCAAGGGTACGCACGGGATACTCAAGCTTGCTTCCTCCGTCGAGGAGAAGTCTAAACGCGTCACCTCCTTTTCAGGGGTACGCGTGGGGAGACTTCAGCCACGCCATCGCAAAACGCAGTAGTCGGGGTCGTCAGAAGCTCGAAATTTGCCCGTTTCAGGCTCGAGCTCCACACTGGACATGTTACCCTCAAAGCTTTAGCTTTCCCTTTAGAGGGAGCGGAGGCGCCACCCATAGAAGCTGATGGCTGCGAGTTATTAGACGCCGTGGCAAAGAGAGAGAGGTGGGCAGAAAAGTGAGTCTTGGAAGAGAACCGGGTGCAACGCCGAAGCAGGTAACGCGCGGGCAAAAAACCGCTATTATGCGCCGTAACCTTAGGAGGAAAGGCGCCTTAAACGCCTTGAAACGGATAAACCTACATCGCAAATAAAGAATAAGACGAAAGAGGGGGAAGCACCGCTCGAGCAGGGAAACAAACAAACACTCGGTGAGCGCGTTCAAACAAAGGAGGAGGTGGCGCGCAGAGTCTCCTGATAGAGCAACTGTCGGGAAAATGAGAAGCTTAAACACGGCGCCTAACAAAAGCTCGGAGGGTGGCGCTCAAACAAGCAAGAGAGTTCAGAAAAGGAAAAATCTTGTAACAAAGACGGGGATGCGCCTCCCCCAATTAAAGAAAAGGCACACGATGGCGCCGCCCCTGGTTCAAAGTTTCGCAAGGGTGTCGCCTAAGAAAGATTAAGCAGAGATTACCTACGCAAGTTCCGGAAGCGCTCAGCAAATGGAAGGAACGGCACCTGAGAAAAAAATACATAATTGTAGAAACAAGGCAGAGGCGCCTCCCCCAATTGAAGAAAAGGCGAACGACGGCGCCACCCCTAGTTCAAAAATTGTAAAGGGTGGCACCTAGGAAAAACAAAGCGGAACCCACCTACGCGAGATCCGAAGGCGCCCAGCGAATGGAGGAACGACACATGAGAAAATACATAATTTTAGAAACGAGGAGGCAGAGGTGCCTCCCCCAATTGAAGAAAAGTCGAACGACGACGCCATCCCTAGTTCAAAAATTGTAAAGGGTGGCGCCTAGGAAAAACAAAGCGGAACTCACCTATGCGAGATCCGAAGGCGCCCAGCGGATGGAAGGAGTGTTGCCTGAGAAGGGCCAATAATTCATAGACAAGGGCGGAGGCGCCTCCCATGATTGAAGAGGAGGACACATGGCGAACGACGGCGCCACCCCTAGTTCAAAAATTGTAAAGGGTGGCGCCTAGGAAAAACAAAGCGGAACTCACCTATGCGAGATCCGAAGGCGCCTAGCGGATGGAAGGAGCGTTGCCTGAAAAGGACAAATAATTTTAAAGACAAGGGCGCGAAGGCGCCTCCCCCGATTGTAAAGGGTGACGCCTAGGAAAAACAAAGCGGAACTCACCTACGCGAGATCCGAAAGCGCCCAGCGGATGGAAGGAGCGTTGCCTGAAAAGGGCCAACAATTTATAGACAAGGGCGCGGAGGCGCCTCCCATGATTGAAGAGGAGGACACATGGCGAACGACGGCGCCACCCCTAGTTCAAAAATTGTAAAGGGTGGCGCCTAGAAAAAACAAAGCGGAACTCACCTATGCGAGATCCGAAGGCGCCTAGCGGATGGAAGGAGCGTTGCCTGAAAAGGACAAATAATTTTAAAGACAAGGGCGCGAAGACGCCTCCCCCGATTGTAAAGGGTGGCGCCTAGAAAAAACAAAGCGGAACTCACCTACGCGAGATCCGAAAGCGCCCAGCGGATGGAAGGAGCGTTGCCTGAAAAGGGCCAACAATTTATAGACAAGGGCGCGGAGGCGCCTCCCCCGATTGAAGAGGAGGACACATGGCGAACGACGGCGCCACCCCTAGTTCAAAAATTGTAAAGGGTGGCGCCTAGGAAAAACAAAGCGGAACTCACCTACGCGAGATCCGAAGGCGCCTAGCGGATGGAAGGAGCGTTGCCTGAAAAGGATCAATAATTTTAGAGACAAGGGCGCAGAGGCGTCTCCCCCGATTGAAGAAGAGGACACACGGCATCGCAATCCCTAATTCAAAAATTGTAAAGGGTGGCGCCTAGGAAGGGAGAGTAGCGCTTGCAAAAAAATTAGGCACGAAATAAGCTACCTGAAGCAAGGGGGTAGCATCGGCAAAGGAGTGAGTCTCCAGGCACTCAACTGAAGGTTAGACACCTTGCTGAAGGAGTAAGGTGTCAGGCGCCCAACTAAATGTCAGACACCTCGACAAAGGAGCAAGTCTCCATGTGCCTCACTGAAGGTTAGGCACCTCGCCGAAGGAGTGAGGTGTCAGGCGCTTCACTGAAGGTTAGACACCTCGTTGAAGGAGTGCGGTGCCAGGCGCCTCGCTGAAGGAGTGAGGTGACAGGCGCCCAACTAAATGTCAACACCTAGGCAAAGGAGCGAGTCGCTAGGCACCTCACCAAAGGAGTGAGGTGTCAGCCGCCGTATCAAAGGTCAGGCATCTCGACAAAGGAGCGAGTCACCAGGTGCCCCACTGAAGGTCAGGCACCTCGTCGAAGTAGTGTGGTGTCAGGCGCCCAACTGAAGGTCAGGCACCTCGGATAATACTTGGAGAAGGTCTACAAGAAAAGTAGTGACACTGAAGGTCAGGCACCTCGCTGAAGGAGTGAGGTGCCAGGCGCCCAACTGAAGGTCAGAGACCTTGGCAAATGAGCGAGTCGCCAGTCACCTCGTTGACTTTGTGTCTTAAGGTAACAAACGACAAGCTGGATGACAAATGCTTATCAAAGACATAAGCGAAGGAGTGAGGCGCCAGACACCCCACTGAAGACCCAAGACATAGGGGCAAAACCCTAGAAGACTTACATCATCAGAAGAAGAAGACAAGGTTAAGAGACAAGAACAAGGGACAAAGCCAGGCACCTAACATCAGCAAAGACAGAGTATGAGGGGACACCCTCTGCCAAAAAGTACAATGTACAGTGTCAGAAGAGGACAGACTGGTTTGACGATACCGCAATACTTGCGCTATCGCCAAAAGGGGCAATTGATAGGGTACATTAGCAATCCCCAAGGCAAGAGCCTAGTTAATGACATAATGAAGAAAAGAAGACAAAGGGGAAAAGACAAGGCCAAGAGACAAGGAGACAAGTCCAGGCACCTTACATCAGCAAGGACTAGGGGCAGGGGGACACCCCCTGCCAAAAGTACAATGTACAGTGTCAGAGAGTCTGAGGCGCCCGACCACTGCATTTATGGCCTGGCAGGCGCCCAGACCACGACCTAACCCCCAAATGTGTATAAATAGGAGTTCTCTCCTCATAAATGGCAATCTATCTACTCTTACTCTAACTTCTCTCTACTTTCTCTCTCTATATACTTCTTCTCTTTTTCTACTTCGGACGAGGCGGGGCGCCTACCCCCTCAAGGTCATGGCTGACACCCCAAACCCCTTGGACCCGAGCGACCCCCAGTCGATTGGGCTCAAACAGGAACCTATTGGTTTACGACACTTTTCATAGAATTATGATGAAGTGTTATTGTAAATTCGATCTTAAATACATGAAATAGTCTTTGACATTGTTATACAAGTGGAAACGAGTTGAGTGTTTGAAATAATCATTGACAAAGTTTAAAATCCAAATTATTGACCTAAAATCAAAGCTCTTGTACTTCAACTATTCAATCACATGATCTCTTCCTTCCTGTGTAACACAAATGTTGTCACTCTCTAGTCTCTACAATCTAGTTCTCTCCATCCAAATTGATGAGTCAAGCATTTCAAATGATCGTCAACAATGTTAAATAAGTCCAAGCTAACTCTTGTACCCTAACTATTCATTTACAGGATCTCCTCTTTCGTAACACATATGTTGTCACTCTTTTGAGAGGGAGGGGGGTACAATGACTGACTTGATTTTGCAACCATACAATCCATTTCGATCATCCCAATGTACTAAATTTTATCTCATAAAGGATACTAATTACATTTTATCTCACATTCAATGGCATCTTAACTTATATGTTAAAAAACGATTCTGATGTGATTCGATTTAAGCAAATTTGAGATTAAATGAATATCTCCTTTTTCACCTAACGATGTATTAAGAAAATGGATTATGAGATCTCTGTTATTCATTCCCATCACAATCTGGCATTCTAATTAGCTTGTTTAAGGATGGATTATATATCTTTGTTTGTTGGTTCCCATCTTATTATTAATATTCCCCTTTTCATCTACCTCCCTTGATAACATCAGCATCTACTACTATGCTTACAATTATTTATTCATTGCATTTTGGTCTGTTACATCTTAGTCTTACACTAACATGACAGGAGACCCACAAACATATGTGGTGGGTCCCATCCCACTGCTCCCCCACAATATAATCAGAGCCCCCAATTTTTGCATTAATTTTCATTTATTATTGTAATTGAAATAAATATTGTCACTAAAATCCAAAAATCAAAATCACAAGGGAAAATGAAATGAAAGAAGGAAGAAGAAAGAAAAATGGAAACATTTTGCTCTGTGCTTTCCCTTCTCTCTCTTCTGCTTCTTCTTCCTCCTCCTCTCATCTTCTGCTTCCCCTGAAACCTTCACTCTCTCTCTTCTTTCATCCTTGTTCTTACCAGTAGGGTTTTTTTTTCCTCCACCGTTTCAAATCACATCTCCCAAATCCTTCTCGGCTGCGGGTGGAAAATGGAGCTTCTACTCTTCTCCCCATTTCCATCACCTTCAGTGGTTTCTTTTTTCTAGTGGTTATGTGGTCTGATGTGGGTTTATCATCTTCTGAGCTTCATTTCAGCTGGTGAGTCCTTCTGGGATTTCTGATTGGTTATCTGTGTGGGTTTTTGGTTGTTTCACTGTTCGATCCGCATTTTCTCTATCTGTGAAAGTACATAGCTTGTTTAAGCGGTGGGGGAGCGGTTTAAGATTTGGATTGAGTTGTTCTTTGCTTTCCCCTTTTTGTTTTTGGCTTGTCCATCAGCTCATCGTAAACCGTAAATGCTTTGAGCTCTCCCAGCTCCATTTTTGTACATGAAATGAGTCACCTTTTGAAGTATGTTTTCTGCTTTTGATGAGGCCAAGGCACAATAGTGGTGAAATGTTCTGTTTTTAAATCTTCATTTCTCTTATTGAGTGCAGGAAAAAGTGGTTCCTGAATTGAGTTGTACTGTTTAAATCTTGATGAAACTTCAGGGCTAGCTTAATGTTGCATTCCGTCTCAGGTGAGTGGGAAAGCTCCAAGATTTGGATCTAGGAGTTCTGCTAGATTCTTCCGAGATCGTTGAATAATTGTTCTGCTGAGTAGTGCTATCTACAAGTACTTTTTCCAGATTTTTTGTAAGATATGGGGTCGTATTCAGGCACTTCTGAGATCGTCGAAGCTCGAGAAGATTTGGATTCTGCACAGCATTCTAGCAAAGGAGCTTATCCGTATCGATGTCACTCTGGCTTAAGTTTAGGTAGCATGGATCGGAGAAAGCCTCCAGCTTTGAAGCTGGGAGACAAGGATTCACTGGAGGATGAAATCAACCAGCTGTTTGAGGCCATCAGTCTAAAGAATGCTTCCAAAGGTTTGGGAGTTTCAACTCAACCCAGCACAAGCTCGTCTAGCCCTCTGAATCGGAATGCAATGATGAAGAGGCCTATGGTTAGTAGTGTTTCCAATTCCCCACGTGTCAGTAGCTCGGAAGGTGTGTCTCTGAAGCAGGCATTGAGGGACCTTTGTCTCTCCAAGGCATCAGAAATGGCTGCCATGAAAAGGGTTTCGAAATCGGCTACTGCTGCTGCCTCCCCTGGAGGAGCCTCGGAGGCTGGCAGGATCAAGAACTTGTACAATTCGGTGTTGGTCGAGAGCAAGAAGGCGGGTGAGGTTACTCGAGATGTCGGTAAAGGGACAACAATGGTTGAGATATCCCTTGTTCCAGAAGAGAGCAGCGGCAAGAAGAAGATGCTGCACCTCGAGATCCCTAAGATGAGATCTCTGAACCCGAGTGCTCAATCGTCTCCACGGCTACAAGCATTGAAGTCACCAGCTAATCTAAGTGCCCAATGTTCTCCTCGATTCATAGCACCACCGATGAAGCCAGTTCAGAATGAGATTCAGATGGAATCTAAGAAAGGTGGAAGCCAAACCACATTCTCATCTCCTAGAATGGCTGATCAGAAGAAAGTACAAATGGCTTCTGCGACTAGAAAAGTTGGCAGTCAAGCATTGAAGTCACCTTCCGAGAGTACTCATTCTTCTCCTCGGTTGCCTCCTTCCATAACAAAGGGTTCGAATAAGAACAATTCCTCAAGTAATGGTACTATTACTTCTGGACCAAAAAGATTGGGCGCTCAAGCAATGAAAACCGAGAAGGTGCAAATGGAGAAGAAGGTTATGACACTTGCAGATTCCATATCCTGTCCCGATTCTCCTGACAACTCTCCAAAGGTAGCAGCAGTAAAGCCTCCTGCCTCAACCAAATCGACAGTGAAAGTTTCTCCACCAAAAACAGGTCGCAAAGGCAGTACTAAGAGCACAAAACATGTTAAAACAGTGATAAGAAGCAAGAGCAGCACCATTAAGAAGAAGAAAAAGCAGGGTGCAAATTCTGCATCCTCAGTTTCTAATGAAGGCGATGGCAATTTGCTTCCAGTCCAAACTCCAATGGTTTGCCAGAAATGTCAATGTGCACTAAGTAGTAATGCAAATGAAGAACCAGTTCAGCAAAACCCGGCTCCCATCTCTGCCGAGATAACCTCCTACAATAAACAAAACCCAGTTGAGAAGATGAAGAGTTCAAAACGAGAGAAAGGCGAATTCTCTCAGAGCTCGAAAAGCAGTTTGGGAGATTACAGCACTAGCACAAGCAACAGTGAGGAGAGCAATGCCAGCAGATTCAGCAGCTGCTGCAACAGGCCACACATGTCGAAGGATGTCCGGTGGCAAGCTGTTCGGCATGTCAAGACAAGAGATAGAGTGCTGACATTGGCTCACTTCAATCTGTTGAAGAAGCTCGGTTGTGGAGATATAGGGACGGTGTATCTGGCCGAGCTCATAGGTACGAACTGCCTGTTCGCAATCAAGGTGATGGATAACGAGTTCCTGGCAAGGAGGAAGAAACTGCCAAGAGCACAGACAGAGAGAGAGATACTGAGGATGTTGGACCATCCCTTTCTTCCCACGCTTTATGCACAGTTCACTTCTGATAATTTATCGTGCTTGGTGATGGAATTCTGCCCTGGTGGGGATCTTCATGTGCTTAGACAGAAGCAGCTTGGGAGGTGCTTCCCTGAGCCAGCAGCCAGGTGAGCTTACTTTATGATAACATACTTCCATTTCTCAACTCCTAGAAAAATGCTTCACTCATCAAAAGCCTCCAAGTAGCCTCCTCTACGAGAACCTGATGCTAAATTTAACTAAATTCATGACATGATGATTTCTCTTTGATCTAATGATCTCCATTGTTCGATGCAGGTTCTACGTTGCTGAAGTCCTCCTAGCTCTAGAGTACCTCCACATGCTCGGAGTCGTCTACCGAGACTTGAAACCCGAAAACATCCTCGTACGTGAAGATGGCCACATCATGCTCACAGACTTCGACCTCTCATTACGATGCAACGTGAGCCCAACTCTCCTCCAATCATCATCATCATCATCATCATCAACTGCTCTCACTGATCCCCCGAGAATCTCCGGCCCATGCACATCTTCCTCCTGCATTGACCCATTCTGTATTGAGCCATCCTGCCGTGTCGTGTCCTGCTTCTCTCCCCGACTCCTTCCCCCACGAAACGCCGCCAAAGCCAAAGTGAGAGCCGAGCTCCTCCTTCGATCAACCCTCCCACAGCTTGTGGCAGAGCCCACTGATGCTCGGTCAAACTCGTTCGTTGGAACCCATGAGTACTTAGCACCGGAGATCATCAAGGGAGACGGCCATGGTGCAGCAGTCGACTGGTGGACTTTCGGCGTGTTCCTATACGAGCTTCTCTACGGGCGAACACCTTTCAAAGGCGCGGGCAACGAGGAAACATTAGCAAATGTAGTGTTGCAAGGGTTGAGGTTTCCTGACAGCCCACTGGTGAGCTTCCATGCGAGGGATCTCATTCGAAGGCTGCTGGTGAAGGAGCCTGAGGGGAGACTAGGGACCGAGAAAGGTGCAGCGGAGATCAAGCAGCATCCTTTCTTCGAAGGATTGAATTGGGCGCTCATACGCTGCGCTGTTCCCCCCGAGCTGCCTGATAATTGGTATGATCATCACAGCAGTGGTGGTGGTGGCGGCGGGTATGAAGGTGGTGATGGTGATCAGTACTTGGAGTGTAAAGCCACAGGCGAACACCTCGAGTTCGAGCTGTTCTGAAATGTTTTACTATGGTAATATTTTATTTTGCACGAATTAGTGTTACTGTTAAGGAAGTCGAGTAAATGGAGGGAAATGGGAAGGGGTGAGATTGTTCTCTGGAAGTGGAAATCCAGATTTTGCTAACTGCGAAAAAGCAGAGTTTTTATATAAATCAGCAGCTTCGCTTTTGTGTATAACTGGTTTGCTCTGTTCTAGTAGTCTTTCACCTCAAACTACAATTTTACTGACGATGGGAGAAATCACCATTGATATCCTTTTTGGCTAATGGCTTGTCATAGATTCCATTCCTCAACTTCCATTTGAGACCCACTAAGCCATCCACGCTTGTGTTGAGTAGTGCTTGGCATCATTGCTCAACACCTTTTATCATCACCATAAGTCCATAACTTACTACCACATTTGATCCATAATCCGAACAGAGAGAGGACTTGTCTTCTCACTAAACAAAATCATGGTTTGAGCGCAATCTAAGCGTAAGCTCGAAAACAATGGCAACCGAAAGTTTGATACAAAACAGAGTGCCTTCTCGTGTATAATGTGACCTGCTACTTTCGTCCCAATATAGACATAAAACCCTTTGTCCACTTCCCCAAGTTTCTCTTTGCAGCCATCTTGAGGCTTTCTAAGAACAAGAAGGAATCGTCTGTCACTTCCTTGAAGATAAACATCACTCACACAACATATGAACATCCCACTTTTGGATGGTTAGCCTAATACATACACTCAATTTTGGTGGCAGAGGACAAAAAGACTTCATAAAGTGATGTGCTTTATGCGGTGCCAAACATGTTTCCAGGCTTCCCTCCCTCCCGTAATCATAACCCACAAGAAGATTTTGGGGGAAAAGATAGAAAAAAGGAAAGTTGGAAACAGGAAGTGGGTTAACGGCTTCCCTTGCGAATGTTGCTTTTGCTCCCCGCTTCTCCCTCCTTAAATCCCCCTTCCCTTTCTCTCGGCCATAATCTCTCAGAGAGAAAACACACGCGCACTGGAAAACAGCTTACTTACTAGGAACAACAAACAACAAAGAAAATATTTTCTTTGGTTCAGGGAAAGAAGAAGAAGAAGAAGAACCCAGGAAAGAAAATGGGTGTTGAATGGGGAGCTAGACTTCTGGTTCTAGCTTTGCTTTCTTCAATGGCTTTTGCTGATCCTCTGGTTCCAACGTTTATCATCTTCGGGGACTCGGTTTCTGATGTGGGAAACAACAACAATATCACTACTCCAATCAAGGCAAACTTCCTTCCTTATGGAAGGGATTTTGTCACTCACAGACCAACTGGGAGGTTCTGCAATGGGAGGCTGGCTGTAGACTTTACTGGTAAAAAAGATCTTCACTTTTCTTTTCCCCTGTCAACAACTTTAATTCTGCCTCTTGAATCTAATTCTCATGAAAAATTGTTCTGGTCTTGGTTTCTGCAGCCGAGTATTTGGGTTTTGACACATACCCACCACCCTATCTAAGCCAAGAAGGTAGAGGAGGAAATGTTCAGAATGGAGTCAATTTTGCTTCAGCCGGGTCGGGACTGTTTGATCTCACAGCAGTGACTTATGTAAACTTCTCAAAACTCTTTCATCAGGCAGACTAACTCTGGGTATAACTCATAGGGTATTACTAACTTCCTTTCTTGTTGGATTTCTACAGGGGGCCATTCCATTAACACGACAGCTGAACAACTACAGGGAATACCGGAGAAGAGTGGAGAACACAGTGGGAAGCGAAAAAGCAAACGAGACGTTCTCTAAGGGGATCCATCTACTCAGTTCAGGAACTAGTGACTTCGTTCAGAACTACTACATCAACCCAGTTCTAAGGGGACTCTATATCACACCCGATCGGTTCTCCGACCGGCTCATGAGATCTTACTCTACTTTCATTGAGGTGTAGTATTAAGTAAATTCGAGTTCAGCTAGATCCGTTTGCTCTTACAGCTTGTACTAATGAGAAAATTTGGTAAAACTGAGACAGAACCTGTATAGGCTTGGAGCCAGAAGGATTGGAGTGACGAGCCTGCCACCGACTGGGTGTTTGCCTGCAGCCATCACTCTCTTTGGTCTTGGGAGCAACAATTGCGTCGAGAGATTGAACCGTGATGCCAGTTCCTTCAACCAGAAGCTGAACGCAACTTCTCAGGGTCTTGTTGCACGATACCCTGACCTTAAACTTGTCGTCTTCGATATTTACAAGCCCCTCATGGACATGATCAACAAGCCCAGCGACAGTGGTAAAAAAGATCTTCCACACTATTGTAATAAGTAAAAAACTGCCTGTTAGTTTCACACAAAACTTGACCCTCAAGATTCCTTCTATTGGCTGATTCTATTGGCAGGGTTCTTTGAGGCGAGAAAGGCTTGCTGTGGGACGGGTACCCTAGAGACCTCGTTGCTATGCAATGCGAGATCTCTAGGTACGTGTTCTAATGCCACGTCGTATGTGTTTTGGGATGGATTCCATCCCTCTGAAGCTGCTAATGAGGTCATCGCACAAGATCTGCTGGAAGCAGGATTCTCCCTCATATCATGAATCACTCCAGATGTCCTACCACAGCTGCAAAATCTACACCCTGAAGATGCATGTACTTTATAAGAAAAGGCCTTTGGTTTGTTGCTAATAGTAATCAGTGCTAGCTTCTAGCTTTTCTTTTAGTACATTTATGCATTGCTTGAATAAAAAGATCATGGTTGTCTATGACAAGTTGGCAATTCATTCAAGCTATTGAGCTTCAAAGGTTACCTGAATATGATTGAGTTGAAGCCTGAAAAATTCCTAGGAAAGCTCGAATCCTGTGTTGGAACTGATAGCATAAAGAAGTTTTGCTCGCAAAGTACTGGCCCTTTTGTACGTTGGCAACTGTAACCATCAAAATCAAAGCAAATAAGAAACACAAACATGAAAAGAAAAAAAAAATCCCACAGGTAGCAGATATTCCATTCAAGACAACCTTTAGAGTATTGTAGCAAGTTGAAGCAGATGGGAGCCTTTCCACGTCCTGTCCTCCAATGGTTGCCCATATGGAAGAATCACAACTGACCTATACGATATTAAATCCCTCGTTCAGAATTTTTATTAGAAAGTAGATATGGTTTCTGAATGAAGAGTGAATGAAGGGTCATGCCTTGTGAATAGTAAAGGAAGGATGTAGGTGTTTGAACCCAAGCAATGGAGCACGAGAACAGCTAGTGACAAATTTAAGCAGCAAACAACGTTCACTTGGTTGAAACCCTTTCACCACCTGAACGAAGACAAAATAAGTCGCCCAACATGATCAACAGATGAAAATTTCTCCTGTTCAGAAGTAGTCCAAAAACCATGAAAATATTGTAATACCTCCCAAAAAAGTTTGATTGTTCGACTTCCATCTGCATAGCCACCTGTATATCGTGTGTTCTTTCTTAGATCATCGATATCAATATCAAGGTCACCACCTGAAAGTAACTGAATAAATATATCTCAGTTAGGACTTGATTAATCGAACACTGACAAGCTGTTTTGCATAAGGCTGCTTACCTGATTGAATTCACTTGCATTAAATAGCTTCAACCAAGATGGTGATATGAGATCAGTTAAACCCCTATAGAAGGCATGTGAAAAGGGGAAGATCTGCAAAATCAACGAATAAGAACAATCACAAAAGGACAGACAATTTGCGAGTTCATAAAGTGTTATCTAAGTTCAGAAAGCGAAGGAACTTGTTTTAAGGACCTGTCTGTTGAGCTTATAATCTGCCATTGCATGAACATATTGCATCTTGTTCTCATTGGTCACTGAAATGTCTTTGCCACCAGGTTTAAGCTCGACAACATGTCTTTTACCAAATGATTCTTCTGTAACTGTGAAGTCCAGCAAGAGTTCCTTAACATCACCATCATAATGCTGCAGTAAAATCTAATGGTGTCAAGATTTGTGAATTCTTTTTCTCATCCAATCAGGCAACTACCAATTTAAATCACAAACAGAATAAAACAATGCTAATTGCAGTTGACGAGTGAAGAAAAATTACCTTCAGGTACATTAGATTGCGGTACAGCTCTTGGTCAAGTGTTGATAATTCATCCAGAAAGCTATATCTTCCTAACAGCTTTTGCACAAAAACGTGTGCAAATGAGTAATCTAGTAATATTCCTTCATACAGAGCTTTCCCAACAACTCTTCCAAGGAATTCCATCATCTGGATGCCATTTTCCAAGTATCTAGCAGCTGGGTTCGGAACTAGAAGTCTGTCTGAGGTTGAGGTTTGGGAAAACAAACCATACCTGCAGGAAATAATATGATGACAAAGACCACGAACCAGTGTTAAGATACATTCAGTAAATAAATAAAAAATACTACAGAGTACCATGAGAAACTTATTGACTCACTCTGGAGAAAATGCTGCTTTTGAGATATCAGTCAGAAATTCCTTGGATAATCCACCATAGTCCAATCCTGCCTCTGGAAGCCCGCATTCACTAACAAATGAAACATGAATGGACGATTTCAACTTAGGTCCGAGAGAATTGAGTTGACGAAATCCATCTTCGACAATACGATCTCGACGAACTACAATCTCAACTGTTCGTGAACCAGGTTCAGAGACATCCCCAGCCATTCTCCGGGATACTTTATCCATGTTGACAAATTCCCTGAACATCTGGACTCTGCCAATTAGATGTCAAGAACATCTTCAGAATGGAAAGACAGAAACTAAAGTACCAACTTACCTAAATAAAGTAACCTAATTTCCGAAGTATGCAATTCAGTGAGGAACTGACCGAATTGAATATACAGTTCTTTAAAGGGAGATAAGGGAAGATGGAGATGCATTACCGTGAATAGAAAACCAAGAAATCAAAGTGAACAATCCATCAGGATATCTAGAGACCTTAAAAAATTATGATTCTTTGCCAAATTGCATCAAGTCGAGAATCCCAGTGTCTATATCAAGAAGATGAGTAGCAGTAAGGAGTGAAGAAGCAAAGTTAACAAGACCATACATGGAAATTCATTAAAAAAAAAACAAGCCCGTGCTTGGAATTATCAGGAAAGAGCCAAAGCCTACCTTTCTTCAAATGGATATATGTGTGGAGTAACAGTTACCACTGAATTAAGAACCGGACTTGTCACTGTATCATCCGACTTTACATTTGTCAGCATAATCTCATGTGTTCGAGCAGCAACAGCGATAGGAGGCCGGGTTTTTTTGGCTGGCGAAAGCCACAAAGCAGGAGGGCAAAACTGATGTCTGCAGTCACGTTCATACAATAAATGCAGACATCTCACTGCAGAATCAATTAAGGGTTTATTTTGCCGGAAGTTATTATTGGCCAAAGAGTTGTAAACAAATGTGTTCAATGCTGATGTAATTCTTCGTTGTTGCTCCAGCAAGAACGGAACCTATGATACATAAGAAATATGTAAGTAACAATCTAGAATACTCAATTTTCAGGTAAAAGGGAGAATAAGCTTGTTACCTGTTTCTCATAGAAATCAATATCGTCAAGAACTAATAGCAAGTGGGAATAGGTAGCACAGAACAAATGAAGTAGACATGACAGATCTCTGGAAACTTTTTCTGGGCCATATTTCAGAGTTTCTACGTTCCAAATATCATCTACTTCCTCAGTGACTTGCACACTAGGTTGTCCATTGCCTGAAGACACAACGCCAGACTTACTTGTCATTCTATTCAGTACGTTACCCCACTTACTTCCTGCATCCTTACTTGCGGGTTTCTGTTTTTTCTCAAGGACCTGATATTTTGAGTGCCTTGAAGTTTCGCTACTATACGCATCATCCCGCTTAGACATCTGACCTTGAAAGAGTGAGCTTTCCAGTACTTCCCATAGACTGACTAGATATCCAGGAGTAAATGACAGCATATTGAGAACTGGCAAAGCCCCCGTGGGATTCATGAACGAGAAGATTCTGAGCATGTAGGAATATAAATACGCGATATCAATTAGCTCCAACGTCCTTGAGAAATTTGGACTTGGAGATGCCGAACCCTCTTTTGTAATAGAAAGAAGCTTTTTTAGGTGCCACTGCTGGAAAATAGGCCTGAGTAGCTCCACATATGACATAATAAGGGTATGCACAGCCTCATTCTCATGAAAAACTTTTACATGCTTGACTGAAGTTTCAGCATTGACTTGAGAATCTTGATGCTCGGTCCAACCACCATCGCTAAACCATTGCAGCAGGTTCTCAGAAAGAATGGCAACTATACGTACATAGGATGCATAGTCTGCGTCCTGAAATAGCCCTCCTGGACCTGTGAAGTCATTCTCGGTGCTAGCAGCTAGACAAACTATGTTAGCAAGAAGCCAGGCCACAGGTGGAATGACCTGGGCAGAATGTGGTACCTTCAAGTAATCCAGCCTTGCCATCTCAGAGAGAATATCTTCTCTCAAAATCTGTCATAATCTGCCATAGTTTGATCAGTTTTTGCACATGTTGAATTAAAAGTAGTTTGCGAAATTCAATCTTAGGCTTATCTAAGTATAAATTGGAAATACTTTCAGGCATGATTGTACTGCATTGATATTGCTGTATGCAGTTTGAGAGTTTGTGGCCTTGCGCATTCCTAGAGCTAAGTGGATCTATTAGAAACCAGCTGGTAACTTCAATGAATCATCAATCAGAGAGACATTACAAGAAATTGTGTGACTACAAAGTTTGAAATCAGCTTCTATGCAAGTTCAATGATTCTTACCAGCATTGTCTTGAGGCATGGTGAGAGTACAGTCTTGTGCTTCACAGCTGGCAGAAGCACAGCCGGTAAACGTTCAGCAAGCCAGGGAACAGTAAGGAGAGACAAACAATAATGCATGACAGCAGATTGCATTTCCACCAAGACAGAGCCATGAGAATCTGAATGGAGAGCATGGAAAGGACGTAGAGCTAAAGTTACTGAACTAGCAGTGACCAGAAACAGATCATCTGTCTGAGAAGCCATCCTTTTCTTTCGGGAAGGAGAGGAAATCTCTAATCTCTCCACGTATCTCCTTAGGGATCGATAAAAGCCACTTTCCAGACCACCGATGAACCTAACCAAATCCTTCACTGCACTATCAGCATCCTCAGGACGACCAATCGCAATACTTCTCCATGCATTCAGATCAGTTAAGACAACAAGAAGACGCATCCCCAGAGAGGCTAGAACAATTACATCTCGTCCCTCTGCATGATCTTTATCACATTTCGAAAGGACAAATGAGCATATTGAGATCAACTTTCTTGATTGGTAAGTCCATGTTCTTCGTTCTTCGAGTGTACCGAATGCCAAGGAGCAAAAATTCTTTTTAGAATCTACCCTTCAAACAAGATCCACTTGTCAGCTGCTTAGAAAAACACAAGCATATTTATTCTATCACAAAGAATTCGGAACTCATAGATATGAAACAGCTTAAACAAGCAAATATCCGGAACAACACCATACCAGTAGAATTCACGCTTTCCAGCAAGATCTTAAAGCAAGTTTGAATGCAACTCGTATCAACAGACTTAATCTTTTGATGACGAGTGGATAAAAGCTCGACAAAGAAAAGAAATGGTCTTAAAACACTGCCAGAAATCCAACCAGCAGACACTGAGCCATCATGATTATTCGCCACAGCTTCTTCCCATTCCCCTTGTAGTTGCAATGCAGTCTTCTTCGACACATTATACCGCCTCCAGACTCTCTGGAGCAAATAAAAAGAAACTCTTCAATCCCCATCGCATAATATGCTGACCAATAACAGAAGTTAAATTATACAATTTCAACAGTTAAAGAAAACATCCCCAAAAGATCAACCTGTATGAAGATAGCAGCAGCAGAAGCACGCCTCGCGTAATTGCGGAGCTCTCTTTCCTGGGAGACCTTCTCGAGCAGGGCATCCCGAGATATCTCTCTCGCACTTGCTCCCCTCAAGGACACCTGAAAGTTTACGAACCCCGGAAATTACTTCGCCTATTCCAATGACATCCCACTACTCGAAATGCCCCAAAGTTTCCAACTTTTCGAACCAATCTTCAAATATAAACTCACAAGGGAGCTAATCGGTGGCAATTTCGGATAGATCGCGAGAGAGAAAAACGGGAAGAAAGAGGGGAAGGGAAACCTGATGCTTGCGAGCCTCGTCCATGGTGCTGAGAGAAACAGGCGACCAAGCAGATGACGGAGCTCGGAGATACGAGACTGTCGTCGATGATTTGCTGCGTAGGCGTCTTTTTCCCCAAACCAAATTTTGCTGACAATGGAATTCGACAGACGGCAGTCCTATTTACTGATTGTTTACATAGGAGGGTCAATTACAATATAAGTCACTTACTTTATTTTTATTACCAATCAATTATTGAATTTTGAAGGCAAAACTTGAGGAATGGATGACAAAGTAAATATTTTGTTTGCTATTACAAACTTCAGTGGTAATTTTGTTACAGAAAATGTTCAGTGACCATAACGTTTAGGTATCATTCTGTAGTTGACCCTTCTTCCAGAGGATAAGTTTTCGGCGGGGCGGCGGCGACAGTTAAAATGAAGAGACCTCAAAATTTTGCCGCCTCCACTTCGCAGGGAAGGATTCGCAAGTTCGGCGAATTGCACACTGCTGGAGAGAGGAGATGCCATGATTCAGTCCTCCGCCGCCGCTATTATCTTGCCGTGCTTTCCAACCCAATCCCCCTTCCACTTCCCTTCTAAGCCAGCGAGAGGAGGACACGTTGCGCCGCCGTTCATTTCTAACCCTTCCGGCGCGCTCCATGTCCGTTGCCGTTCCACATCCTCTGTTCAGGCCAGATTACCCGAGGAAGCTTCTTCAGTGCGTAAACATAATCAAGGTATCGAGCCGAATTTCCACCCTTTTCGGTCCTCGAACAGCAGCAGTACAGAGCGTGGTGATGATGATGATGATGATGATGCCGATTCCTTCGTCGACGTGGACAATTTGCTCTACTTGCTTCGGTTCTCCACCAAATACTCCGATGTCGAACTTGTAAGAGCGGTGCACGCTTCAATTCTCAAGATTGAAGAAGACACTCATCTGGGAAACGTTCTAATCGGAGCTTACCTCAAGCTGGGCCTTGTTCTCGACGCGTATCAGGTATTCAAGAACCTTTCCGAGCCCAACGTAGTGTCTTACAGCAGTCTGATTTCCGGTTTCGCGAAATCGAATCGAGAATTTGAAGCTGCTGAGCTCTTCTTTAGGATGAGAAGTTCAGGGGTTGAGCCCAATGAATACAGTTTCGTTGCTATACTAACGGCCTGTATGAGGGCTTCGAGATTTGAATTGGGTTGCCAAGTTCATGCTCTGGGAATCAAGATGGGGTTCACGGACTATGTCTTCGTTGCAAATGCGTTGATGGCATTGTATGGAAAGTCCGGCGGGTGTTTGGATTCTGCAATCCAACTGTTCGAAGAAATGCCTGAGAGAGATATCACGTCGTGGAATACAGTGATTTCGAGTTTGGTAGATGGGTCATTGTACGAAAAAGCATTGAAATTTGGTCGTGATTTGGTCAAGATAGACGAGTTTAGAGTTGACGAACTCACCCTTTTGACTCTACTGACTGCCTGCACCGGCTGCCATGCTGTCAAACAAGGTAAGGAGATTCACGGCCACGCCACAAGACTCGGGTTAGCAACAAGTCTAAGTCTTTGCAACGCCATGATTGGATTTTACAGCAAGTGTGGAACTATAGAAAATGCTTTGACTGTATTTGACACGATGCAAATCAGAGATGTTATCACTTGGACGCAGTTGATCAGCGCATACATGGAATTTGGTCTCGTGGATTCAGCCGTGAAGACTTTCGAGAAAATGCCTGAGAGAAACGCCATCTCTTACAACGCCATTTTAGCAGGGTTTTCCCACAACTCCCAAGGGCTGAATGCACTGAACTTCTTCACAATGATGGTGCGTAATGGTGTAGAGCTCTCTGATTTCAGTCTAACCAGCGTTATCACTGCATGTGGGCTGCTGGCTGATCTGGAAACCAGCAGGCAAATCCATGGTTTCGTCACAAAGTTTGGTTATGGTTCGAATGCTCACATCGAAGCGTCTTTGCTCGATATGTACACTAGGTGTGGAAGAATGAGAGATGCAGAGATATTGTACAGCACCCAGAACAATCCCATTGCTCTAACCTCGATGATGAGTGGGTATGCTCGAAATGGACAGCCAGACGAGGCGATTTCTCACTTCCATCGAAGTCTATCAGAAGGCAAGCTAGCTATGGACGAAGCGGCATTGACCACAGCACTGGGAGTCTGTGGAGCTCTAGGCTTTCGGGAACTTGGGAAACAAATCCATTCTTTTGTCGTTAAAGCAGGCTTTGAAGCTGATGTAGGCGTGGGGAACTCTTTGGTGAGCATGTACTCCAAGTGCGGCGAAATGGATGAAGCGATCAAATCATTCGATGCAATGTCTGCTCGTGATGTAGTTTCTTGGAATAGTTTGATTGCAGGCCATGTTCTTCACAGAGAAGGGGACAAAGCTCTGGCTCTCTGGTCAAGTATGGAGAAAGCTGGGGTGAGACCAGATTCCATCACGTTCGTGCTACTCATTTCAGCCTACAAACACACATCCTCGGACTTGGTCGATCACTGTCGTACAATGTTTCTGTCGATGAAGCCAACTTACGGAATTGAGCCAGCATCAGAGCATTATGCTTCCTTTGTTGGGGTGTTGGGATCCTGGGGTTTCGTCGAAGAGGCAGAGGAAATGATTCTGGAGCTGCCATTCGAGCCTGATGTTTCGATATGGAGAGCTCTACTCGACAGCTGCAGGCTGCACGTGAACACAACCGTCGGAAGAAGGGTTGCCAAACGAATCCTAGCAATGGAGCCTCGAGATCCATCTACGTTCGTGCTCATATCGAATCTATACTCTGCATCAGGTACTTGTGAAGATAGATCAGTGGTTATAATCATCTTGTGAACCTTCATATATTCTCTCTACTCATCCAAAATCTACATTCCTAATATCATCAGGAAGATGGCATTGCGCGGAAGCCACGAGGCAGGAAATGCGAGAGAAGGGGATGATGAGGAAGCAACCATGTAGGAGCTGGATTATCCACGAGAACGAGATCCACTCTTTCTACGCACGAGACGTGTCCCACCCGCAATCCATGGACATTTACAGAGGCCTGGAAGTGCTGATACTGGAATGCATGAGGGCCGGGTACGAACCGGACACCAGCTTCGTCCTCCAGGAAGTGGAGGAGTACCAGAAGAAGGAGTTCTTGTTCTACCACAGCGCGAAGCTGGCGGCGACGTACGGCCTCCTGACGACGAGTCCAGGACAGGTCATTCGGGTGGTGAAGAACGTCGTCGTCTGCGGCGACTGCCACAGCTTCTTGAAACACGTGTCGGCGGTGTCCGGGAGGGAGATATCGTTGAGGGATGGTTCTGGATTCCATTTCTTCTCGGACGGGCAGTGCTCCTGCAGAGATTACTGGTGACAAAATGCTTGTGTTTTTTTGTTGTTCAAACTTCAGATAGAAATGTCAACGCCATACTCTGTAGCAATGTAAATGACTAATACGTGTGTGTGACTGATGGCTGCGGTATTCTAAGATTTTGGAAGATTGGAATGGTAGACTAGGCCTATTGTCGCCCTTCCTATTGATCCATTAACGCTCTTTATCTTGGGGCCGATCTCTTTATAGTATATCAATGTACCATTGAGTTTGCCACCGACCTTAATCACGTATGAAATTGTTAATGCTACCATTGCACCGATAACGCTATCACTAACATTTCATGTTGTAATGTTTTCCACGTGATTTTGCATTTGATTTGGTTGAGGCTGAATGTGAGGATTCAAGGTGATGAATTGGCCATCACTAGATGATGATAAATGTTATGATTTTGGAGTGGGGGATTCTTGTGCTGCTGGCCAAGTTGGCTTAGAATTTACTGAGTTTTGTTTCTTCTTCGTATCAGAATTTAGTTTTGACATAGAGAGTCTAAATATTTGGTGAGAGAATAGAGCATAATGTATCATGAGTTATTAGGTATAGTTCAAAGCATTGTTCTATTAACCATTGTGAAATAGACATTGAACCATGAAACTCCTAACTTACATGATTATTTTTGGGCAAACGGATTTGTAGTTTGACGATATTCATATGCTATCAAAGTTGTATAGCACCAATATCAATACAACTTAGTAGTCATGTGTTATAGTCTCGAAACTCAAGGCTAATGGTGTCAATGAAGCAATAGGATCTGATATTTGTATGTTACGTCATTGTCGTTCACTAAAAACGTGTTATTGTTGTATTGTTATAGTGGCATGTTCCATATGTGTATTTCGGTGCTAAGGTAGCAATCTTATGTGACACGATAAATCGATAATAGTGTATTCTGGCTTCAGAGACTAATATTGCTGAAGATAAAATTTGGAATTGGAATTGGCAAAATTGCAATATGTGTAATTTATGATATTCATTTAATTTCTCTTATAAACTGATTTAATTTAATCTATCCAAATACAGAAAGCCCATACAATCTAAAGCCAAAGCAAGCCCATACCAATAAAATAAGCCCAAAACTTATTATTTGACTAATAAACTATAAACCCATATTCCTGCCTTACAGGGTGGAAAGATGACCGCCCTACTAAGAATTAAACTCCACGTTGGAGGACACGTGTGGCACAGTTACGCATCCATCATCCCAAACTCACCGCCACAAATCCAGTCAGCTCTTACCTCTATCGTCGCCCGTCGGTGCCGGCAATTGCCAGAGCAACACGTGTCCGCCTCTGCTCGCCCGGCCGACGCGTGTCAAGTGCACTTCTTCATTTCCTATAGCTTTATAAATCACAGAAGCCGCTCAAGCAGCTTTCATCACCAAAACAAAACGAACCGTCGTTTACATCCTCAAGCAACAAAAACAAGACTCTAAACACAAGCAGTGATTTGTTCATTCGTTCGGTAATAATTTTTCCCGGCGAAAAGAGATAATGGCGTCGGACCAGCAGAAGATGGAGAGAGCGGAGGCTGCCGCGTGGCAGGCGGCCAACGATCTCAGGGACGTCAACCGGCAGAGAGAGTACAAGGAGTCAGCGGAATCGAACAAGGCTCCGTCGGCAATGGACAGGGACGAGTTCACCGGATCCGGGGCACAGGACCGGCCGGGGCTATTCGGATCGATGTTCCGTGCGGTGGCGGACACCGTCGGGCACACCAAGGACGCCGTGATCGGAAAGGGCCAGGAAGCAGCTGAGAAGACAAAATCCGCCGCGGAGACGACAGGGGAAATGGCGAGGGAGACGAAGGACGCCGCGGGGCAGAAGTTGGAGGCAGCTAAGGAGACGGCGAAGGGGAAGGCTGGGGAATTAGCGGAGAAGGCCAAGGATACGAAGGGAAAGTCGGCGGAGACAATGGACAAGGTGGCTGAGCGGACGGCGGAGACGATGGATACCGATTACGCCGCACCGATGGTGGAATTGGACAGAGACGATCGTCCGGCGGCGGGTGATGAACGTCCGGGGGTGATTGGATCGATGTTCCGTGCGGTTGCGGATACCGTCGGGCACGCTAAAGATGCGGTGGTCGGTAAGGGCCACGAGGCGGCAGAGAAGACGTACTCTGCTGCCGAAATGGCAGGGGAGAAGGCGAAGGAGACGAAGGATGCCACGGCGGAGAAGGCCAAAGAAACCGCGGATGCGGCGGGGAGGAAATTGGATGAAACTAAGGAGTCTGCTAAGGGCAAGGCCGGAGAAGTGATAGATGCGGCTAGAGAGAAGAAGGAAGCTGCCAAGGAGAAGGCAGGGGAGTATGTTGATTATGCTGCGAATAAAGCAGGGGAGACTAAAGAAGCGGCGAAGGAGAAGGCAGAGGAGTACACGAATTACGCGGCGGATAAGGCCAGGGAGGTCAAGGATTCTACGGCGAACAAGGCGTGGGAAACGAAAGAAGCGGCGAAGGGGAAGGCAGAGGAGTACAAGAATTACACCGCGGATAAGGCCAAGGAGGCGAAAGATTACACAGCCGAAAAGGCGTGGGAAACGAAAGAAGCGGCGAAAGGGAAGGCAGAGGAGTACAAGGACTACACAGCCGATAAGGCGTGGGAGACGAAAGAGGCGGCGAAGGGGAAGGCAGAGGAGTACACGAATTATGCGGCCGAAAAAGCCGGGCAGGCAAAGGACTTGACGGTGGAGAAGGCAAGGGAGGCGAAGGACTACACCGCCGAGAAGGCTAAGGAGGCAGCCGATAAGGCGGTTGAGACGAAGGACTACACGGTGGAGAAGACTAAAGAAGGGGCGGAGACTACCGGAAGCAAGCTAGGGGATGTGGCGAGGGCGGCAATGGATTTCTTGTCCGGCAAGAAAGAGGAAGTTAAGGGGAAGGCTGAAGAAACCGCACAAATGACCAAGGTAATTAGTTTAATTGACCTCCATAACTTCCTTTTTTTTGTTTGTTTGTTTGTTTGTGTTACAGACTTACAGTAGGTGTAAATTGTGTGATTTTAAATTGGTTTAGGAGAAAATGAGGGAGACCGAGGAGGAGACGAGGCGGAAAGTGGAGGAGCTGAAGCTTCAGGATGAAGCTGAGAAGGCCGATTATGAACACAGGAAGGAGCATGCTGAGAGGTAATCTAATCTAATCTATCTTTTTTGGCGGGAAAGATCAGTGGTCAAGATTCTCCTAATTTTAAGTTTTAGAAGAGTCGCTTGATTTTCAAATTTTTAGGGGGAGAGCGGCGAGGGATACTATTTACGGCGGCGCGGTGGGGCTCGGAAACATCTCGGACTCGATCATGAGCAAGCTGAGTCGGCCGGGGGCCGTGGCGGTGGAGGAGATAGACGTGAAGATGGAGGAGACTCGGCCAGGAGCGGTGGCGGCGGCACTCAAATCGGCGGATCAAATGGCCGGTCAAACTTTCAACGACGTTGGGCGGATGGGTGACGAGGGCGTTGTCCGCGTGGAGGTCAAACGCGAGGAGAAGTGAAGAGCCCATGAAGCATCTGACTAATGGGCCTCCTTTTGTTGTGATATTCCCTGTTAAATAAACCTCTTCAGATGGGGCCTCCTGTTGATCTGATTGGGTTTTGCTTTATTTTGCTGTCAATGGCCTTAAGAGTGGGCTGGGCGGGCTTTGTATTCTACAAACACTTCAGTTTTGGCCCGTGTTTTCGATTGGCTATGTTTTAAGGAGTTTGTTTGTTTGTAGTTTGTACGGTCATTTTCTACGTTGGAGACGTGGACCGAACGCGACGTAGCTCTGAATCTGATGTGAACCCTACATGCAGACTAGACGAGACGAGACGAGACGAGAACCGCCCATATATTTTCATCACATAAATAATAGTGTCGAATATTATGGGGAACCTCAATAATTCGGCCCAATATGGTTGGCTTGGCAGTTGGCAGCGTGCGTTATCCTCTCTTTCTTATTCCTGTAGTTATCCTGTCCAGCTATATGCCTCGGCCCATGCCGGCGTCGTACGGGCCGATTTAGGGTTGATGCCTGCAGTCTGCAGAACTTGTCGGCCGTCTTTGGACGCCGTTGATGAGGCATTATGCGCAGGGGGTCTGGATCAGAACAGGGTAGATCCATTCTTGCATGTGCTGGTGAGATACAATCGTAGCTCTTTTATCGTGTTAATATGCTTGCATCGATCACTTGATCTTATCCGACTTATCGTGATTCGACTCTTTATATTTTCGACTCAATCTTGCATAAAAACGCTTTATATTTGTGGTTCGCATACTGCCATCATCGCATTTTGGGCTACCGAATTAGTGTCTCTCGGGGCTACCTATGGTCTCAGTCGTCAAAGGGCGCACTATAAATTTGATTAAATTCACATATTTGGTCAGCTCCAACACATGACAAGAAAGCCCAGCTGCGAAACGGTTGTAAGGGGGTCGGCTATTTTAAATGGAATTGAAGTCTCAGAAAAGTGTATATATTTATTTGTAGTAGTAGGCCATGAATGGATCGTTCGTAATGTACAAAATGAAGAAGAAGAAAAAAAGCTTTGGTGGCATGCATTCGTTACGTTAGGCTATAGGGTGGACCACCAATACGTACATCTCGTGACAGCTACGGTCATATGCTCACACTCCACAAAATTCTGACAATTTATGACCAACACAACAACAAACAGTGAAGCGGTTTGGACTTTACATCAATGATCATAGAAGAGAAATTTGAAGGGGGGAAAGAGATCGATCGGTGACTAGCTAGTTAGGTCTTGCCTTTATATATGAGCATTCGTAATTGCTTTGTACGTACCTTTACCTAATACCCGTTTAACAAAGATGTTACGAAATTAAAGACTTTTGTAACTGCCAATTCTTACTTTATGTAATACCATGTTGTATGACCATTACGTAAGGTAAACATACATTATGTACGTAGTTAGATATTATATAAGATGAAAAGAAAATGAAATGACATAAAACTCACACAAGTACTTTTTCAACAACACAAATTATTGAAACGAAATTGTTTGTTCGTTAACATTATACCATACACTTAAATTGAGAGGTCAAAGTATCAAATCCTTAACATACACAATGATTTAGCCTAGGGGATGATGTTCAACCTGTGCAAACTAAAAGCTCGAAAATAGGCATTCATTTGGGGGGCATTGTAATCAGGGGCGGATACATGGAGTTTTAGGGATGTCTCAGGACACCCCTAAAATTTGGAAAAACAATTATTCAATTCCTGATAGTAGATTGTGTATTGGGTGCAAAAATTATTTAAGTGGTAACGCGATACCCCTTAAATTTGGAAAAACGATTATCCAGCCCATGTAGTACTTTGCAATTGGATAAATAAAAACATTTAAGTGGTAGCCTATATGATTTGAACTTGGATCACTACTACTATTTGTAAATATATTCATTATTATACTACAACTTATTTGTTCTTTTATTTTAAATCCAAAAATAATAGTAAAAAGTTATTCCTTATTTCCAATTATTTTCAAAAACTAACCACTAAATCCAATTACAAGTTATCCTTGTCTAGCGAGATATATCGAGAAATATTTGTAAAGCAACGTTAGACACCGGATGTGGTTTATAATTTTTCTAGAATATAAAATACGTCGTGTGCTTTTATTGCAATTTGTACACATTGAATATTTTCCTATTTAATAATTAATTTATTTTTTAGAAGAAGACCACTCACATGCAAAATTCTAGATACGCCACTATAATAAAAAGAAATAAGATATAAAACTCTTTTCTAACATTAAAAACTAAATGACTCAATTCAAGAGTGAGAAGGAAGGACACACCAACCATGTATTTGGCTGGGCCGCCATAGCTAATCAGTAATTACCACGTTTATCACCATACCTGAGAATCAAATGGTTCTTTAATTGTTACGTTGTTCTTTGAACAAATGTTTGTCACTTATGGAACTGTAACGGACAAAGTGGTGACAGGAAAAGAAAAACCAAATTGACCACGCCTCCTCAACCAAGCTAAGGTAGTAAACAAAACAGGTCTGGTGATCAGTACATACATTAGGAGCCTCTGGTCATGGTTGGTCGGCTGACGGCGAGCCGTGCCATAATAGAAGAGCTTACCAATTGGATTGGATGGTCGCGTCATTAGTCATAATCCCCACGATCGTTATAGCAACTAGCTAGCTAGGTTCCAGCACTACTCTACATATGGATCGCATTAACTTACGAGGAATTACGAATTAGTCAGGTTATGAGTCAAGCGATAACAATAATGGATTCCGACTTCATACAAATTAGGTCAACAACTCATGGTCAATCGATCATGAGCTGTATGTAATTGCTCCGTTACGAGTAAGTGATGATGGACGAACTCCTACAAATTAGGTGGTGATGGATTGTGCTCAAACTATGCCAAATCAACCATGGGACTACTTTGAATTGTTGGTTACATCATGTAAGTCGAAATTGAATCGGCTTTTCGTTTGGTGAATTTAAAGTTACCGTGGTTCTATATCTCATGACATGCGCCACAGGGTTGGAACATGTTTCTCATGTACCTAGCTTGTATTCCTTTGCTATAGAATTCCCCAATAACTCAACTTTGGAGACTAAAACGAAGTTCCTCACTCAAATGACATCGTAGCGAAGGATGCAAGAGTAGAAAAGCTCTATTCAACCCAACAAGCTCTTGAGACTACTCATTGAACAATGCATTAGTCCGTGAAAAAATTCGATATTACTCATTTCCTTTATTACCCACAATAACATAATAAGATCCCATTTCTTTTATTACCCATTATGTATACTGGAAATAACCACAAAAAAAGTACCAAAACAATTCTCACCTTGCTTAATTTTTCAATGAAGTTCCCATCTTGACGAGGAAAGTTTGTGAAAAACTTACCATAAACCTCCATCAAAGGAGATTCACCTACTTAGGCAAAAATGTGTTACCTAATCTTTCCCTAAATCTAAAGAAAGGGAGGACGGGTAAATTAACAATTGACCGGTGAATTCGAGGAGGATGTTCTTGACCAATTACTGGTCTCCACGTGTCCAACTTTCACCATATTCAGTCTCAATCAAATCATCTCCCTTCCCCCGATTTTCTTTTCTGTCCTCCTGATTGGGGAGATAATGGCTCTCGCTAATTTTGCGCCATATATATGTTCGCTCACACCATTGCCACAAGTCAGTAGTATAGTTTTTCCTCTCCCGTGGGTGTCCAAAAACCCACAAAAAGAAAAAAGGACGACAATCATAAATTTTCTTCTCCTTTTCCGCCGCTTGAGAATTTCCAGCTCTTTCAAGCCTTGCCAATGGCGGGTAGCAGCAGTAGAGGTATGGTGGCTTACCTCTTAACGGGGTTCTCACTTGCCGTCGTCTCTGCGTTTTTCCTCGCCGACCCTGTTTTCAAAACCCCGGAAAGTTCCGGTCTTTTGAACTCTGTAGCTCTACATAGCAGCACTGATAGAGTCTGGCCGGTACGTTCGACGATTTTGTGCAGAGTTGCTTGCCCTGTATTTTTTTTAATGTTTCGCCTGAAGATGATGTTGTGTTTTTGGTGTGCTACAGAGGTTGGAGTTCAGCTGGAGGTCAGTGCTGGCGACAGTGATAGGATTTCTGGGATCGGCCTGTGGGACGGTTGGTGGAGTTGGAGGAGGGGGGATTTTCGTTCCCATGCTTACTCTAATCGTTGGATTCGATACAAAATCCGCTGCTGCTATTTCCAAATGTAAAGCCTTTTTTCCCACCCTTTAGATCCCAAAAGTTATTGAAACTCTTGAACGATTCTGTTTAAAAATGGGCAAGGCTTTGAGTCTGTAAAGGGAAGCACTTTTTCACCCGTTTGTTTCTTTCCCTCGAAAGGCCAAAAGGTGAAAGAAAAGGGGAGGATCACTTTTCCCCAACCGAATCCCTCTTTTGCTCTTTTTTGTGGGTTCTGTTTTGTGATTTTTCTTGTTTCTGTTTAGGAGATTGGTAATTTGGTTGCCAATTGATGATGGGATGTAATGGTTTTCAGGCATGATTATGGGGGCATCAGCATCATCTGTGTGGTATAATCTACAAGTTCCTCATCCAACTAAAGAAGTGCCCATCTTGGACTATGACTTGGCTCTTTTGTTCCAGCCCATGCTAATGCTTGGCATCACTGTTGGAGTTGCCCTGAGTGTTGTCTTCCCTTACTGGCTAATCACTGTTCTCATCATCATACTCTTTATGGGTAATCTACTCTTGAAAATCTCTATTTGACAAGTTCTTTAGGAATTCCTGTATTGAACTTTTTTTTGTTGTTGTACAGGAACTTCTTCAAGATCTTTCTACAGGGGAATTGAAATGTGGAAGGAGGAAACATACTTGAAGGTAGAAGAACTTTTACTGTTTAACTGAATACGATGTGTACACTAAACTTTGGAACTTACTTGTGTCAAATTACTGCAGTCAGAAATAGCCGGTAGAAAGGAGGCACTAGTCAATTCGCGTGGCGAACGTAAGTCTTCTCTGGTCCTACATTCATTTTTCAGCTAATCTTTGCTCTGTGACTGTGAGGCTCTTTGCATGCCTTAATAGTTATTATCTTATTTTCTGCTTTGCAGTTCTGATTGATACCACTTTCGAGCCTTTGATTCCCAAAGAAGAGAAATCGAAATGGGTAAGCATTTTCTCCCCCTGACTGTGTCCTGTTTGATTCAACTTTTTTCCACTGTTATATGTCGATATTAAAGTTGAATTTTTAACTATTGCAGGCTGTATTCTGCTTGAACCTGAATTGGAAGAGGCTGCTGCTTCTGTTTGTAGTCTGGTTCTGTTTCCTTATGCTCCAAGTCGTCAAGGTAGTATCTTTTCCCTCCGACTCTCTTTTAGTCCCAACCGTTAGCAACTTTAACATCTGGTCTTCTTCATATTGTTTGCAGAATGATGTCACAGTTTGTGGCACTACATACTGGGTGATCTTTTGCCTGCAGGTTTGTGGGTTTCTTTTACCGTTTTCATTTCGTATATCTTGGTTCCGGGACTAGTGTTATTGTGGAGGTTAAAAAGTGATCACCTTTGAGTTTATCTTGATACAGTTCCCCGTGGCTCTTGGAGTGTTTGGTTATGAAGCAGTGAAATTATACAAAGAATACAAGAAGAGGTTGAGCGTGGGGAACACAGAATGTATCTGTGAGGCTTCAATTGCCTGGACCCCATTGAATATTGCATTCTGTGCACTTTGTGGAATTCTTGGCGGCACTGTTGGTGGATTGTTGGGATCTGGTGGTGGATTCATCCTAGGCCCATTGCTGCTGGAGATTGGTGTCATCCCTCAGGTATCATAATAATTCCAATAATCTCTTTGCACGCATTTTAACCACTGTAACCTGATACGGTTTGTTGTTTCCTTTCAATAGGTTGCTAGTGCAACAGCAACATTTGTGATGATGTTTTCATCATCCTTATCTGTGGTGGAGTTCTACCTTCTCAACAGGTTCCCTATGCCTTATGGTAAATTCCTCGACCAATTTATCCTTGTTTGTTTGTAAGGATATAGTCTGTGTCTCTCTATCTCCCAAGCCATTGAACAAACTCAAAGACTACTTGCTAACATGCAGCCTTGTACCTCATGGGAGTATCTATCTTGGCTGGCTTCTGGGGCCAATACTTTGTGAGAAAGATCGTTGCATTCCTTGGAAGGGGTTCAATCATTGTATTCATTCTGTCTGGTGTCATCTTTGCTAGTGCTCTCACAATGGGTAATAATCAAATTCAAAATCCATGAAGGCAACTTGTTTTCACAATTGGGTTTCCACAAAGGCATGTGAATTCTTCACTTTTCCTCATCAAGAGTTCCCAATCTGTTTCTGCAGGGGTTATTGGCATTGAGAAGAGCATAACTATGATACACAACCATGAGTTCATGGGATTTCTGGGTTTCTGCAGCAGCCAATGATCGTTGGCATATATACCTTGTAGCAAAATCCAAACCCAGAAGGTTTGCGGATGGAAAAGAAGAAGAAAGGAAGCCATCACTCAGGATGTGTTAGTTTGAGAATTGTTATGAAATTGGCTGGTCAACATCTAGTTTACCAGCTCCTCCTGTGCAGCTAGCTAGCGTTGGATATCTCTTATTCATGAGTGTCAGTTCCTGGCTGACACCTTTGGACAAGTTCCTCCTCATTGCTTGAAATATTTGAAATAATAAACTGTCAATTCTCTATGTCCTTAGTTATCTTTTATTTATTTGCAAAGGCAGATTCCACCTTTGGACACTTCCTACCATTATTAGTTTAAATTAGTCTACTATGCTGCAAATGTTGATTAATCAAAGCTATTAGATCATGATTGGTGAGTTTTTGGATCTGAATCTGACATCTGAGTTCTCATATAAAATGATTATCCTGAACAATTATTCATTACTAAGAACTTGTAGAAAGAAACAAACAAGCTAAGCTATAGAGAACAATTGCTCTGGTTTAAGATTAAAGAAAAACTGCCACATGAGCCCATCTTGGCACATCTGAGTCAGCAGTGCTCAATATATAAATGCCTCTTCAGCAAGTTCATCATCTTGCTGAGTTTGAGTGTAACTCTTCTTACCTCATGATGTTTACTTGATTGACACTTTTTGATGTTGCCAGGATTATTAAGATAAATCAAACACTAAACTAAGCATTGGTTCCAAAATATCAATGGGCATATTCTGATACGTTCCTAGTGAAAGATGTGGATCAACACCAAATTAAAGTGTATTAACTTGGTTTTGTCCGGCCTCTCGATTCTATTCGCCTACTCTTTGTTTTATGAGTATCTAACGGAATCAATATCCATAAGAATCTTGAATTTGAGAAAGAAACTGAGGAATGGATGATGGGTAGAGATGATTGAATTCGAGATAGACAAGAAGATATTTGGGGTTTTGGGAAAAGCAAAATAGAGATTAGGGATTGGAGAGAGATATTGGGATAATGTTGACAACACTTTGGTTAATTGTTATTGATAATTTTGATGAAATACTCTGAATAACAATATATAAATACTGTCAACTTACCTAACAACTTACCTGACTAAATTCACTAAAATACCCTTAACTTATATGCGTGCCTCCATAAAAAATCATGTTGATCAAAATATAGTTTTGATCCAACTTGATCTTATGTCGATCACATCTTTGTCCACTTTGGCCCGAGCTAAATTACAAATACTTATAGGTATCGTGATTGACATTTACAGAAAAACTAAGAGGATATTGGATATAATGCTTGATGTTGGTATCATACTTTGATACCAAATGCCTAATCTATATCTCACCCTTATCTTTTTGCTAGATATGACAAAGAATTGGATGGAAAATGATATGATCAAAGCCTACCAAACCAGAAAACTTTTTGCTGGCCATGTTCCAAAATTCCTACAAGGACCAATGGACACTCAAACCCAAAAGACCTACCAAACTAATGGTAGCACATGTGATTGCATAAGTAGGTAAATTGTTAAAAGTATAGAAAATAATTCTTATCATTCTCTATGTATTGAAACATATTCTTATCATTCAAGCCAATGTTAAATCAATGTACACTAGCCAGCCACCATCTTTCACCAAAATTGCACATCCAAACAATGTTTCTACAAGAGAGGAGTTGGGAAGGAAATACTAGCTAGGAAGGAAGCTTCATGGATGAGTCCAAGGAATAGGACAATGGAGGGCATTCATTCATTCATATCAGAAACTACACGTTGCCAAATATTTGTATGGTATGGTGGTATCCATCTTTTCTTCTTGCTCTCATTTCTCTGTCGGCCGCCACATGGTCGTTTTTTCTCTCTTTACCAATGGGGGATAATAAAGCCAATTCGTGTACATCCGCAAAGGCCAAAACTGAGCTATGCCATGTTCGCAATATTTCATTCACTCACATTTTCCAAATTGCAATCAAACCAAATCTGCATACCAGAAGCTCCTCTAGAGAATCCTATTTGGTGCAACATTCTTGGCTGGGGTGGACCACTGTTTTCTTTGGAGGGAAACCACTATAGATGAGGAGATCTTTCCTCATAGATTTTGTGGTTTGATTTTCAAAATACGTTGCAATGAATGGTTCGTTTTTACTAGCAACTCAAAAGGCCCAATTGGCATGGCAAGAGAGAAGTTGTTGGTCATCTCATTCATCATCCAGTAACCCGATCTATTGGATCGGGTATGGAAATCGAGTTCAAATACGAACCGTGAAAAACGAGATAAAGAGTATTAGAGATAGACAATGACGTACAATAGATCTCGTATAGCGATGAGATATAGATTACATACTTATAATAAGCTAGTTTGCTTATTTGCAATTATGCTAGTATGTTATGTAATCTATATCTCATTGCATAAAACCGAAAAACCGAAGCACACAAACCAAACCAAAAAAAAAAAATATGAACCATATAATGTACAATTTTCGTAATTTCTACAAGTAGCAAACTTAAAAATTTACATTTATCATGGTTATCATTGTTGTTTTCTTTTCAATACAAATTATAATGTTTACAAACCAGTCTTAAGAACATTACAAACCATACATACAACCATTACAAACCAGACAAAAAAAAATATTACAAACCACACAGACAAACATTAAAAAATTATACAAAGCAAATGAACATTACAAAATACAAACCATACATCCGAAAAAAGTTAAAAGAAAGGGCAAAAAAAGGGGAAAGCACCCTGGACGAAAAAGTAGCGATCTCTCCTCCTTTAATTGCACAAAATTAGTTGATTTGATTGGAAAAAGTAAGGTAAGAAAAACCAGTTATGTGATCACCTATTTAACACTCGTTAAATGGGATTAGTTCAAACCATCAGATTAATTTTCAACGGAGGGCTGGGACAGGCTTAGCTAATTGACTAAAGCCCTCCCCTTAATCACTTTATCTTGGCCCCTAACTCTGTCCAAAAAATCATAGAATACCACCCAGAGCTGCAAAAGAATCCGCGCTCTGTTGTATGGCTGCAGGCTGCAGCCTGTAAGTGATAATACAGTCCATAACCCTACTTAGACAAGGGAGTTATGGCCTTCAGACCTTTGGAAGAATTAGCAGTATTCGTATCTGCATTGATTGCAATATTCCTCATACCAATCTCCATGGCCTCTTTCTCATCCTTATCCCTCTTCTTTTGAGAATTCTGGGTTTCCTGAGCTTGGTTTGGCTCTAAACTACAGGGGATCCGGTTGATCCATGGATGAAGAAGACACTGAGCAGCAGTAGGACGCTTCTCGGGAACAAAATCGAGTATGGGAACCAGGAATTCCGTCAGTTCACTTGCATCTCTCTCGCTGAACTTGTACTTCTCAACAAGAACCTTGTTCAGTGGCCAGAACCGCAACCTACGTATGTGCCTCAGATCACCGAATTTGTTGAAGAAATCACGGGAATATCGGCCACCCAGGGCAATCTGCAATTGTCATTAATATTCTCAGGTCGAATGTGCTTTGACTTGCAATGTTAAGTAGCTAGCTAAGCAACAATAAATGAACATGCAACTGACCTTGCGCGGCATCATTCCAAGGAGCTCCATCATTAGGGCCAAATGGTCCTGAAAATGTAAAATGTAGGCTATAAAACCATAAGGTAATAAAACACATTGCAAAGAGCTCAGGGAAACCTTACTGCAGAGAAAATCTATCAATATCCTTATGAAACCAATGTCATTCCAATTCCACATGCTTCAGGGATTAATATATCCTTGCAAGTCCATAACATTAAGGTCAAATGTAATAGAAACAAGGCAAAATAGCCCAACTCTGACGGTTCTATTAGGAGAGGATGATATGGCTACAAGCCTAAAACCAGAATGGGGATTTCTACCTATTGTTAATGGAACTTAAGTAGAAACACACAACATATATGTCACCACAAAGCAGTCATATGGAAAATAATGGATTAGGTATCTGAAATTCAGGTTGTTTCAGACCTTATAATTTGAATCTTTAGTCTTATTCATCATTTCAGACATGTTAGTTCTTTTCTTCCTAATGGTATATTACAGTTGCCCAACTATGACCCTTACAGCAACCAAATACTAATAAGCAGGAATATATCATGAAAATCAAGACTCCAGTTCTATGTCAAAGTTTTACCACATCGCTGTCACCATTGAGTGGATCAAAGAGCACATCACCAGTTGCAAGCTCGAAACATATGCAAGCAAAAGACCAAAGATCGGCCGAAGTAGAGTATTTTGATCCAAGGACGACTTCAGGACAGCGATACTGTCTTGTCTGAATATCAGTTGTGAACTGTTTGTGCGTCCAACACGCATTCCCAAAGTCCACCAATTTGCACCTGAGATCAGCTGATGCAAGCAGGTTCTGCCTTGTGCTGCGGCTTCCCATTTTAATACCCTCCCTTTCTAAAATGGCCCGCTTTGCTGCAGATGTTTCACGGCCCATGTTAGCTTCAGTAGAAGAAGCTTCCTTCTCCACACATTCATGAGCTGCTCGTTTAGCCTTCCTTCGGATCTTTTTCTTTTGATTCCTAATCAAGTCACCATTTAATCTCGAAACGGCAGACTCTATCGAACTTTTGTCCCTACTATTCGGAAGAATGAGAGGAGTCTTGGACTTTATCGGATCCTTCGAGGGGTCAATCACCGATAGCAACAATATGTTCTCCGGCTTTAGATCAGTGTGTATGATGGAAAGTTGTCTATGCAAGTAATCCAAACCCTGCAGAATGTTGATGCATATCTCCTTGACCCTATGAATGGGCAATCCACGATAATCACTGTACTTTATAAGAGTCAAAAGGTTATCCCCTAGATACTCGAATACCATACAGACATGTTGTCCATTCGGACCTGAATGTTTGAAATGATCCAAGAGCTTCACCACACATTTCTGATCCTCTGGGTCTCCTTCTGCTACCTGTTGTAAGATGGTTATCTCATCCATGGCAGATTCAGTGTAGTGCTGAGCACTCTTTTGAACTTTGAGGGCTACATATCGCTGCAACAATAGGATCAAAGAACAGTCATACATGAGTCAATACTTAGTTGGACCAATTAAGGAGAGAAGAGCAATGAAATCCAATACCCTCTACGCTCTATTGATATTATATATACCGCTACAAGTTGCAGAGAACAAACACATTACATCCATAAGACCATAACTAATGGGAAGTTCTCCACCTCATAAGCATGTTAAAACCCAGAAACCAAGGAACAAAGGAACGAGTATAATCAACCCAAATGCAGAAGAGTCGGCTACCGGGAAAACTCCAAACCCCCGCGAAACCAGCAAAACCCCATAAATCAGACCATCACTCAATCAACTATCTTTCGATCAAACGTAAGCAAAGAGCCTTTACCGATTTCTGAGTGTCCCAACCGAGCCAAACAGTGGAGAAATGGCCCCAACCGAGTTTGCTCTGTACCACGTACCGCCCGTTCTTGAAAGCATCGCCGATCCGGACCGCGTGGTACCCTCCCCGCCTGTAATCCTCCGTTCCCTCGTCCTCCGACGTGTACTCACCACCGCTATCGCTGCTCCGATCCTCCTCCGCCGCCACCTTGTCTTCTTCTACAACAGGTCGCTGCTTCTGCTTGGCGTCCATTCGGCCGGTTCCCCCGAATTCTGGGCTTAAGGAAGCCGAGCAACGGGGTGCGGGGACTTCTCGTCTCTTAGGGTTCCAGAGAACAGAGAACAGAGAACGGCGAATCGGATCTCAGGTGGGAGGGAAGGAAGCAAAGGCGTAAAGTGCAAGAATTTTCTCGTTCTCTGTCAGTTGGATTTAATTTAATTTTTCTTGGTAATAAATCCCTTTATTTTGGTGGGAGTTCTTGGGCTTTGGAGTGAAGCAAAGGCGCAAAGGGATGGTTTGGTTTATAAAAAAATGGGTGGTTTGGGATTTGGTAATATCTCGGCGAATCCATTATCCAAAAATACGCGAAAGATTCATAGTTAATAAGTAAGAAATTTATATTGGCTTATAAGATGTGTTTTGGGATAAAACATAAGGCTTATTGTAAGAATTTTGAAGTAAAACATGTTCACTGTGGAGCACTACAAGGATAGACGACTTATGGAAAGTCATTATGATATGCACCCAAGACAAAAATCATGAGCGTCTAGATCCAAAGCGGATAATATCTGGCCAAGAAAAAGGTTCGAGATGTTAAAAGTCGTATCAATGCCTCTTTACATCCCTCTTGAACGATGGTGAGGCAAACATCAACGAGGACGTTTGAGTCCTGGGGAGTATGTAACACTTAAGGCAAATCTCACATCGACAGAGCACATGAGAAGACACGTTTTGGGAGTGAAACGAGAGTTATTGCAAGAACTCTAAAGTTAAACGTGCTCACAGTGGAGCACTACAATGATGGGTGATATAATCGGAACTCACCTTGATATGCACCACAAGGAAAAACTCGTAAGAGTCTAGATCCAAAACATACAATATATTGTAGAAAAAGTTTCGAAATGTTTCATCTCGTCCCTAATGAATAATGGCTCAGTTTAGTATCCCATGAAAAAAAGTTTTAGTCACAAATTTAATTAGACATAATTACTTTTTTCATTTATATTTTGCTTCAAGTTCCGAATAGGATGCCACTTAATGCCCTTTACCCACACCTATTCTAGCTACAAATCACATTTGTTGTGCCAACAATTATTGTAACAAACCATTTCTGGCCACAAATCGTAAGGCACATTAGTCGTGACCACAATGATTTTTGTTTATAACTATATATTGCGATTAGCTACGCTTTTTAAAGTATTGTAACTAATAATTTTATTAACTTGTTATAAAGTGTAAAAGCGAGCTATACATACATGGTCAGTGGTCACATTCCTTTTGTTGTGAAGTGAAAGGTGCAACACAAATTCTTCACATTGATTCACAATCCATTTGAGGTTCAGAGCTCTCTACAAAGGAGGGCAATGACGATTAACGTGTATGTCTGGACTTGGTGGATAATGGTTGTTGATGTTGTTGGGCTGGCACCAAAAATTTATTTTGGAAAAAAAAGGACATAATGGGCTTACTTGTCTCTATCGGCCCAGGCACACGACGAAGCCCACGAACCAATGGCATTTTCGCGGTTATCAGGCAGCACAATGGGCAATTTACCAAGCTTTCGCCTTCGTACATAAAGCGAGGAACCTGCATTTTTAGGGTTTCTCACTAAACCAGCGGCAAGGAGAAGAAGGCAGGACGAAGATCAGCCGCAGCCGCCATGGTTCTCAAGTACAGTTTCTGATCCCCATGTCAATCCTATACCCTATAGTTCTTTTCCTATCATTTGTTCCCGCGAGCTCGTTTTGATAGGATTTGAAAGTAAATATTGATCCTTTGATTCGGAGTTGGGCGCTTGTTTGTTTGTTTGTTCATAATTCTGATTTCGATGGGTTGGTGTTGTTTCATTGGCTTTTTCTGTTGGACGATTTGATGTAGCTTAGAACTTGGCCTTGGACCCAGGGTTTACTTTGCTCTGCTTGCTCAACGGGTTGCAAGTATAGAAGAAGTAGTAGGTTTTAGTCCATCATTGAACATGGAGATCTGCAATCTTTGCCTGAACTTCGTAAATACTTTCTGGTGTTGTAAATGGATATGCTTGATGTCAAAATGTTACTTGTGTCAGTATGTGTAGTGAATTATGGATGGTCATGCCAGCTTTTTGAGCTCTTTGTTCTTCTATTGTTCTAGCTGCAATGATACACTGTTGTTGAGATTTGCTTTTCACTGCTGGAGCTAATGTCTCGGTTTGCTTACCTATCAGGACCGAGCTCTGTAGGTTCAGTGGCCAGAAGATCTACCCAGGGAGAGGCATTAGATTTATCCGTGCTGATTCTCAGGTGATTAGCTGGAGAAATTTGTGACTGTTGTTTCTATATCGAAGCTTTCCTGTCCATAAGTATTGCTCTATTAGTTTATTGATGCATGTATCCTCGTTTGGTTTTTTTTCATTTTAGGTGTTCCTCTTTGCCAACTCGAAATGCAAGAGGTACTTCCACAACAGGTTGAAGCCATCCAAACTTACATGGACAGCAGTGTTTAGGAAGCAACATAAGAAGGTGAAACAACAATCTGTTATTTTCTCTCTTTTCTTTGATGATGAAGTGTTCTTGTCAAATCATTGGTTATATATAGTTCAGGAGATCGAGTTTCCCTTTTGCACCTTCTGATTCTTTTTTGCTCTGTTCAATTCCTAGTTTAGGCTCATTCTGCCTTTTAGTGTCTGATACTGTTGCCACTGTTGTAATTTAATCAGGACATTGCTCAAGAGTCTGTGAAGAAGAGGCGCCGTGCGACCAAGAAGCCATACTCTAGGTCCATTGTTGGTGCAACCTTGGAGGTCATCCAGAAGAGGAGAGCAGAGAAGCCTGAAGTTCGTGATGCTGCCAGAGAAGCTGCTATCAGGTTAGCTTCTGTGCCAACTCATTGATATATTCATCCAGTAGCATGTATTCTGGTGGTGATAATTTCATTTTGACCATTATGCTAAGCATCAATTGATTGGTAATGCAGAGAAATCAAGGAGAGGATCAAGAAGACTAAGGACGAGAAGAAGGCGAAGAAAGCCGAAGTGACCAAGTCGCAGAAGTCACAGTCCAAGGGTGGTGCTTCGAGGAATGCCCCGGCCAAGGGTCCTAAGCTAGGCGGTGGAGGTGGAAAGCGCTGAACAATCTCTTGCTAGCTTGCGTTTCTTCAGGGTTCTGTTTTGCAGACGGTGGGAGAGGACCAGATAGCCTTGGTTGTAGTTTTTAATTTGGTATTTTTGTCGGAAAGACTGGGTGGGTGACTCTAAAACCCATTTTTGTTCACCTCGTGTTGTTACCAACTTGAATTTCGAGTTAAGGAAGATTTTTAATGTCGCTTTTCTGTTGGATCTTAAGATTGTCTACTTTTATTTGTTTTTGCAGTCATCTACAAATGCAGTACGGTTTCATGGTGTTGATTTTGTCCTCATTTCTGTTATTCCTTATTGTCGCAAGGGAAAATGAAACAGAAGCTCATAGCCTGTCCTTTGTAATTCATTATGTTTAGTTAATACTTAATAATAGTTATACGTGAATGTAAACTGAACTCCTAAGTCTTTTTCTAGGTTGGCCCTGAATATACCATTACCAAGGTAATCTACATTGACTCGAATATTATACGATTAGGTTTTTGGTTCTATAAATTTTATGACTATTGAAGAAAAATTGTTTGAGTTGATTTTTGGTTCGGTGTGTCAAATCGAACCTAAAGGATTGAATACACTGATAGTCCAGTCCTTAATATTCCAATAACTTTTATCATTGATACTCCAATTTCTTAATACTCCATTTTTATTATGGTTTAGTGCTACAAACAGTTGTACACCTCTAACTATATTCCATCTCGGTAAAATGTGTCTTAACTAATGAATACTATTCAATCACGTAGTAATCATGATAGATAGTTTGGGATTGACATTGAGACCCAGTTAGCGTTTTCTTGTTCATTATTATCATAGAATAATTAAAAATTTGAAATCATATTCGGACAAATTGAGTGACCGAAAGATATAACGTTTATGGACTCAAATAATCACTCGGGACCTAGCTTCCACAGAATTCATTAACTAGAATCAAACTCATAATCGAAATATCTCCATAATTATATTAGCCAGACCTAGATAATCATAAGGAAAGAAGAGTAAGCTCACGTACTAATGAGCTTAACTTAATTATTACTAATCAATCATTTGGTTCTACGCTTCATTAATGATAAGACGGCAGAGTAGTAGCCCAGTAAGCAGCAGGAGACGGTACTACTACTGGGTTGTATTCATCCACACTCATTAGGTAATTGCTCTCCGCCGTCATCTGATGCTGGCCGCCGGCTACCACCGTTCTAGCCCTCCCGGAGCTGCTCTGTCCGACCGCCCCGGACGTGCTTTCCACCGTCTCTTCGCCGGAAATTACCTCCGTGTACCCAGCCGTCGACACTTGCCTGTTCCTCGTTGCTTGCTCTCTCAGCATTCCTCTCAGCTTCATCACCTATAAGCAAAATTTGAAGCATAACAAACAAGATAAAATGGTTACTAGCTAGCTAGTAGATTTTTACTATATAGCTTGAACAAATGTCTTATATACCTTTTCCCAAATGTGTTGCCTTTATCGATTAAATTTGTTTTGTTCATGTTCGAGTAGCAAATTCCCGTTTTGCTACTCAATTTGACTATTCAGTCTCGTATTTCAACTCATGCTTATGACGTATTTATTGTTCCGAACCATATGTGACCAGAATTATTTACCGAAACTAAATCGAACGGTAAAAAATGATTTCACACTACATTGGAGTCCAAATAAATCATTAGTTGTTCATATGATATTTCAGTGTTATTCCTATATAGTAAGTTGACATGTGGTATTTAAAACGATCCACATGTGGTTTGCCAATAACAGAAACAAAGAGTAAAAATAGTTATTTCCAAACCTCTTCCTGGAGCTTGAGCTTCTCCTGGGAGACGGAGTCGAACTCGTGCTTGAGCGAGTCGTAGAGGCGCTCCAGCTGCTTGGCCTTCCACCTGGCCCGCCGGTTCTGAAACCAAACGGCGATCTGCCTCGGCTGCAGCCCCAGCTCCCGTGACAGCTTCATTTTGCGGTCGGGGTCCAGCTTGATCTCCTCCTGGAAGCTTCTCTCCAGCGACTCCAGCTGCTCGTTGGTCAGTCTCTTCTTCTTCTCCATCATCATCATCGTCATCATTTGCTGTTGATGGCTCGCGTAGTTGTTGCTGCTGCTACTACCGCCGCCACCATAGTTCATCCCTTGATGATGAGGTTCAGCTAGTTGCTTCACATCCACTGTTATCATTACACTCGAAAAGTAGAAGAAATTTAACAACAGTTTGGCCGGCCATTGTTCAATGGCTTACAACCCAACAATCATCGACAAATTGGTCACTAATCTGATTTAAAGTATTATTTCTATCAACTTCATAGTAAAAATGTCAGGTCATTGTTCGGAGTTACAACAAATGTGTTAATTACAACTTTTGGAGATGTGTCAGGAATTCTAGTTTCAAATTTTTATTATGACGACGAAGCATAAATTTTTTTATCATGACACACTACCCCTTAACCTAGGTTTGCCCATGAGTTTGGGAACGATTAGATGTTGTTTTTATTTTATGTTGTAATCTGTGGTGAGTTTACTTGGGGTTTGGGAGGTTCATTATGATCCCATCAGTCATCAAATCGTAGATAAAAATACATTTATACAAATACGGAGAAATACATATGAGAAAGTGGAACATATATGTTGAGTTTTTAGTCCTCGTCTTGCTTATCATGACTCGAAGTAATGACAAGAGTTAAATTGACAGTCAGAAGGGACTATAGTCCCTTATTTAGATTTCTGACTTAGTTACCTGTTTGAAATGGAAAATACTTGTAAAACTACAATCGTGAGAGCCTTTAGAAATTTACCTGGAGGAAACTGGTCGCAGTTATAGCTGTAGAGGAAGTTGAATGAAGCCTCCGAGGGACGAGGAACGTTAAGGTTCCTCAAGTTGCCATTCCACTCCATCTTTCTCTCTCTTTAATCTATCTTGTCTCCCAAGCAGCTGCAGCCACACAAGGAAATAAGGAAGACTTTCTATGGTTGGGGATGGATTAAGTAATCCTTTCTGTATTGGGATTAATTGCTTCTCTTATATATTCAAAACCCAAAAAGAAGGGACAAAAGTAGTGAAAGACTACTTCCACAGTTCTACCACTTTGGACACAATCCTCCAAAGTAGAGAAGTTTCTGTGTGTTGTCTGTTTTAGTCCACTTCCTCTTTTTGGGGGACAAGAGAAAGGCAAAAGATGCAGAGAAGAAGAAGAAGAAGAGGAAAAAGAGTAAGAGCTGGAGAAAGGGGTTGGTTTTGGGATACTCAACTTTCAGGGCTCTCGGATTAGGGTTTTTAATATAGAGAGGCAAAGGGAAGAGAAGATAGTACCAGTTCCTTTATGTGTTTGTCGGTTGTGAAGAAGGGGAAAAAAGGGAAGGTATATAGAAAGGTCTCTTTCTCTCTTTTGGTCCCCAATGGAGATGTCACAGAGAGGAAAAAAGAAGAAGAAGAAGAGAGGGATGAGATTTCTTCTGCACATACATATAGAAAGGAAGAAGAAAGACTGACATTATGCCTTACCCTTTTCACTCCTCATCTGTAAGGAAGTGGTTAAGTAAGTATAATACATGAACCTCTCGCAACAAGTCGAGTTATTGAAACTAGCTAGTTAATTGGTTATTACATGGTATAAGAGCTGGACGTCCTTGAGCTCATGTGTTCAAACTCTCACCACCTATAATATTACCGTTGTTTTAAAGCACATGGTATGCGGAATACAGTAAAAGTTTATCTCAACATAGTCTACATGCAATGAGGTAGACGGCCAGCTAGTATAAACTTCAAGCCTCATCGGTTGGAATTTCGTTTGAACAAATCACAAGCGGATGCATAGGCAGAGCCAGCCCTCTTGGGCATTGTCCCGGGACAGGGATAAATTCTGTGAGTAACAAAAATACTCTGTATATGTTTTATACTAAGGATGAAATACAACACCCAGTACAACGCATTTTGTCACTATATCACAACTCATTACTTGTAATAAAATCTATATTAAATTAATTTATTTTACTATTAACGAGATTTCAATTGGAATAGATCTCTATTCGATTATTTGCCCAACAATCTTAAAGCAGTCCAGTTGCAGCGCCGATTGCACTAGTTTTGACAGCAAGTGTAGGTAAAAAATTTATCTTCGATTTTATTTGAAAAAACTCAAAATTAAATACCGAGAAGAATTAGTTGATCATTTGATTACCAGCCACATAGTGATCACTATTATGCATGCATGTGATGTAGGTGGAGGCCAATTAAGGCATATAGTGAGTCAAGGTATAGCTACCCAAGACAACCATTTAACCTAAAATCCTATACATAAGAAAAGAAAAAAAGGACTGATGATTGAGGAAACTGGGCCACAAGGAAAGGAATATTAAATGAACAGAGAATAGCATTAGATCTGTGGACTGTGATAAGAAAAGGAAGGGCGGAAAATAAACGAAACAGACAAATCTAAAGAAGAAAGCATTTATTTGAAGAGTCATCCCTAGCTATTAGTTTTTACTCTATTAATTAACTAACTTGTAGTACAACACACAGAGAAGAGGGTTAAAAGCTGCCCTTCCTGTTCCTGTTGCCTGCCTGCCATTATCTTCGAGTCTGAAACTGATCATAGACACCACTAGACACGAAGAGAAAAGAAAGAAAACCTCAAATGATCATCTTTTTTTACCGTCTTTCCAAGTGACATATAGTTAACGTGCATGGCCTGTTAAGAAAGGTGAAAGAGATGAGACAAAGAATTCATTCGCCTTTTTAATCATGATTTTGTTTCTTTTTACCCTTGGCCTGAGTGGTGCTGGTGCTGCTGAGAAAGCAAAGCAAGAGCATTTAAGTCAAAAGGAGGGGCTCTCTCTTTCTCTATCTTTGCATGAAAACAACAACACCGTAAAAAAGTTGCTGCCTGCTGCAACTGCAACTGTGTAATCGATCGATATATATGTTTACAGATGGAGGACAATGCTGACAGCAGCAGGCAGGGTTAAAGATAGCAGATAACGAACTCTGGAGATCTAATTGGGTAAGTGATCATGATCTCCACCAGAAAGTTCCATGGCGGCCTAGCCATCCTGCTGCAATATTGGAAACCTACGTGAAGAAAGAAACTAATTAACCATTTCATTTTCACCATTTCACCCCACTCATTCATTTTTTTACTGCTCTTTCTCTCTCTCTAGTAGTCTAGCTCTACTGTAAATGGAAATAACTAAGCTCTACAGTTGGGAGCAAAATGCCTAGAGCTACAAGGGTGGTAAAAAAAAGTTAAAACTACAGGCTTTCACTTATTACTCCTTTTTTTTCTTTTCTTTCCTGTTAAATGTTAATCAAGGGCATATACTGCTGTCAAGGAGATGAGTTTAGGGGACCAATTTTAATAGAAGTTAGGCAGAGCTATATATCTGTACAATACCATCTTTTCAATTTGCTTTCCCTTTCTATACAGCACGAGATGTCAACAGTGATACTGCTTCATGTCTGTGGTAATAGAGTGTTCTCTGGAGCATCGAACGACACGATAATGTGAATTTGATATCGGAATCACTGTGGTAAAAGCTATTTAATTTGTCGAAACACTTCACTCGATCACTCCTTATAAGTTGTGTACGTTCTAAATCTTCCTTCTTCTTAAGATGGTAGTTAGAGCAGCTGATAAACTCGAGAATTCGAATCAAGAACTCTCCTTTTCAGATCGAAAGTCAGCTAATTTATCGTTTGACGGCCTCCACTAATCAGGGTTTTTTTAACTTGGCAAACTCTCATTTCAAATTTGAGCCTCTTCTTATTGTCAACTGTCAAGAGTGAAGTGAGCTATAGCAAGAAGGAGCAGCAGCAAAGGGAAAACTGTGCAGAAGGACCATTCTGTATGTTTGGGTCCATTTTTATTTAAATACGGTTGCCAAAGAAAGAATCTCAGTTTTGGTCGCAGCTAAGGGTCAGAAATAACGTAGAGCCCATTCATTACACCTTGTCCCCTATGGATGGACATACGCAGCCAAATTTTCCTGAGAAACAAACACCTACTTACCACTTCATTGAGGGGGAAAAAGCCCCCACAAAAAAAAAATCTAAAAAGCATATTGGACAATATGTTCATTCCACAGTGTGGAAAAAGGTTTTCAAGCAAACATAAGATTTCAAATATCGATAATAGATTAGTTTCATGCTGGAGTTCTTTAGAGTTAGTTTACCTGTATAAAAATTCAGTGTCTCTAATGGAGTAATGGTATCTCTTGAAAAAAAAAAAATCTAATATTCATCTACAAAACTAAAAGTATAAAAAAAAAGAGACTCCCAAAATCAAATTTATACCATTCCATCAAGCACACATATTGCTGGCCAACATTTTTTACTGTAATGTTGCTATCCAAGCTGGAGAAATTAAAGTTAACAGATCCCTAAAGATAGGACTACTACTGTAGCAGAGGGCAGCAGCAGTAGCAGTTAGCCAGTAGGTTATTTATACATGGAATGGAAGGGGAGAAGAAAGAGGAAGAACCATTTTCAAAAGTTTTGTATGAAACCTATCTTCATATACAGTGGTCCTAAATCCCAACTCATCCTCTCTTTACTTCCTTACTGATAATATCATGACCTTGTCAATTATGTTTTTGAAATCCTGTTTTCTTTTTCCTAAGCAAAACCAAGTTGTTGGTAAAAGTTCAACGGTAGATTCTTATATCATTCGTTTTCGGATTCTTTTTACTAGTTGGAAGAGGCACCAGATAATTCGAGCCGGTTGAAAGACGAATGGAACAGTAACACCCATTTTTATATGGACATGAAAGTTTTCTTTCGAACATCTTCACCTACACCACCACCAGCATTAATGGATTTGATTGATATCCCGATCGTAAAAGGAACTTGTTGTCTGAAAGTCTGCATTATTGTGCTAAGGTCTCTCTCTCGCAGAGCTTATAATGAATTGAATGGCCCATTAGCTTAGATCAGAGTGGGGGCGCCTGTCTCTGACTATACTATTATCAAACAAAACAGAGCAGCTGCCTTTTTTTTCCCCCTCTGTCCTTTCTCCTTCCTTGCTTCATAAAAACCTCATCTGCTTCTGCTGCTCGCTTCTTCTACCACTGCTAGTTCTGGTGGTCCAAGGAATCTACTGATTTTACTGATCAACAGACTTAAATTTCGGTGGAGCCATTGTGCCTTTGCACACGGCATCCTTCCAGCTCAAACAGCAGAGGTGAAAACAGAGCAGCAGCCAAGAAAGGAGCAAATACAGACATGCAAGGACCAGTCTTTATCCGCTTGGGCTCGGCCTCTCTAACGCCAAAGGAAGTGTAGCTAGCTAGCTAGCTAGGCAGGCGGCGCGGCCAAACATGGACCAGCCTCTCTATATACATGGACAATGATATGCATGTGTGTCATGTAGCCTCTTGCTTTCAAAACTCCATTCTACTAGTAGTACATGTTACTACTCTCTTGTGATGGTGGTGGGAAGCTGATCACTGAAGTCGATTATGCAAAACTCCCGACTACCATGTCCTAACAATAGATTGGTAATCTTTTTAGTTAATTGATTGTTGTATATAAACCATTACAAAACATTATTATTTCACTACTTTTGAAAGTGTAGATGGATCTATCTACATCATGCCTAACTACAGAACATTATTATGCTAGTGTTGAAATTGATATCTTCCAGTAGCTGTCAGCAGTACTCATTTCCAGACTGGATGGGGAATAATGGTGTGGTTCAAGTTCTCCTCTTCCTCTTTTTTATTCGAAGTCAATTAAATCGGTCTAAAGTATGGAAAAGGAAAGATGGAAGATTGACGATCCTACATCTCAGACTTGGGACACAAGATAAAGAAAGAAAATGGGAGAAAATAAAGGCCAGGAACTTGACCAAAATTAGTCTCCAATTGGACAAGCATCCTAACTTAACCAAGGTTTCAAACTATGCTCAGATAAGGAAAGCTATCAGACTCGGACTGATCGGAATATCGAAAGAAACTCAAGAAAGGATCATCGCTAGAGTAATACGTGAAAACTCTATCTGCAGAGGTGTGAAAAAAATGCAGCAAAACTTGGTTAATACAGCACAGCAAAATACATTACATGAGGTGATAGTAGTAGTCGAAGTAGGCATATTACCCACTCGAGGAACAAATTATGATGGCATCCCTCTAAACTCATCAACTGACTTCACTTTTCAGTATAGCTGTATAGACCACAACAAACCTAAAACAGCATTCAAATCCTTTTTTGCTTCTGCTTCTTTTTGCCCTACTTGACTACTCCTTTTCGTTTACGCTCCTTCAGATCATTGGGTATAATAAATACAGAATCTACACATAGCCCACCTTTGGAATGTGTGCAATCAATCTGTTTCATAGAGAACCGAACCTCGGTAATGGGGTCCGAGTCGGTTACCACGAACTCCCCCACCTTGTACTCGATCCAGTAGCCACGCTTGTGGTTGCCGTACTCTTCATCGAGTTCATCGGTGTCGTCCAGACAGCACTCGGACGATGCCTGCTGGCCGTCGGATGTGGACAACTCGAACCGAACTGGTTTGATTTCCCAGCCGTGGGTTTGATCGAAATGAGATACGCGTCTTCCAAGCCGTTTGGCGAATCTTCCAAGGTGGAGCCTGAAGGTTAGTGTATAGATATCAGGAGGGAAAGGGAACTTTAGAACCCCGTCTACTTCGAACCACCATATTTGCTGCAAATAGGCCACGACGTGGAATCTGAAAATCAACAAAGAAAGAAACTTTACGCTTTTGAATGCCAAGTCTCAACAGAATTATACTGCATTGGGAAAGCAAGAACTGGAAAAGAAATGTTATATCAAGCGAGAAAGTAATAAGACCTTATCCAAAGAAATATGAGAACCACAGCATTTGTGGAATCAATCTAGAGAACAACTAATGTGTAGGGAACATCAGAAAACTGCTGAATTCCAGGTGATAATTTTCAGATCAGCTGAACTTTGGACAGAGGGGCTTCATGTTTACTCTTAAGTCTCTTATCACTAGGAGGAGGGAGAAAGCATACCATACAAGCATCTTGCAGATACCAATAGTCCAGGCATAATTCATTTTCACTAATACAATTTACTCTATTAGCACGCAAACTAAAGGAGTAGCTCCAACGTCCAGAGAATTCAATGAGCTATTTGAAACTTTCAACTTATATCCAGGGGCACTAATTGTTCAAGCATATTGGGTGAGTAACTACAAAAGCAGAAAATTCAACTGAGAACACACAGTTCCTAAAAGCCATCCTCCCTTTCTAGTGAACACCAGTTCCCAAAACTACCAAATCCCTTTTTCAACAATCAGTAGCATAAGTCATCATATCCATGGTCTTTTCACTTCTACGGCACTACTGAGCTCCTACAGAATCCTACTCAATTTGTAACGCACATGAACTTATCTGGAAGCATGATTTTGATAACCAAGAACTTAGCAAAAAATGAATGGATCATCTCTACTAGAGCAAAACTCACTTTGCCAAGCTTATGCAAACATTTCTGCCCTCCTATTCCAAACCTAGCATTTTGATCAACCTCACAGGAGTCTAGCTTAACCTGCAGAATGGGGTAACTAGCAGCTAGCCAGTTCAGCCTAACTACTTGGATAGCCAATCTATTCGGTCTACATAGGCCAACCAGATTTCCCATTTTCCTTGTTTAACTTCACACCTATGAGTACAAGCTTCAATTAGGAGCCTCTCGGGAATCCTAAGCACATTTTTTGCAAAGGGAAACTTCACCAGATGAAACAGACCTGCGAGAATAAAGCCGCTGCAGAAGATAAGGTTCATACACAGAGAGTGTTTCCAAAGAGTGGTCATGACTCGTGACAATGGGAGCAAACACAAATGGCAGCTGGCCTTCTTCAATCCCACGTAGGATATGATCTCAATTCAAACACTAGAAAAGAGCACTAGTAACTGAATCCTCGATAATTCATTTCTACTAAGAAGAACCATCTGGCAGGACAGAAGATCCAAGGGAAGCAAGCCAGCAAGCAAACAGACAGATCACTAGTTCAATTTCCAATAGCACCTCCATGATCAGTGAAACTTTCCACTCCCCAAGAAGATAAACACATCAAGGATAGGAACAATCTGCTTCTTGCTTCATCGCGAAGCAAAACACAGGAGACGAACCCACATGAATACCGAGTGCAAATCAGAAAAAAGAAAGGAACTTTAATCAGAAGAACTCACCTGGATTCTTCAGTAGCAACCCAATTCCAATACCGCCGATCCTCGATCCCGGTTATCGCCATGCCTTTCGCCGATATAGACACGCAAACCCTCCCCGTAACTCTGTCCAACCATAGCTCCTGCATCAACCAAAACCAAATTCGAATTCAATCCAGACATCAAAACGAATTCAATCCACACATAAGGGAAACGAATCGAGAAAGTAAAAAAAAAAACCTTGTTGCCGTCGTCGAAGGGGACGGGCCTGGAGAGGAGAGCGTAGATGTCCTTCTTCTTCGACAAGTCCCTGTGGCGGTCGGGAGGCAGCAAATCGAGCAGATCCAGGTAGTTCCTCGGCAGCTTCTTCTCCCAGACGGAGTCCGACGACGCCGCGCCGCGGAACGCGTGGTTGAGCCGCGCGAGGTTGCAAATCTCCGGCGGCGTCAAGTAGGTGAAGACGCAGGCCACGCAGCTCTCCGGAATGTCGCCGAGCCCTGGCCCAATGGCCGCGCCGTTCGCACCTTCCGTCAGGTTCGATAGCGACGCACCCATACCCACCCTCCCCTCCCGCTCCCGCCGGAAATTGACGTCAGGCGGAACAATCAGTTCAACTAATTCTGCGTTTCTACCTTCTTCTTATTGTTGCTCGTGCTTGCTTGTGTGGGTTCTCAGGCCATTGGCGAATGGGAGTGTTGGGTTGGTGAGAAAAGTGCAGGAGGAGTGGAAGTGGTGGATGCCGGAATTTCGTGGGTGTCCTTCATAGTTTCTCCCCCTCCCTCCGATTTTCCTTCCTTTATTTTTTTTCCGGGAAAGTTTAAGAAGGGAAAAGAAAATTGGAGGTAGAAAGAAGACGGAAAGAGGGAGGGATAGGGTGGCGGGTTCTTACGTGGGGTCCAGTATTAGGAGAATTAAGCAAAGTTGCTTTTCTGTTCTTTTTTCTTTTGTTTTGTGATATTTGTTGATAGATTAGACATGAAAATTGGAAGAAGATCATAATTCTTGCTTAATTAATTTTATGAACTAGTTTGTCTTAAAATCTAATTTATTATGAGATTTTTTATGAGTAGGACTGAAAAAAAAAATTTGACATCTTGTATATTGGTCGATTATAAAAAAAAATCTATAAAAAAATTTCACTAGAATGAAACGATGAATTTTATTTCCTTTGCCTCATTTTTATGCACAAAAAAAAAAGTCGTTGTTTGTAAATTAGGACAAATTATATAGATCTTCGCCATCTTGTTGATTTTGAAAATGTATCTATTTTGAACAACTCGTGCATTTCTTAAATATTGCTTTAATTTGCTAAAAACCAAATAACTAAGTGATAACAAGGAGTTAAAATTAATCCATCTCCACCGGAAAATGACGAATAAAGAGCCTTATTGCGGCAATTTTGGTGATACTTGTATGAGAACGAGAGGGAAAGAAAGGTGGCAAAATCTGTGAGACTCTAAATGTTTGAATTGCCTTCTCCAAAATTGTTTGCTACATTCTCATTTGGGGGACATGACATAATTAATTCGAAAGGAACTCCAAAGGACTTTTCCTCACTCCACTCCAAACTTTCGATTTGATGGATAATTAACAAGATCCAGTTTAAAGGCGTTGTAAAATTGCTAGCATGGTTTGTGCAATGACCCAAGCTATATAGATTTAGATTGTTTGGTAAGTGTTTACTATGGATTAATTCAGATTTATATATATTGTTCACTCGGAAAAAAATTTATATATTGTGAATTTTTCGTTGATTATACATGTATAATTAGTCCACGGGTATGAGTGGCCAATTTCATTATAGCTGAAAATAATACTGACCATAGAGAGGTTGAGAAGGTGTATAATAAGTATATGGTCAAACCCTAATCCAATATGAAGGCCAAAATCATAAAACATGCACTTTATGGTTAGGGGGAGCCATGTTGTGCTCTTGAGTCCTCAAATATGGTGCTTCACTCCTACACTCCCGATTCGGTTATCGAGTAGGGGAAATCCTTGTGACTTTTTGTCGATGACAGATAATCAAACTTCAAGTCATAGTTACATTAATCACAAATGTTAGAGCTATAAAAAAATATAATAAAAGTAGTGTTATTCCTGCACAACCTCTTTATATATAAGACATTCAATCAAGTCGTATTTTTTATAGCTATCTCTTATGTCAGTTCTTTCAACTGTGAGTTATTTTTATCAATAGTCGTGCCTTGTTTAATTAGTCTAGCGGCACATATTCGAAGTCGGAACATTATTGCATAATATACAACCAATCAAATGAGTATAAACAAGGAGTCAATTTGAATGAAAGCCAAATGTGTGATTAAGGGTTTTCTTAAACACAAACTGCTGCTCATATTTGAAAACAAAGAATGAAATCAAATGCACAAGCAAACAACAAAATTATGGATGGACAGCTTGATAAAGATTTAAAGGGTCAAACGATAAAAAGGGTTAAACCAGCATGTGTACAGAACATAATTATGTGAGGGAGGTCGGGAACAAATGAACGGCCAATAACCAGTCTGGCTTATGGTTTTCCCTTTAGCTATCAAACAAAGTTAATTTCTTCACATCACTATGCAGTGGTGTACTAATCTGACAATGAAAGAAAACCCATGCATTGCATGGTTGGGAATCATAATCACCTCCCCTAGATAAAAACGTTATCTTTTTTTTTTTTTTTTTATCGAAGTGTGAACAAAATATATTTGACTGAGTGGTTATAGCGCTTAAATTCATATATATAACTAGCAATTCTGATTGAAGTTGTCTTCTAAAAGTAAAAGGTGCTACAATTAAACATAAATATTTTTACTTGTGGTTGTTTACAATGAATTAGACAGGAGAAAGGAGTGCGGATCTGGTGACTAAGGAGGGTGCTTAGTCACTTGACTAAGCCCCTCCTAGCCATTAGATCTGGACACTTCAATCCAATGGTTAAAAAGTGGGAAGGGCTATTTAATTAATGGCAGGGGTAGTTTGGGTATTATGAAAAATTACGAAGTATACAAACCGGATTTACAATCAGTACAAACCATACAAACATACAAACAGTACAAACTAGAGCGACAAAACATACAAACAGATTTACAAACATTACAAACATATGAACTGTACAAACAATACAAACTAGACCGACAAACAATACAAACCATACAAAAAGAAAAAACAACCGGGTTGACTTTTGAGGCTCCATCCCTATATAGAGGGGCTCCTTCACAAAGTCAACCCGGTTGTTTTTTAGACATACAAACAGTACGAACATGGTGGACAAAAATGACAAACTAAACCGACAATCCATACGAACGGGAAAAACACCCGGGTTGACTTTGGAGGCTCCATCCCTATATAGAGAAGTTCCATCCAAAAGTCAACCAGGTTGTTTTTTAGACATAAAAAACATTACAAACATGGTTGACAAAAATGATAAACATGGTGCACAAAAATAACAAAGTTTACAAACATTGCAAAATAACAAAGCGTACAAACATTACAAAATATGTCAACAAACATCACAAAATTGGCACTGTCGCCGGAGCGGTAAATTCTTCTCCGGCGACGATGTTCACCGGGAAAAAATTTTCGACCAGAAAATCTCTCTCTCCCTCTCCCTCTGAATGGAATAATGGCGCCCAGCTTGCGCCCACGAATTCTTTTCTTCTGGGGAATGGAAATTGGCTTCTAGAGAAATTCCCCTGTAAATAATGGCGCCCAGGATTCCCCTGTCGGAGACGACGCAATTAACCGGACGGAGAGGCGAGGCGACGCAAAGGGACGAGCTGAAACGGCGCTGATTTTTTTTAATTTATTTTATAATTAAAAATTAAAAATAAATAAGGAATTACTACATTGCCCTTCATTAAATTGGATTAATAAGAGCCCTTGGATTTTAATGAGGTTGAGTGGCTTAGATTCACTTAGTCATGTGACTAAGGGAACCCCTCTTAGTCACCTGATCTTGGCCCCAGGAGAAAGCATTTCGTACAAAATTCATACCTGCAAAACCTACAAATTACTTTGGTCTCTTACTACTCGTGGTAAAATTATTATCATGCACCATAATAGTAGAATTCATATCAAAAGTGATAGCTAAGATACATGATTTTGTACATTTCTTAAATTTAGATTTTACACTTACTGAATTCTGAGCACTTGAGCAAAGCATGAAAATCATGAGTTACCTATCTTTTTCAATTGAAATTTTTTGTAGGTTGTTCTTGTCGGGGAGTCAGTCATCCGTTTTCTTTATTGTAAGTGAAGAGATATGTTGATGGAATGCCATATATCCTGACTTATTCTATTGTTGTATAGACTAATTAAAGATAATTTGGAAAATTACTTTACATGGAAGATACGCAAGTATACATAATCTGTCATATTCTGGGAATGTACTCATATTGTCAATAACAACATATACCACATGAATCACAATTTTGAGGTTTAGTTGTCGCTTATATATACGTCCATACGATACCAATGTGCATAGGGAGGTTTTTTTGTTTGCATATTATCTAGCACAGCTTGGTGCCTTGGTCACTCAAAGTTCTGGCTTGCTACTTAGTTCGCCTTCACTATACTTATACAAAGCGTGTGTTTTAGTTATATTTACTATTAGGAGTAGTATTAAGTCGTTATTTCTTTATGATCATTAAGATGATCATAATAGAAAGAACTACTATTCCAAACCCTAATATATCTTTCTCTCAATTTTCTGAATCTTATCTCTCCTCCACCTAAAGCCACCGGCCATTCTTCCTAATTCTCTCAAATTTCTTCTTCTAAATCTCGAATCTTTTCGTCTTCTTTTTCAATTCTCTTCTATTTCTCAATCTCCGAATCTCTTTGATTCTATTTCGATATCTTCTTCTTCCCTCCTTTGTTCCATTTCTTGATTTTTTTTGTCTTCAGTTTCTTAATAAAAATATGACGATATTCTTCTTAAAAAGTAGATGCAGGTTTCAACAATCGGTATTTCTCTATATATACACCATTATATTTATAGTCTAATAATGATATTAGGGTCACAAACTGTAATAGTATGAGTATCCCCCAACACACATTCCATTTTCATATTCAAAATTATAGTAGTAACACTAACAACCTAGTTGATGTCCTCATCGCGCTTAGTTTGGAACCACATATATGTGCAACGACAACTAATACTATACTAGCTAGGGTCCATATCATATGAGTTATGACGCAGAAGGCAGAAGCATATGATTGTCATGAACTAGTTGCTCCCAATAACTCGAGTTGTTGGGAGAGGTTTAATCGTGGATCATATACCACAACACTAACACGCCCCCTCAAACGAAAGCCACTCACAAGGGCTTGAAGTTTGCACAGGTCTGAAGACAAGAATACCATGTGCTTAACAAATGGGGGTTACCGGGAATCGAACACAAGACCTTTCGGTCACATAAGGCTCTGATACCATGTCAAGAACTAGTTGCTCCCAATAACTCGAGTTGTTGGGAGAGGTTTAATCGTGGATCATATACCACAACACTAATATGTTTGTGATGATCAATTCAGTTGGGTCTTGTCGTTCTCCAAACTTCATTACAGAGAAGATCACGCACTCCATTGCCAATCCAAGCAGACAAACAAAAAGTGGATCGGTTGGGTTTCTTCATATTGCTTTAATTTGTTCCCTGCAAACTAAACACATGGGTAATACTAATATGGGTGCATGCTTAGCTAAACTTGCATCATTGCCTACAACACGTACGTACGTACGCGTGCAGTTTCCAACCACAAACTTCGTAACTGCTGGTTAGCACCAGCATTTTAACAAGTTAGGCTACTACTTTTGCTTTGGTCATTTGCTATCTAATGAATACTGTCGTCATTCGCGCCGCCGTTACGCGTACCATAATGTTCCTAAATATCATCTACAACGTCACGTAGCCATATTATTATTATGAATAGTTTATACATATAGTTCATGTTACCCTTCTTGCTAGCTAGGCAAAGAGGATCAAACCTAACATGTCGATGTTATCAGTACCATGGTGGATTAATTCCCGGCATTGGCCAGTGGCCACTGAAAAACTAAAAATGATAAGCCCCAAAATTTGCCCACAAGAGAAGAACGTTCAGCCCATGGGCCTTGTCCAGCTCACCCTGTCCCAATGTATGGGCTACTTTGTTACTTTCCCTACCTGAACAATGAACCATCTTTCAACAGGCCCAATCGGCCCATTACCTTCCCCACAAACGTTGCCCTTCTCCTGAAACCAAGAGACTGCTGCGTGTTTTTCATGGAGTTTTTTTTCTTCTTGAACAAAACATAAAATGTAGTTAATTAAAGGAAAAACGAGTGCTTCTGTGTTAAAAATAGTCAACAAAATCCGTCTCCAGAGTCCAGTCTCCCCCACGAGATCATCAAAATCCTTCTAGACTCCCCACGAGATCACCTCCCTCACTTGCCCGCCATAAATGAAGCTCCATCCCTCTTCTCCTCCTCCTCCTCCTCCATTCCTGCCACACTTCAAGCTTCTCCCAGATCTGGAATCGAACAAGGAAACAAAAAAAGGACAGTGCAGAATACAGTTCAGATCGATTCAGCACGGGCGAAAGTTAATCAGGCCAGCTTTTTTCAGTGTTTGATAAAGCTTGGACCTTTTGCACAGAAGAAAACAAAATCCGAGCCAGCCAGGTAATTTTGTCCTACTGCTTCCAGGCTTCCCGCTCTGTCTCATCTGCTTTGCTTGCTTGTTCGTCTGAGCAAAGATGCTCCAAGTTGCAGAGAATAATTCACTTTGACCACTGTAGAAAACACGGACCTGGGTTCCTTCTCTCTCTCTGAATTTTTTGTTGCTACCTTTCGGCTGTTTTCATGGCGGAGTAACGACCGAAGAGTAGGAGCAATAGCAAGAGCAAGATCTGTTTTTTCCCCCCCTCCGATTAAGTTATTAATGGTAGTTAAGTATCATTAATTAATTATTAATTACCCACTAAATATAATCTTTTCTTTTCTCTATATATAACAGTTACAGGTCAGTACAGAGATGGATGCCCAAACCTTAAATCACTCCAAGGCTCCAAATTCTGCTTCCCCTTCTGCTTCCCCTTCCCCTCTCATCCCCAATTCCACCAGAAGAAGCGGCAGCAGCAGCAGAATGACCCAACAGGGAGATTCCATGAACCCTTTCTCCACCACCGCCGCCGCCTCCTCCGCGAAGAAGAAGCGGAAGCGGAGAAACGTCTGCCTGGCCTCCACCGCCGCCGCCGTCATCCTCGTCGTCCTCATCCTGCTCATCCTAGCCCTCACCGTCTTCAAGGCCAAGAAGCCGTCCACCACCGTCAACAGCCTCGCCCTCGACGACCTCAGCGTCTCCTTCGACATCGCCAGGCTCGCCGTCCGCCTCAATCTGACCCTCGATGTGGATCTGGCGATAAGAAACCCCAACCGGGTCGGTTTCCGATACTCCAACAGCTCCGCCGCGCTCAATTACAGAGGGGAGCAGGTCGGCGAGGTCCCCATCCCGGGCGGACGCGTCGGCGCCGACTCCACCACGCCGATGAACTTGACACTCACACTCATGGCGGATCGGCTCCTCTCCAACTCCCAGCTCTACTCCGACGTGATCGCGGGGAGCCTCCGCCTCAACGCCTTCACCCGAATCAAGGGCAAGGTTTCCATCATGAAGATTTTCAAAATCAGTGTCACTTCCACCACCAGCTGCGACATCACGGTGTTCATCTCCAACCGGACCGTCGGGGATCAGACCTGCAACTACAAGACGAAATTGTAGACATGAGGGAAGGGATACTGCATCGGATTTGAATTTGGTGTTGGCTGATTCAGAGGATTGTTTTACTTTCCCACTTCTGCTTTTTTATTTGATTCAGATGATTGTAGATGCTCCAGGTAGATATATACATACAGAGAGAAGAGATTGGAGATGTGTAAGATTCAGGTGTAGACATGAAAATTGATTTAGAGATTGGAAGGGGGAAACAGTGAGTAGTGAGTAGAGGGATAGTACAGAAACAAATCAGTGAGTGAGCCACTGCACTGAATTCCCCCATGTTTGTTCTTCTAACAAGAACTCCCTCCCTCCCTCCCTCCATGTTTGTTTGGTTGTTTAGTGAGTCACTGTACTGTAGAGTTGAGATACTAATATTATGCAGCCTGTCCATTCATCTGTTGTGCAGTTTCATACTAAGCTTGTATTGTTCAGCGGAACCAGTGACACCACTGTTGTGTGCTATGTATATGACAGCAGCAGTTCCTCTGCAAAGGGGTTTTTGTAGGCAGGCAGCAATGGCGCCAGACACTGTTTCTAAGGCTTTGATCTTACAAGAAAGCACAAGAAGTCGTATTTTGACAACTTTGGAAGAAAAAGCTGAAGAAAGATGGGAAACAAGCAAGAGAAGAAACGCGGCTATATTGACCAATTCATGCTCTCCCTCGTTGTTGTTGGTGATTAGGTGGTGGTTACTGGTTAGGGAGGGGGAGATGCTGAATTTATGGCTTCATTCATTATGCACACAGACGAAGTGGGAGATAGAGATATGAACTTTGAGAGCCAAAAGTCAGGAGGCAAATAAATGCAAAGTGCCTCTCAACCTCCATCCATCCACCGTCACGTCCAGAAGTGGATAGTGACGGTGACCGTCGATCCAGTTCAGTTACAGCAAATTAACTCCTTTTCCAGACTTGCTTGCTAGTTGCTACCATGATGTGGTGACACCCGCTCATGCTGAAGCTTGAAGCCCCACCAGAGTCCAGAAGATCAAATCGGTTGACGATTTTATCAATATGAAACGATTAAACCATAATTTAAGTGGTGCAACTCCTCATAGATTTTTACCGCGGTTGATTTTGATGCCGCCACCATTCAACTCCCAGGGGCCTTGACCAGTTCCCCAATCTACTCTATCCCAAAGGCAGGCTTCCTCGTTGGGCCCAAATGCAGCCCAATTAACACCACCAAGAATGAGTTTTGGCTTCATATTGCATACACTACTACGACTCCACTAGATTCCCCTGAACTAGGTTAGTTCTTTAATGAAGTGATACTATCAATTCACCATGCATTAGTATCCAAAACCTTTTTTTATTATAATAGAAAGCACTAACCATTACCGAAAATGGCAACCCGACAGTATTAGAATCCTATGGAATCAAATTACGGATTCCACGGATGGGCTTTTCATCCATAGATATGTCAGGAGGAATAAATATAGCTTCATTCACGTAAACAATCACTAAACTTTGTATCCGTTGATTAATTAGCATTTAACTTTGATTTACAACGAAGCAGCAATCAGGATTTGGCGAAACTAATACAATGTGGTACTCACTCAATCTATCTTTCTTTACTAGATTCATCGTTTGGGTTGTATGTTTTTAAAGCATGTCAATTTATTCATATTAATTATAATATAAATATAAAAGATGGTAAACTACGAACGACTCACTTTGATTGGTACTTGATTTAGATCTAATCTAATATGTTATTTCTCTATCTATTGCACCTATGTTTGCTTGATGTTGCTTTGGTAGTTTCAAAGCAGGGATAGCATATGTCAAGCCACATTACTCAGAATTCACCACATTCCATTCTTTTACTCGAGTATATAACTAGAATATCTATGTGGACTGTGGTCATGTCTTTTGATAAGTATTCCGATTTCCGAACTTCATCGATGAATTTGCTGAAATTGAGAGTTTGAGGACCGATTTGTTACCGACTAAAAAGTTTAGGTAGCGTTTATGTATAGTTCACCGTTCCCATCCCACCCCAGTTTCGGGGAATCTGTGGACTGTGGGTTTATCGTTTTGGCAAGAGGAGAGAACAAAAACTATTCACCGAAAATGGAAAGAGGAAAGAAACGAAACCATGGGCAAATCCTCTGGCCACCGCAATACCAAAACCGGCTGCTCCCTCCGCCACCATATCCTCCTCCTTCTGTATATTACTTTCCTTCCTCCACTGACTCCCGCCTTCTCATCCCCGATCCTGATCTCAAAGACCTGCCGCCTGCACTACTTCCAACATCGTAAAAAAGAAAGCTGCTTTTCGACCGCACCAGCTCTCTGCGGCATTTCGTCGAACACCCTGTCCCGCTTATCGTATCTCTAGCTGGGTATGTACTAGATACTATTTCCCTTTATAATGTTTCAATCTTTATCCCCTTGAGGCCAATGGGTATAGAGCTGCAACCTGCTCCTGCTAAATCTTTGCTTTGCTTTCTTTCCCTAGTGTTGAATGGAACAACAACAGAATGGTTTACCGGGTGGGTTGTTTTCAGGAGGGATGGCATCTACAGGAATGCTACAGGGTCTAGAATTGCCACTCCACCAACAGCAACAAAACCCTCAAACCAATCAAAACTTACAGCAGCATAGTTTACACCACCACCATCATCCTCAATTAATTGGTTCTGCCTTTACTGCTCCACACCAACTCCAACCAGTTAAGCAGAACAATCCTTACCCACCTCCTCAATTCACCACCTCCAAGCCCAAGTCCCCGTTAACCGACGACGATGATGCGACAGGAGAAGACCAGCTCTCCGGTGTGGATCCCAAGCCAAAGATGTCACCTTGGCAGAGGATGAAGTGGACTGACGCCATGGTAAGGCTTCTAATCATGGCCGTTTACTATATCGGCGACGAAGTTGGTTCAGAACCCAGCGAGCCAGCCCCCACAACAACATCAAAGAAGAAAGCGGCAGGAGGAGGAGGAGCGCAAGGAGGGTTGTCCCAGAAGAAAGGGAAATGGAAGTCTGTGTCGAGAGCCATGATGGAGAAAGGCTACTATGTGTCTCCACAGCAATGCGAAGACAAATTCAACGACTTGAATAAGAGGTACAAGAGGGTCAATGATATTCTAGGAAGAGGAACTGCCTGCAAAGTTGTGGAGAATCGGTCGTTACTCGAGACAATGGATTTGTCTCCCAAGATGAAAGATGAAGTGAAGAAACTGCTGAGCTCCAAACACTTGTTCTTCAGGGAAATGTGTGCTTACCACAATAGCTGTGGCCATGGTAACGATGTGGTTGCTCATGCAGCTCCACTACCAAACCCTCAATTGCAGCAGCAGCAGCAGAAGTGCGCCCATTCTGAGAGCAGTGGCCACGGGCCAGCCCCCAATTTGCACGAAGATGATGACGAGGACAGTGACGATGATGACGAGGAAGAAGAATTTGAGCATAGCAGCCATGGACATGGTCAAGGAGAAGTAGACGACGAGGTTCGTGATCACGAGCTGCGGCATAAGAAGGCGAGGAGGAAGGGGGAGGAGATAATGATGATGACCTCGGATTCGATGAGGGAATTCGGCTTGGAATTGGCGAGCATGGTGCAGGACGGAGGGAGGAGTGCGTGGGAGAAGCTGCAATGGATGAAGGCGAGGATGGTGGAGCTGGAAGAGCAGAGAGTTGGGTATCAGGAGCAGGCATTGGAGATAGAGAAGCAGAGGCTGAAGTGGGTGAAGTTTGCTGGCAAGAAAGAGAGGGAGATGGAGAGGGTGAAAGTTGAGAACGAGAGGAAGAAGATTGAGAATGAGAGGATGGTTTTGATTATAAGAAGGAAGGAGCTTGAATTGCTTGATGTTCAACATCAGCAGCAAGTTTGTTCGAGCAGGAGTGATCCCTCGTCATTTCCTGGATGAATGAACATATTGCACACTGTAACAATAGATTGTTTAGGATATCATACTTAATTTTGGTTTATGATAGTGATAAATCTTTTGAATTAAACGTCTACACGAAAGGAAAAATATGGATAATCGTTGGTTCTTGGTTAATTTGAACATAAAATTCTTTGGCAAATGAAACCTAGAAAGCGATTTTGGCCAAAAGGAAAAGGAAAAAAGTGATCAGCATACCCGGCGAAACTTGAACCCACAATCGTTTGTTGGATAAATAAAGACATTACACAACGAAACAATAGTTTGTTTAGCATGATCTTACTTTTGGTTTATAATAGTGATAAATCTTATGAATAAAACTTACAATAGATTGTTTAGCATGATCTTACTTCTGGTTTATAATAGTGATAAATCTTATAAATAAAACTTCAGCACGAGATGGAAAATAAAGTTGATTGTTGGTTCTTGACAAAAAAGAAAGAAAAAAAAAGTGATAAGCACACAAGTGAGACTTGAATCCACGATCGCTTGACAATACATTGTTTAGAATCTTACTTTTTGTTTATAATAGTGATAAATTATTTCGATGAAACGTCTACATGAAATGGAAAACATGATGAATTTGAACATAAAATCATTTGGCAAATGAAACTTAAAAAGCGATTTTGGCCAAAAGAAGAAGGAACAACATGATTGATTTGAACATCGAATCATCTGGCCATTGAAACTTAAAATGCGATTTTGGCCAAAAGAAGAAGGGAATCATAAAATCATTTGGCAAATGAAACTTAAAAAGCGATTTTGGCCAAAGGAAAAAGGAACAACATGGTTGATTTGAACATAGAATCATCTGGCCAATGAAACTTAATATGCAATTTTGGCCAAAAGAAGAAGGGAAAAGGCCAAAGGAAAAAGGAACAACATGGTTGATTTGAACATAGAATCATCTGGCCAATGAAACTTAATATGCAATTTTGGCCAAAAGAAGAAGGGAAAAGCAATAAACACACCTGGTGGGACTCGAACCCACAATCGTTTGATTAGAAGTCAAACGCCTTATCCATTAGGCCACAGGTGCCATTGACTTTTTGTTTTTTGCTAAGTTGCTATTAACTTTATAATACAATTTAATCTCTCAATTTCATCTATACTAAGTAGAGGTGGCAATTTCAATCCAATCCACCAATCCAATCCATCAATCCATTAAAAATATTCATCTAATCCAATCCATTTAAATTCAATCCATTTGATCCAAATCCAATTGGATTGGTGGATTCATGGATTGGATCCATGGATCATTGGCAAATTACGGTTTAGTACCTATAATTTTTATTTTTTACATTTTGGTACCTAAAATTTAATTTTTTATACGAAAAATATCAATGGAAAATTACGTTTTGGTACCTAAAATTTTTCATTGTGACATTTTAGTATCTAAACTTTTTACATTTTACATATTGGTCCGTGGTTGAGGATGTTATTTGGATTCATGGATAATCCACCAATCCACTTGATCCAATCCATGAATCCACCAATCCGTTAGATCCAATCCATTTGATCCATGGATCCACCAATCCAATCCATTTGCCACCTCTAATACTAAGCCATTATATATGAGCATTATAGACCATCATCCACTAGGCAACATGTTAAATAGAATTGGCTTAACCATCTTGTGACAAAAACAATCCTTCAATATCTCGATGGATTCGTTGACTTGCATCATGTATTTGACGCTCTATTTGCAAAAAATTTACATATGTTTATACAATCTTAGTTTGACTAATGGATTCATTGGTTTATTTATAAAAAAAAATTAATATATGTATAACCTATTTAAATTATAACATAGATTCTTATTATACCATCGAAATATAACTTTTATGTTGGTATAAGTAGAAGTGTTATGAACATTATCTATATATTGTGATGATTTTTGTTTTAACCAAAAGATACCGAATCATTCTATTTATTCCGAATATAATAAAGAATCACGCGATCGCACTTTTCATAGTATGATATGGATGCCTCTCGGTGGGTGATGGTTTTGTTGTTTTTACCATTTGTGTTCATATCTATCCAATTTTGATCTATGTCAAAGTCAATTTAGACTTTTCATGTAATTATTACTTGAAACTTAGATTGTGTCGGATAAAAGCACCGTATACACTCACTTTCAACCGACATTCTTAAATTTACATTTTAACTAGACACAAATTGTACGAGTCCTTGCATTCTACTATACTTATTATTTATGGTAGAAAATATATGTGGAATTCCGCTCTGGGTATTGAATTGGTTTCCTTTTCCACTAAAAGTTTCCATCTACAACTCGAAACAGTTCAGATAATCACCTAACAATACATGGAAACAAACAGAAACATTGGAGAACAGTCAAAAGAAAAGAACCAAGCTTTGCGTTCATGGCTAACGAAAGGAAACTTACTGTTCATGGCAAAGATCCTGTCCCCATTGAAAGAACAAGAAGCTAATTAATGAATGGAGAAGATACTAAAAAGAGATCATGTGCATGCATACATTCCTCTCCTTTATAAATTCGGTTTCTCCGCCTCAAATTCCTTCATTCTAAAGTTCGACCAACTCATGGCTCGTGAGCATGAAGAACGGAAAGAGAAGTTCTGGTTCGATCCAAGTTATCCGTCCCAAACTAAAATGGACGCTCTCGACGAAGCATGGCGTTTGTTATTGGAGGAAGAATGCAAACACATGAATATCGAGTGTTCCGACTCTAATATGACGTATTCTCCTCCTTTCTCAAAAATGAGGAATCCAAATGTAGAGTAACAAGGAGAATTCGAAGTACCTTGGAAACGGTGAAAGATACATTGATTTCTCTGCTCACTTTTTCTGGCCGAAGAAAAGAATCGAGTGACGACTTTGCTTCTTCTCGCTCTCTTAATTTTCATTCCGGCGTGGACAAAGATTCATCACTGTTGGAGCCCAGAACACAGCGTTTTGATCGGGAGATTTCGACGACGGGTTCTTCTTATCACACTCGCTGGTACTTTGCAGAGTTCATGAGATATTACATTGAAGTTCAGAAGGAGATGTTTCCAGACGATCCTAACATAATAAGAAGATTTGAGGAAGACATTCATAGTAGTAGTGTCAGGAGTAGTGTTAGCAGTACAATATTTTTTGCCCATGGCTCCATGTGTGATTGTTGAAATGAATAAATCTCGTGCTTTAGGTCAAGAATGACAACATCTCTTGTGTTGAAACCAATAAGAGATTGGTCTAGTGGTAACGTAATGTCGTAATTAAGTTTCTTTGCTAAGCAGTTTGAGAAAAATATCATTTATACCCATGTAGATACTTGGACGGCAACTATGCATAAAAGAGTGAAACATTTTCGTAGGCACAAAGGCAATATCTCCCAAATTTCCACCTCCCTGTAGTTTATAGGCTGAGCTAAGAACAGATGGCTCAGTGTATTTCATTTCCTTAATACAATCTCAAAACCAAGAACTAAATACGCCCAAAAAATTGGAGGTTTTCACACCCTCCGCAGTGAGTGTTGTAATAATATCTTAAACCCTTGTCACCCACTTCCTTTTATATTTGGTCTATAACATGTAGGGAGGGGGAGACAAAATTTGCCCATTACATTGTGTAATGTGTCATCACCTCTAATCTTCAAGCTCAATGATCTTAACCACCGACGCATCTCCGACTTTCTGGCAGACGACTACTCTGTCGTGGGACTTGATCACACCTGAGGCCTTCCCGTGGTCCAAAGCGACCTTAAGGACTGAATCATTTGTGGCACTCGTTGATTCCGCCTGGTCACAGAGAAATGAAGTAGAGGCATGTCAGAGTTGCTAGTTTTAAATAAGAAAAACCACACAAGTTTTGGAGCAGAAGACATACGTGGTGTCTCGGATCAGCGAGCATTGGGAAGAGACCTCGAACAATAAGCGATTGCCTTGCCTGCAAGTGTACGATGTAGATGTGTACAAGATTAGTCAAGGGGTCTACAACAAGCACATATATGACAGGAAATTTAGAAAAATGCTCTCTAAATCCATCTTTGGGCAAACTCTTTTTGCTAGTCAAGTGACTCTCTAGAGAAAGAATATAATAGAGGAAGGCCTTGGATTCCAGTTCAATAGTAGCGAAATGAAAATAATAATGTGAAAATATTATCCGAAATTTGTTCACTTGGTTGTGTGTGTGCATGAGAGAGAGAGAGCCATACCTCAAAGGCACCACTGAAACTCCACTTAAGTTGGTTTGTCTTGAGTCTGGGGATAACAACAGAGATGACTGGCATTGTTGGTCTATACTTGGCAATCAGTCTGCATACAGTAACGAGATTTTCTATTATGAATCACTATTCCGGGAAGCACACAATCTTTTCGGCATTAGTTAGTAAAAAGATTTCAGCACGCAAGGAAATTGTATTAGGTACCTAGCGGCCCTTCCTGATGAAGTGAAGCATATGATGACAGAGGCCTTCACCTTGATGGCTGCTCGAACCTGAATGAAACCAGAAAGCAGGTATTAGTATTATTCTTTCTTCACGTCTGTACTTGGCAATCAGTCTGCCAATCTATACAGTGCAGAGTATTCAGAAGTGCATTACCGCAGAGGAGGCAATAGATTCTAAGTGAGTCATCGGCTCTCCAACATATTTGACAGTTTTCTTGAAATACACATCCTGATTGAAAACCTTCTCTGCCTGCAAGAGTTGATCAGCATAGCAAAAAGATGTAAGCTCATAAGGGAAGAAAGAAACATCACATCTATGATCAGGCAACCAAAAAGGTCTCCCGTGGATATCAAGCTTGTAACTTTTGAGTCACTACAACACAACCTAGCAATCTATAAGCCGCAAGATTCCACTTAAGTAGATGAAGATATGGATCGTCTATATATAACATGAAAAAGCTTACCTCGCAACAAATTCTGCCAACAGTAGAAATGGTTTCCACAGGGTATATCCCACGTAGAGTTTCAGCACCAAGAAGAATTGCGTCACTCCCTACACCACGCAACAACAAAAAAATAAAGTACATATTCAGCAAGCTTTAAGCATAAATATTATGGACAACCCACAATGAGATATTCTCCCTTCTGGCTTGGGAACTCACCATCTAGAACAGCATTGGCAACGTCAGTTGCTTCAGCACGAGTTGGCCTCAAGTTGTTGGTCATAGTGTCCACAACACGGGTTACCACAGCAGGCTTGCCAGCCATGTTGCACTTGTAAAGGGCAGCTTTCTGAAACAAAAACACCTGGAAGAAACAAAAACAATCTTAGCCAGCAACCAAGCACACAAAATACTTGGCAGTCAGGACACAACACACTGATATACTTCAGTGGAAGGAACTGCGATCTATAAATTGGAGGAAAAAATTATAACCTTCTCAGGGGGAAGATCTATGCCCAGGTTCCCTCGGGAAAGAATAATGCCATCAGCCTCTTGTAATATCTCATCAAAATGCGTCAATCCCTATGTAGAAACAACAGTGAAACAACAGTTTCGAAACGTACGCCCCACGTAAGAGAGTATAGCTGAAAACTAACCTAAGAAGCCAAATCCTGAGATCATAGTTACCTCGACATTCTCAATCTTGGCAAAGATTTGAGTTTGGCTCAGGTCTCCTAGCTTAGAGAGGTACTCACGGGCCTGCATTACCATACAAGAAATTAATTTTAAGAATACGGATAGCCAGTATAGGTTTCCGAGATAACTGGGAATTCAGTGATAGGAATGCCTTATAAAAAGGCTTACCTGACGGACATCTTCTGCATGCCGGGTATAAGATAATGAAAGAAAGTCAATTTTATTTGGCACTCCCCAAGCACTAATAACCTAGAATGAGAAAAAGAAAGCAAAAGAACCGCACTTCATAAAAAGCAAGCTAGAGTAAAAAGAAAATTCACTTGGAAAAAAGGAAAGGGAGCTCATTCAGCTCAAAGTCGAAGGAGTAAAAGAACACTAACCTCCTTATCCTTTTCAGAAAGGGTGGGTAGTTCAATACGGATTTGAGAAGCATGTAGAGTGAACAACGACCCCGCCAATGTAGCGGTGTTTTTAATCACACATACCACATCTTCTCCTTTCACCTCAGAAACCTGCACAATTCGAAAATGATTGCTGTCACTAGGAGTTCAATTATATAGCAGACCTAGCTGTACCAATGTATGTTCTTCTCAAAGTAGTTCTATCTAATTTGAAATGAAGAGCCACTGAAGCTTTACTGAAACAATTGTTTCTGTATAGTCCAAATCTCACTTTGCCCTATGATAGCTAAGCAACACAGGGTTGTCTTGTACATTACCTCCAGCCAGACAGAAGTAGTTTCACTGCCAGTGAAGAGATATTGACCAACGAATATGGTATCACCAGGTTTCACAGCCTGGAAAGGGAAAATTGATAATCAGTCATCAGGTTCTAAAGGTGAAGAAAAATACATGATTTGAATTACCTCTCCCAGAGGAGAACAAGCAAATATGAGTTTCAATGACTACAAAACTGAAACTGTTTTCCTACCAAAAAAAAACTGAAAACTGTCCCTAACTTCTTCGCAATATGCCAACAGCATGAGGAAAGTCCAACTATGCTCGCGTCACTTACAACTGAGAATACCAACGAAGTGTAGCAAAAGGGAAACGGAAAAAATGGAGAAGAAGTTAGAACCTTAGCTAGCCCATCAAAGTTAATGGGCAATATTTCTGATGAGGCATTCTGTTCCCTATCTGGTGTCAGGATAACAAGACCATCTTGCAGGAGTGAAATGGGTTGTTCACTTCTGTTAAGGACCTGCAACTCAGGACCCACCGTATCGAGCATAACCTGGAACACAGGGAGAATTCCTCAAATCATCATCTAGCACCATTCACCCCTACCAAATACAATCATAAGGTAATCTCAAAACTACTAAGCAGAAGCAATCAAAATAGCCTAACAAAGTCACAAACGAGCTGAAAGCAGATTAAATCGATCTTTAAAAAGACGGTTAATCATCAATGTGTCGTTCTCAATTAAGATTACCAAAAGGGGTGACCTTTTAGATTTTTTTAAATCGATCTTTAAAAAGTTAGAACGAGTGAATCCGCAGACTAATTAAGCACAAGGGGACACAATCAAACGCAACATACGGCGCAGAGCTTCCTGGTGCTCTTGATGGCAGCCTTCAGGTTCTCCAAAGTCTGCTGGTGATACTCAGCGTCACCCCACGAGAAATCGAACCGAGCCACTGTTGTCACACAACCAAAAGAGATCCATTAGTTACGAACAGAATCAAGGCTCGAACAGAAGTCAACGAGAAAACAAAAACGAAGCACTAAGTACCCGACATTCCAGCCGTGAGGCATCCCGCAATCACCTCCGTAGATCGCGAGTTGGGGCCGAGAGTCCCAACAATCTTAGTCATTGCCGGGAAGAAGCTCTGCACATAATCAAAATCAAAATCAAAATCAAAAGGGAGAAGAATTAAATCTAACAGTTGGCGGACAAGGATTTAAACGGATTGTGCCGGATCCAAAACAAGCCACAACCAGACCAAGATGGAGACTCGCAAGGCGGAATTCGATTTCGAATCGAAGAGAGCGTTACTCACAGACTTTGAGGACTCGAGGATGGAAGCCATGCGAATAGGCTCCTCGAGCAGCAAGTGACTGGAATGCATCTTGGCCGAGTCTCAACGAGCAATCGATGAAAGAGGAGAAGGAAGAACCTCGGAGAACTGCGTGAGGCCGACGGGAGAACAAGAAGGGAAGTTTTCTATTGCTCTTTCGATTGAATTCCGATTGCTGCCCTGCACTCCTCCGAAAATGCCCTCTTTGGCCCTTTTGTGTTGCTGCCCCTTGCCTTTTTGTTAGGTCGAGAGCAAACAATTAGTAATTAATTAATAAAACGACAGGTGGAGAAAGACTGAAAGAGGGAAATAAAAGGGAAAGCGGTCCGGTTCCTCTACATTAGCAGTCACGGAAGCTGTATGTGTCTTCCTAAGCAAGCAACCCTTTAATCGCCTATTTTATTAGGTTAAGTTCAATTTTGACTAAAGTCTAAACATGTAAATCGAAGTGGATATAAAAGGCGAATCGAATTAATCTATATACAGTGTCAATTTGATATGGGTATACATCGAGTCATTGTTCACTTTGCTTGTACCAAATCATGTTAACAAAATAATATTAAGAATTGTGTAAATCAAACGAAATTCAGAATATACAATCAATAAAGAAGCAGTATGAATTAAGAGATTCATTAAAAAAAACTTATACAAATCAAACTGAAGCAAACAATATATTACATTTAGTTACAAGCATACATTGAATGTCCTCGAAAAAAGCTATTTCGAGTTTTGGTGAACTTTCTTTTTGTATTTCAAAATAGTTCAATCCTTAGTAGTAAGTTTAAGGTTTACCGATTGACATGATTCTATAAATAGTTCGAGCAAATACCGCCCAGAATGCATAATATACCGTGTCAGTTGATTTAAATACCAAGCTTATGTAATCCAATTTCTTAAACACACATAGCATGCCACGTGTCGTACTATGCAACCAGGGTGCATGATGCTCTTGCACAGCCGCGACATAGGCAATAAACACCTATAGTGGGGAAGAGGTAAGCGAAACATGTGGCGCGTGGGTTACCCAGCGCGAACTTGTTGGCGGGGCCGCGGCGGGGCAACATATTCTTGACGGGTACTGTAACCCACGTGCTTCGGCTGCGTAGGTGGAACGGGGGTTCGTTACATTACTGTCCCATCCATGTTTTAATTGTTAGCCTACGTGGAAAATGTGGGGGATGCCAAATTAGAAAGTGGGGTGTCGCCCTCAGGAAAGGAAAAGGTCAAAGAGAGTTTTCCGCCAAGGTCAAAGAACAACTCCCCAAAAACAAAACCAATGGGCCGTCGCTTTTTCAAGTCTCAAGGAGGGAGCCGCTGCTTAGCGTTTAAGGGCAGTTGTTTTGCTTACTTAACAATTTCCCTAATAATAATCACTTGTTCCGTACAAAACATCACAAATAAACAAAGAAGGATTTGTTTTGATTGAAGGGCCTATGATTGGGCTTTTTATATCTGAATGAGAGAGCTAGGGTTGGATATTCTATGTGCAAAATGTATGTAAAGCCCATGTGTGACTTGGTAGAATGGTAGAAACAAAAAGCACATCAGTTTTAGAAGCTAGCCCATATATGAAACAACCAGGTCGTGGGACAGGCAGAGTTGGCCTCCTAGTAAGGGATACTCTTATATGGGCTTGCGGACCTGATTGCGTCGAACAGCAAGAGACATAGTGACACAAACTATGTTGTGTAGATTTATTAACGGTTTTCAATTTTAATCGAAATCAAAATTGTTAAGAATTTATTGATTTTTTTATTTGTTAATGGAAATTGCCAAGCTTATAAAATAGGTTTTATTTTAGTTAAAAATAAAAAACCTTAATTCGAACCACCACCCTTAGTTGAGTACATAATAGCATACTGGTGTGTTTAAAGATACAATTAGTATGAATGAATGTCGATATATAGCCGCACCTACATTTTCTACTACTATGAGGTAAAATCTTTCTATAACCTCACCAAGACAATGCTATTAAAGGATAATCTCGACTTCCATAAATTCATATAAAGTAATCTAATAGTGCCTTGCAGACCTTTACCAATTCAGATTCCAATGTGTCACTTAAAAAAGTAAAAACGGTTAGTAATAACTTACTAATTCCAAATCTTTGACACCCTTTGATGAAAATACCACCTCAACCTTCACAACTATGATCTTATTCAGTTATTTGGCAAATAATAACAACAAACGAACACATCTCAAGACAAATGAACAAGAGCACTTCACACGAACAAAGACTTGAACAAAAACAAGTACCACACTAGGCAACTAGCTACCATCTACAAACTTTGTTGGGCTTGAGAGATCCAACATAAACAACAAGTAATATAATCAACTAAAAAAATAACTTACTACACTTACGATAAAAAAATAACTTACTACACTTACGAAAGAGATGAGAACCCCTCCAATTCAATCTTCCGTAGTAGCAAGCGACGGCGAGAGCGAGTTCCTCGACTCGTCGCAATCCTCCCTCAACGGCGACTGCTCCACCCTGATCTCCTCAATCATCCTCACCACCTCCACCATCTCGGGCCTCTTCTCCGGCGCCGAAGCCACGCAGGCGAGCGCCACGTGGAGCATCGACACCATCTCCTCCTCGATGTTCTTGTACCTCATCAGCTCCTGATCGAACACCTCCGCCGTCCACTCCTCCTTCACCACCGACCTCACCCACCCCGGCAGATCCCCGGCCCCCGCCGCCGCTGCCACGACTTCGTCGGGGTCTCTTCCGGTGAGGACTTCGAGGAGGAGGACGCCGAAGCTGTACACGTCGGAGTTCTGAGAGAGCCGTTTGGTCTCCATCTGCTCGGGAGCTCGGTACCCGCCCAGCCTGGCGACGGCATGGACCGGGTTTAGCAACAGGGAGAGGCCGAAATCCGCGATGCAAGCGACGCCGTTTCTGTCGAGGAGGACATTGGAGGATTTCACGTTGCCGTGGGGGATTCGGGCCGACCGGTATTCCTCGTGGATCTTGGCTAGCCCACGGGCGGATCCGAGTACCAGGCTGATCCTCGTGGTCCAGTCCAGTGGGATTCGGCCCGGTCCTCTGTTCCCTGGTCAAACCGAAGGGGGGGAAAAAACCAATTCGATTCTCATTATCAAATCTGAATCTGAAACTTGGTTTAGGGAAGAAAACTAAACTAACCGTGGAGAAGCCAGTGGAGGCTGCCGTTGGGCATGAAATCGTAAACCAGAAGCTTCTCTTCTTTGGCATAGTAATAAGCTCTGAACCTGACGATATTACGATGCTTCAGCTTCCCGATCACTTCCATGTACTGCTCGAACTCCCTTCTCCCACAAGGATTCGCGTCCTTCAGCCGCTTCACGGCCACCGTCCACCTGCCGTCGTCCAGCACCGCCTTGTACACCGTCCCCAGGCTCCCCTTCCCCAGCATCTCCGCCGACGCCTTGAGCAGATCCTCCAATTCGAACGGCGGCGGCTGGTCCCTCCCGCCGTCATAGAACACCAGCTTGCTCCTCTCCACCCCGTCGCTCTCGCTGCTCCTCCTTTTCCCGCTCTCGATCTCGCTCCCGACCTTCGACGATCCCCCGTCTCCTACTCCGCCGCAGCAGTAGGCGACTAGGAACGACGCCGCGACGAGGAATGTTACGCAGACGACGATGATCATCGCCGCCATCGCTGCGGTGCTCAATCCTCTGTGCCCCGGCCGCTGCGAGGTCTGGCTTTCCACCACCGGAGGGCTGCTCCATTGCGGGATCGTGGTTGGGTTCGACGGCACCGTTTCGTCCCCTGGGAATCCATATCATAGTTAGAGATCATTCTCAACACTAATTGTTATATACAGATTTTTGAAGAACTCCATTGAACACCTGTAAATGAACACACGGGGAGCGAAGGGCCGGATCCGCAGAGCCCTTCGTTTCCGAAGAAGCCCCGGCGGCCGAATTTCTTCTCCAACCCGTCGGGGACCCTTCCGTACAGCTCGTTGTTGGACAGATTCAGCTCTTTCAGTCCGGGGATGGAGCCGGAGATGTCCGGAATTCGGCCGGTGAGGGCATTGCTCTGGAGCCGAAGAGTCAAGAGCTTGGTCAAATTGCCAATTTCCGGAGGGATGGAACCGCCGAGGTTGTTGTCCGACAGGTCCAAGCGGAGGAGCCGGTGGAGGGAGGAGATCGAACGAGGGATCTCGCCGGAGAAGTCGTTCCCGGCGAGGTAGACGAGCTTGAGGTTGGAGCAGTTGGCGATGGGGGCAACGGTGCCGTTGAGGCGGTTGTCGTGGAGGTCGAGGTAGCGGAGCTGGTCGAGGGAGGCGAGGGAGCTGATCGGGCCGCGGAGGGAGAGGGAAGGGAGGGTGAGGGAGATGACTCGACCGGTGTCGGCAGAGCAGCCGACGCCGAGCCAGGAGCAGGGGACGTTTGAGGTGGTGGTGGTGGTCCAGTTGGAGCGGAGGTTGCCGTGGGTGTCGGTTTGGAGGCGGAAGAGCGTTAGAGCATCCGTATCGTTAGCCGGAGGAGCTGCGGTGGAGATGGAGAGGAAGAGGAAGAAGAAGAAGGAAATGGAGAGTTTCGGTTCCATGGCGGCGATGATGGGGAGAGAGCTCTAGAGAGTAGAGAGTGAGGCGGGAAGGAGTGTTGAAGAAGGGAAGTGGTTTTGTTTAAAAAAAACATAATTTCTTACTTAGGGATGGGAAAAAGCGGGGAAAAGGAAAGGAATTTAAAAAAAGAGGAGAAAATTTGAATGCTTAGAACGTTGAAATGATTAGCTTTGTTTCTTTTTCTTTGCCGCTGAAATGATTTAACTTTTACGGAGATGGTCCCTCAAACTTCTGTGATTAAAATAATTTGACGGTGGAAGAGAGGGATTAATGGATTGTTGATAATTAATAGCATCATGGGGTTGGTGATAGTTGGAATAATTCACCTTAACCCTTCATTTTTTTTTATCTTACAATTAAAGGTAATGATCACAAATCACAATAGTTAGAATAAGATCATACAATTGAAGGGCAGTTGATTAAAGAAGGGACTGTGGGGAGGGAGGGAAATTTAATAATTCCATATTTTGGGGGTGAGGGGAAGTTTTGTATGATTAAAGAGAAGACATGTACAATAGGGGGATATGGTTGGTTGAATGATTGCTCTTTCTCCACTTTGCTATTTTGAACCTTTTGCCTTCAATCTTTGTTCTCTTTTCCCATTCCTTCTTGCCTATGTTCAATTGCCATATGCCCTTACATGATTATTGGTTTGGTAAAAAATTTGATATGTATAAATATCGGCATGGTTCATACCGATGTAGAAAGTAATTATCGAGTATTTAGAAATCTCAGATTGACACAATAATCATTTTGTTTTGATTACTATCAACGGTTTTTTATTCTTTTATTATTCGTCTATAAATGTTTGACGACATTCTTCAATAATGTTGCCGCCAAAATATAGATATCTCTCTTACATGACTTACTCATATAATTCCCATGTGATATTCACATGCACTTCTATACTCCTATCATATGCATCATGTAATATTTCCTCTCATAGACAAAGAGTCGAACAAAATTTGTGTCTTAATTAAGCTATACTTAGCAACGTTTCTGCTAGAAAATACTATTTAACTCGTATGACCCTTGACATATTTGGCTACTACAGTATGCCCTCAAATCCCCCTTTCATTCTATTGCATAATTTGTTTAGTTGGTTAGAAGATCATCATGTCAAAGTGGTCATCTGTCTAGCTGGTTTGAACTTTGAAGGGAAAACAAAGAGAGGGAAAGTGAAAAGGAAAAGAAGAATAATGGAAAGAAGGGATGCATAACATATTTAATGATTAGAGTAGAGGCAATGGTCCCCTTCATTCTATATATTATGGCATGCAGGGATTCCCAACTTTCAAGTCAAGAGGAAGCAAAAAGGCAAAAAGCTGCTTTGCTTTGCCATTGCCAATGAAGTGAATGATCACCTCCCTCCCCCCAACCATCCTCGTTTGTCTTCCCTATTTTGGTGATTACTTAATACTATCGGTATAGCAAAGGCATGTCAGCCATGGCTACTGAAACTATGGTTCATCACTGACTAATTAAGACTCGAAATGAACGGGTAAAAATGCTCACCTGGAAAGAAGAAGACGATAGCACCACACTATGCTTCAGCTCCAAGCTTGCTTGAGCCGGGCGGGCACGACGACATGACATGATCCAGTATCAAATCGAATCAAGATACAACTGAAAGAAATACAAAGAAAAGCTGGTAAGTTGTCTGGGGTAGCCATAAATATTTGTAAATTCAGGAAACAAAAAAAATTGAGCTCTATAGTCTCCCATCACTTTGTTTCTTCCCCAGACAAGTACCAAGTGTCAAACAGAAGCAATCCAGCATGGAAGAAGTGAATTTTGGTAACATGGAAATGGAGCATGGTGTAGTAGTGTCTAAACTGGAAGACTTTGGAGAGCAAAATGAATAGTGTCTTAATAATAAACAATACCAAAGGACCAATCAGGAGGGGGGAAGTGATAAAGGGGGCTGAATGGAAAACGACATGAAATTGGTGGCGGGAATGGCGGTCTAAAATGTCTCTGTATAAGTTGTGTTATTTTCCCCCTTTTTTTCTTGTCGGTCACTCAACAGAACAGAAAAAGGCTCAATGAGTTGACACGGTCAATTAATCTCTTTTAGAAGCTTCCCACTCGACTACTTTACGAAATCCGGACACGGGCTAACAGTGTATTCATAATTTATTGCACAATGTACTTCTGTCTCCCACAGGGGATAATACAGAGACAGACTCCTAACATTTCATTGTTTACACCTTCTCAACAAATTAGATTTGCCATCCTCGATGCGACGAGAAAATGAGTGATTATGATGTGTATTCCTTTCACACACACCACAATCAGACAACCGCAGATCTAATAGATAAGAAGATACGTACATACGTCTATCTCATTTAGCAGTCAAGTCAGATCCCACGAAGCAATCATCCCATTAAGGACACCCTACAATCTATCTAGAAAGACAGTTCTCTAGCTCAAGGGACCAAGTACCTTAACCAGTCAGACTAGTCGACAACGAACTTCTAGGTAGAGGACAGTTGATAACTAAGAATTGTCAGAATGCATGGAATTCTACTGATTTTAGAAGATAGTATTATGTTAGAAATTCCGTGTAATGCTTTATATCATTTAAGATAAGCATGAAATATGATCACAATGAGAAATTTGTAATTACCCTTTGAGAAGTATCTTACCGACCTGGCCAACCAGGTTGTCTTGTCTTAATTCGACTGGAATAGTTTCTGCAGCATCAGGAGTAGGACATAAGGTACAACGTTACACAGAAATTTTACATGTCTGATGAACAAACAGCAAAGTAAGATAAGACATGTGTAAGACACTTGCCTATTTCAGGCTAGCTAGCCGGACCTATAGTTAGTAGGGAAGGTCCCGTAGCCCACCAAACCAACCTGCAAGCAACATGGAAAAACAGATAACAAACCAGCAACAGTAAAAAGATGGGCAGTTTTCCGTGGCTAAGGTTCATGCATCTGATCTTACTGCCATGTTAAATTGTTAATGCAGAAAGAAAAACATGACACGCAAAGGAAAACCAGGACATTGCATCTGTAACTGTAAGAGGGTCTGACCCTAAGGGGAAAATATAAAACATGATGGAAAATAAAAGATCTTTGCATTGCGTGTAAATATGAGACACTGAGACATGAATGATCATAGTTATCGAGGGAGGATAAATAGACATTGCTTCTCTTCTTAAGGGTTCATTCCTCAAACTTTAAAGCAACCTTCCAAATGGCTTTCTCGTTAAAGGCATTCGAGAGTGGTGGGATTTGCAAGATTGTGAAGCTACGGAAGATTTTTACCGATGTGTGCCAGAAGCAGAACAAGCTTCCCCGGGATGTGCCTCCTGGTCATTTGCCAGTGATGGTTGGGGAAGCTGGTAAGAGGATGGTCATAAGAGCAGATCATTTGAACCATCCAGTTCTCAGGCAGCTGCTGGACCAAGCGTATGAAGAGAATGGTCGCAATAACGATGGACTGTTGGCCATACCTTGCGATGAGCCTTGTTTTCGGGATATAATCCACTCGCTTACAGTTGGCGCGAAGATATCTGGTTCATTTATCGGGCACATGAGAAATACTGGGATCAAGACTGCAGAAGGATTTGAGAACATTTCTTCGTGATTCAAGTAAAAGAGCAGCAGTTTTTCTCCTGGGAGAGCATAAGAATCACAACATCAGGCTGAAGCAAGTAAACAAAACTGGGAAGAGGGCATTTCTGATTAACAGGATTAACACTCTTGCTCCATACAGCAGTCCACCTTGAATATGCAATGTACATGTAAGAAAAACACAAGAATGGATGCTGGATACAAAACAAGCTGTTAGAAGTTTATATGCCTAGAAACTTTAACAGCTAGAGATTTGAAAGAGAACTCTGAAATTGATCGATATCGATTCATCAATATTCTATCATCATGATGTATTGATCTGCATGCAAACCAAACTCAGATTTCAATTTTCATAGACAAACAAGCCCGATTACCTTGTAATTTATGAGGAATGACGATTTTCATTTTCTTCTTCCGGTATGCAGATCCTGTCGATGACATGGGTATCTAAGAGGTTCCAAACGTTGGCAAGAATTCCACTTGACAGGGTATCGAACGTTTGTTTTGAAGCCATGCGTCGTACTTTTAGCAACTCTGTGTCACTGAAGAGCTGAAAGAGAGTTTCTTGAAGCTCTTCCTTTCCAGACACCTGAAGAAGTGAAACAGACACAAAAATAGTCCACTTAAAAGAGCTGAAATGGTACAGTCAGAAGGCTATAAATGGACCAGAGAAGTGAAGAGGGCATCGAAAACCTGCACAACTGAAAGAGGATCCAGTCGTTGCATTTCATTTATCATGTGTGAGAAGTGTCCGACATGAAAACCTGAAACCAAAAGGAGCAGTGAAGGGTTTGAAAACATGGCATGAAGTCTATATATAGCATGAAGGACAGGGGGAGAGGGAGAGAGAGAAATGACCAGTTAAAACAGCACAGCCAGCTGCGGCAGCTTCGGATATGTTATGGCCAGTGAAACCAGGACAGAAGGAACCTCCAATGACGGCTATTGGAGTTAGACTATATAGGCGCCTCAATTCACCTATTGAAGAAGTTTGAGAAAAGGATAATAACATCATGGAGCAGATGTGGAATGGAACCTGGTAGAGTTTAGAAGCAAACCTAAAGTGTCGACCACGTACACCATTCCTCTAGCCGTTATCTTTTGCTTTCGAGACCTCAAGGCTACATGAAGTCCTTCTTTCTGCAATTCCTGCACATTTTTAAACAGGAAAAAAAAAGTTAAGAAAACTGAATTAAGTTTATGATCAAACAAATTTCACTAGAATCACAATTTGAAATGAAGACATCAAGTTCCTCGGTCGACAAGAAAACAAGTTTTCGAGTCTTACGATTTAGATGGTAAGAAGCTCGAACGTAGGCAGGATATATGCAAGATTTCAGCAATATGAACTAGTTGGAACATAAATGACGAAATAGAAACAACCATGGTGGCCTATCATATATATATGTATTGACTGGGCTAAATAATTTGCTCATCCGGCCATTGTCTGAAAGCTCTTAACTTTTAAATGACGATCAATGCAAGTTGCAACAGTAGGATATGTCTTCAACAACAGGTCTAACTTCTAAGTCCAGACATTTGAGTTAGATCAGACTTATCAAACGAGTGCAGAAGGCATCAATTTTAAGGGACAGAATACATGCTGCCAAAAAAACTAACCACTCAAACGAGCAGACGCATAAGCGTAGTTTAGACGCGAAACAACTAGCTTAGGTGAAGAAAGATGGAACTAGAACTGAAATTCATACTTCAACGATATGGTGTGCAAGCTGCAGGTGGCGAGGGACAATAATAGTCACCAAGTCAGGGTACCTTTGCACCAACGATCTGTGAACTGCTAGCATTACTGAACATAGCAGTCGTGAATCGTGAGTAAAAAAAACAATGATGTACGAACAGCACTCAGTTAACTGTAGGTATACAAGACAACTTAGGAAACCTGAGCATCAATACATACAACAGTAAATGAAGCTTTTGGCATTTTGTAGTGGATATATTCTATACCATGCGCCATCAAGTTGTAAGATAGATTCAACGTTAAACTGTAATTAAAAATAATAAAGTATTGACATGAGGCATAGACAGACCAAGCAAGAAGCCAGTGCAGCTGGAACACACCTTGTTCTTCACCTCTGTGAATTGATGCAGCCATCCATACATGCCTATCAGAGAGCTGTTCCTTTAAATCTTTTGTGCTTGCTATATTCCTCTTGGACATGTCATGTTCTACCACTGAAGTAGAAAAATACCATCACCTTTCCATTAGGGTGTATATACACCTGAAGCTATCTTAGGAACCCCCAAAAAATGTGATAACTAAGGCAAATTCAGATATCTAGTTCTAAGCCATGGGCAAAATTTATATTTATGCCTTGAACCAACCAAGATGTGAGAAGTGTGACGATTGACCAAACACAAAATAGATATCATACCATATAAAATAATACCATGTTAGTAGAGGACAAGTGAGATAAACATACCGTATTTCAAATCACCGGCGAAATTTACGATTAAAGGTGGAGCTTGCAAAAGCTGGAAGCGTATTCCCTGTGTGGTACTCTAAAAGAAAAGGTCAGTGTTAGCATCAAGCACAACATTGGTGAAGAAAGAAAAAGGGGGGGAAAAGACACAAGGACCGAGAATGAACCAGTGGGACAATCAAAGCAAACTTGGATAGCATCAACGATATCAACGGAAGGGCCAAACCTGACCAAAATCTGAAGGACTTAACAGACATCCGAGCATTCGATAATGTAAGTGGAATCTGCAACATCAATGGAAATAAGTCACTCCTCAAGGCATATAATCTTGCATATTGCCTAACCCAACCAATGAAGCTATCCTCTAAGGATGCAGAATGAGGAATAGCTTTCATCCATCAACTTTTTCCCCCTCCTAATCTTTCATTAAACTCCTCCAAAATCCAAGCAAGGCCTAATTCACAATCCCAATCTACTACCAATTTCATGTTGGAATACTTGCATAGGTGAAACAATTACTATCTCACAAGTCACAGGGAAGAAACATGGCTTATGATGCATATGGATGGATGGATAACTCATAACTTACGCCCTTAGTTGAAGAAATCATAATCAGATTCGGCCACAGCTCACTCTCCATTAAGATAACTGCAGATGGCCTCCAGTAGCACAGGAAAGCATCAATGGCAGCCGGGGTATCCACAGGACAAAACTGGTTCAATCGGAAAATGCAAACAATTAGTACCAATTTCACAGCGCAAACGGAGAATTCACAACTACATAAATCATTAGCTACTCAGCTACAGAGGAATCAAGTAGGGACGACGAATGAACCTGGTGCAGAACGCCACCCGGAAGATCATTCTCGAGCACCTTACTGCAGCAAGCAAACAAAACGAACGAAATCCTCACCTCCATAGCCAAACAGTTTAACGACCGACGAATCAGGGATAACTAGAATCTCACAAAGCGGACATCGTCGTGGTCGTCATCAGAATATTCAACCCAAGCCGCCGATGAGCGCACTGCTTGACGACTGGAATCGCAGCCATCCCTTCGCCTGGGAAATTCCACGCATACATACACATAATTAAGTTCCCACTTCAAATCGTGAAATCGGCAAAACAATCAAACCGTACACGAATCAGGAGAAACCTAGGGAGACAGCGTGAAACCAGACGAGAGGACCAAGAGGCCGGGGGAGAGAAGGCCGGCCAATCCTCTCGTGCCATCGAGCCGGGTGCTCGCGGCCGCGGAACACGCGCCACCGCAGGTGAAGCTGCAGCACCGGCGACAGTCCGCGAGTTAGCGCCCTGTAGATCTTGTAAACCATCACTCCTCTCGCCGCGGCGGCCATTTCTACACTACTTCTCCTTCTCGCTCAGCTTCTCTATTCCCTCTCGCAATTCTGATGTTTAGTTTTCAGTACTGTTAACTGTACATTTGTTTGTTCTCTTCGTCTCTCTGCTTTCAGTTCAAAGTTCAAACGAATTCATTCTCCGACTCCGGCGCCATAGTCTCCAAAAAATTGCCGCCGTGTCTGGAAAAAGGAGAACGTACAATAATGGGCCGGGCTGTCTTGGTTTGCTGTTCAGTAAGCCTGGACTCGGCCCATGAGTTGATTTGGATGTGTAATGCGCGGCCCACTTCGGAGCTCGCTTTATGCAAGAAAAATGGCTGGTTTTAATTTTCTAGCAACTAATTACAATCAATTTAATAATTCCTGCTAAAAACGACTTAGTAATAATTTTTTTATAGAAAAAACGACTTAGTAATAGTTAATAATTATAGAACAATTCAAATTCAACGAACAATGGTATCATAATGTTCGGCAACTCAGCCAGCGGCATAAGACAATGGCTATACTTATAGCAAGAAAATGACGACTATGGTCATTTTTTATTTTCAATATATGGGATAATGTACAATGAGAAAGGAACGTAATAATAGTGAAAATGGAGATAGTACGGGATTAATAATTAAGCAATTGACATTTGGTACGATCGACCATGGTCATAGGTGATGATGACATGAAGTTGACAATAAGGCAAATGTACATACTTCGAGTTTAAATTGCTTAGTCAAAATATAGTACAGTGAGTGAGAAGCGATTAAATACGTATATTATGCGTGCGCATGACATATAGGATTATATAAGGGGCCATGTACTTACATAAACATTTTGTATCTCTATGTATATGCGACTTATATTTTGCAAACGCATAACGTACTATCAACGCGTTTGGTCTAGTTTATGTAAGACATAATGGTAAATTAATTTGATTGTTGTATTTTATAAAAAAAAAACAGTCACGATTAAATCGCAATCATTGTGGTGCAGTATAAACCAACTTGTCTTAATAACTCGAGTTGTTGGGAGATACTCATATATGGATTTTGACCACTTTCTTGCACTTATTTGCAAATCATAGTCTATGGACTTGAAGTTTACATAGGCCTATTATACTATGTAACTTATTATAACTATTAATATTGGTGGGAGTGAAAACTTAAAAACGTGACGTTAATGACAAACCATCTCTGATTTTCTTATATACACCTAATGAGAGTTGGGATATGGAAAGACCTTTGGCTGTAAGGCTAATCACAAACACCATAGAAAAATAATTGTACAAATCTGGACACTCGTACAAGAACATGAATCTCAATTAAAATATGGTTGTATTCAATCTAATGATTGGAAATTGATCGAAATGTGGGTGATCCAACGATTTTCGCATTGATCAACTCGATTTTCCCTTCAAAGATAGCGTATTGGCGATATAAGGTAACTTACAGCTTACAAAATAATCAGACGCGATAGTCAGCAAATAATCAAACTGCTGTCGATTAAATGAAGTGAACGTATGGTGTGCCACTAAATGGGTTGCCCAATTAAACCGACACAGTATATAAGTACAAGAAAATAAGATAAAAGATAAAAATAGTCGACCAACTTCCTCCAAAACAGCTCCCCGAAACAATGCTCAACTCATGCTCAACTCGATGTTGATATACTAATTAACAAGATTCATAATAGGATATTGGTAAACATTATAATTAATAGCACATAGCAAATTGAATGAAAGGGCATCTTATTTAGAGTGCAAACAATAAACCGTGATCACCATATAAAATCAAATCACCCAAATCATTTGTTAAGTACCCCATCTGCATGCCTATCTTTTATCCCCTCCAAAATAGGTGACCTGATCACCATTGTTATCACTCTCGAACTCGATATCCAAAGAGGGAAACCGACATGGAAAAGGACAATCGAAGAACAATCATGCTTCCAAAGTTCCTCCAAGAAGGAAGAAAAAAGGAATATATTTCTCTCATATAGGACGAGAGTCCTTCCATCTACCTAACATGTTTGTACGTAAGAGGATTGTTGTTGCGTCCCTTGATATCTTTCCTAAACATGACCTTCCGAGAAAGAACCGCATTTATTCCAAACGGAGATGATTCGTATGTTTATATTACTTCCAAAACTCTGTCTATTTTTAATATTGACCTATACATATCGGGACGGCGGGTAAAAACTGGTAATTGTTGGCCAAGTTTCGCGAGCATATGGGGAAGATAACAAACGTTACTTTATTAGGTAAGTTGGTTAATTATTTTACACAGGATTGGGCATTTCATGACAACTGATTGTCCCACTGTCTACATGTTACTAAATATATAGGTTTGGGTTACGGGTTTACAGTACGAGACTAAGAGCTACAAAACTCGTGTCTTAGTACATCAGTTATGAATCATATCATCTCTCGATATAATGCCCATATCAACGTGATATAAATACTAATTTTCTATAAATAGTAGTAAGAAATGAGTTTTACTATGTTTTGACTTTTGTACCATGTCATTTCCCTTATATATACTTTGCTCATATCATATATATAATTATTTAATAACACCAAGAAGAAAACCAAAAAATCTCAAAGCATGTATAATTTCTTTCAGGTAAAATACTGTTTTATGTTGACAAAGCTAAAATATTATATTACAAAAAAAAGGTAAAATATTATTGGAGACAAGTTTCGGATACTTCTAAGATAAATTTTAATTTTCAAAACTCATTATCACACTTGTAGATGATTGACATGACATCGCTAACTCGCAAGTAACGAAATTATGAAATGACATCAATGTGATTAGCAATTTCGTCCATCATTGATCCAATTCATGGAAATTATTTATGTTACTAACATGACAAACGAGTTACAGATACTTTGTAGTTTGAATGAGATGTGTGTCACTAATTAAGCTACAATATTTAATAAGAAACGATTACGATGCAAAATCGAGATATATGAAACTTATAAAATTCCATGTGTTTGTGTGTTTCATGGATAGTAAAATTATTACTATCTAGGAACGATATAGATTTTACTGGATTATAATTTCACACCAAACGACAAGGGCAATTGTTTAGTTTTACAAGGATCAATTGTAAAACGAGACAATTTGACCAATTGTTTCATTTTACAAAACAAGTCATTTAAAATGAGTCAATTCAGATTACCTGCCCCCACTCCAGACAATTTTAATTGGCTCAAAATGAGTCAATTCATAATTCCCCAGCCCAAATTGCTTCATCCAAATTTTCTGCTGCCAAACGGATCAACCTAGCACAATTGACCCAAAACGAGACAATTGTGTCAGATTGATCCATTAGAATTTCTCATCCAAACGACCCCATAGAGAGAGGTTAAGCCAAATAGCCGTCACAAGTTAATGTTAAGTGTGGCAAGTTGGCAACTTGACTTTGGTCCACAATTACGTACATTACGAATAGACCATAAAAAGTAATAAGTTTAGGGGAAACAAATTAGAGGTACAATAATTAATTAAAACTCCATAGATTATTACTCCTCCATCATACTTCTCAAGGCTCGCCTCTTGTCGCTATAGCTCTATATAATAGAAGTCCTAACTCCTATACACCTATACCAACTTCCATTAACGTAAACTGAAAACCATAGCTAGCTAGTAGCTTCGAGAGAAGAAAAAAAAAAAAAAAAGATGGCTTCCGCTATAGACTACGAAATCTCCGGCATAACCCTCCTCCTAATCCTCTGGGTCGCCTGGGCAATGACGACGGAGCGCCGCCACCGCCGCCTCGAGCAGCTCGGCCGCCTCCCGCCGGGCCCCCGCCCGCTCCCGCTCGTCGGCAACATCTTCCAGCTGGGCTGGGCCCCGCACCGGTCCCTAGCCCGCCACGCACGGGCCCACGGCCCAATCATGACGCTCTACCTCGGCTCCATGTGCACGGTCGTGATCTCGTCGAAAGAAGCCGCACGCACCATGTTCAAGAGCTACGACGTGGTGCTGGCGGGACGGAAGATCTACGAGTCCATGAAGGGGCCCAAGAGCCGCGACGGGTCCATCATCACGGCCCAGTACGGCCCGCACTGGCGCATGCTCCGCCGCCTCTGCACGGTGGAGTTCTTCGTCGGGCACCGGCTCGACGCCACCCGAGCCGTACGGAGCCGGTGCGTGTGCCGGATGGTCCGGTTCATCGACGAGGCGAGGGCCCACGAGCCGGTGGTGGACCTGGGCCGGTTCATTTTCCTGATGGCGTTTAATCTCATAGGGAACCTCATGTTCTCGAGGGACCTGCTGGACCCGGAGTCCGAGAGAGGGGCGCGGTTCTTCCACCACGCCGGGAAAGTGATGGAGTTCGCCGGGAAGCCCAACGTGGCGGATTTCTTCCCCGTTCTGAGCCGGTTCGACCCGCAGAGGATCCGGAGGAACACGCAGTTCCACGTGGAGCGGGCGTTCGAGATCGCTGGGGAGTTTATCGAGGAGAGGTTGGTGGAGATGGAGAGGACACGTGGCGACGAGGAGGAGGAGAAGGAGAAGGATTTCTTGGACGCGTTGTTGGGTTTCCGCGGGGAAGGAGTTGACGAGCCGGCGAAGTTCTCTTCGAGGATGGTCAACGTTATTGTCTTTGTAAGTCTTTTGTTCTCTCCACGCTTTCATTTTCCATCGTTAGTTCGTTACTAATACTTATTACTAACCAAGGGAAATGAGACAGATGGTTGACTATAAGTGAGTAGAGATGGCAATAGATCAGGTTCCCAAACTCAATCAACGGGTGCATCTACTTAAAAAAATAGAAAAAATACGTACCTAATTTTGGAAGAGTAAACCCAACTCAATGAGCATCTGTGAGTTCACAAACATGACTACACATGATTTCTTCCAACAATAATATCTTATCCCAATATTATAAAAAACCACTACAAATATATATATAAAGACTAATAACACCTATGAATTATTTATATTATTACGTTTATATTGATTTAAGAACAAATAATATTCATAAATTATCCATATTGTACATGTTAGATACAAAATGATATTTTTTTTGTGTGCGAATCGGGTGGAAAGTGGGCAGGGTTTTTACAAAGCCTAAACACAACACAACCCGCCATTTCCAAAAGCATGTGAATCCCGTGTCCGGCTAAAAATACATTACCACTTTGTTTTACCCGCTTTGATCAAATTAGGTTGGATACTTATAAGTTTGGGTTTAATCGTCATCTATAACTAAAAGTCCATAACTAGTCAACAAAGTCAAGCTATTTAGATATTTCTTACTTCTAGCTAGCAAGTGAAAAGACAAACAAATAAGGTTGCTATTTAGATTGTTCTAACTTCTAACTTGCAAGTGAAAAGACAAACAAGTAAGTTTGAGAGAAGTAATGGATGTGTTTTCTGTTACGGCGGAATACTCTATGAAATCAGACAGGGAATGATTGAGAATTAGACAAAGTGGTCGTCGTCTAGTGTGTGAGATAATTAGAATTCAACCAAAAGAGATCGAATGCCACATGAGAAAAGTATGATAGAATTCAATCGTTGTTCTCTATGAATTGATATCCGACATTCTTATTTGTAATATATACACTACATTGTTTTGATAGAACTGTTCAATGTAACAATGGCTTTTAACTTATATATAGCTCTTATATTATGTTGTTAAATATCTCTCGTCAAAACATTTAAAAGGTGTTGCTATTGATTTATACTTAATAAATACGTTTTAAATTGCTCACTTGCCAACTTTGTAGGAGATGTTCACGGCAGGTACAGACACAACTACGAGCACATTGGAATGGGCAATGGCCGAACTCCTCCACAACCCAGAAAAGCTACACAAGGCCCAATCCGAGTTAAGAGCCGTAGTTGGCCCAGGGAAGAAACTTGAAGAAGAAGACATCCCTAGTCTACCATACCTTAAAGCCATCATCAGCGAAACGTTGAGGCTCCATCCACCATTGCCCTTCCTCGTCCCGCACATGGCCATGCAGCCATGCAAAATGCTAGGGTACTACATCCCCAAAGAGACCCAAATCCTAGTGAACGTTTGGGCCATCGGCCGGGACCCGAGCACGTGGCCCGACCCACACGAGTTCAAGCCCGAGAGGTTCTTGGACTCCGACGCGGTGGATTACAAAGGCCAGCATTTCGAGTTCTTGCCGTTTGGGTCGGGCCGGAGGATGTGCCCGGCCCTGCCTCTCGTTTCTCGGGTTTTGCCCCTGGCGTTGGGCTCGTTGTTGAATGAGTTTGATTGGGCTCTGCCCGATGGGCTCGAGGCCCAGGATTTGGACATGAGCGAGAGGATGGGCATTACCCTTAGGAAGGCTGTTCCGTTGAAAGTGATACCGAGTAGGAGGTACTAGAGAGTTTTGAGTGATGATGGTTCCGATGATATTGCGAATTTGCGATGCATCTTTGTATTGTTGAAGAGGGATTTAATTTGCTCGAATGAGGAAAGCTTCTCCCTCGGGTTATGTACAAATATCATATGGTTTGCGTAGGTCGTTTGTATGTCATTCCACAAATGAGTAAATATGACATTTTCTAAGTAGCTGTTGCCTGTGTGTTGGAATGCACGAAATTTTTGATCGATATTCATTGGTGTGATGTGAAGTTACAACTTACAAGGGCAGTTGTGTTCTCTCAGCAAACGGCACCGTCTCAAATGTCACCATTTGTCAACCTGGCTCCTTCGGTGGCATTTTAACATACGAGGCAAACTATCCGATCCAAACGAGTCACCCAATAACAGCCGAAACCATCTATTGAGTAGATCCGTTGTCATTCTTTACTTACGTTCTTGTCAAATTTCTTGAATGCAGGGGAGGCTTGAAATACAGTTACTGAAAATGGAGGGAAGACCAGAACAGGCGGCGTCGCCGGCCTTCTCTTGGCCGCCATTCCTATCCAAGTAAGGAACTTTGCGCTAGCTTACAATATTCGTGGGAGCTTTTTCAATCCATTCGCCATACATTTTAACCAATGCAGTCAAAGCGTTATGACGATCCAGAAACGCAAATGCATAAACTTTTAATCTTTAAATTGCGATTTTGACTTCATTAATTCTAACTACTAATTTGGTATCAATGGTAAAGATGGTTGTAGGCACGTTCATGCCAAACGGCTACAAGGTCCATAAGCGTAAGTACACTCACCGTGAACCGCAGACGGCCGCCGCACCACAGCCGACGGCGATTCTTGCAAAAAGTGAGGCGGCTGTCACGTGACGGCAGAATATGAATGATGGGAGGCAACTGTCGTTCCATGGCAACAGCAAGAACAAAAACAGCCACCACAATTACAATCATAATTATTTGGTTACTCTGTTTTCACCTGCTCAGCTCTTGTAGTCCATTATTGTAGTCGTAGAGTAGCAGAGCTTTGGTTTACATGTTCTGTTCTTGACAGGGGACTCATATCAGTATTAATGGGTCTTTTCTAAGGAGGGTTCCAATTCTTATGAATTTTCATTAGACGTTTGTTTGGATTAATCATTTCAATGCATTTTCAATTGTAGCCCAACATCACTTACATAAATAGCAAGAGTTTTGCTTGATATACTAGACTCTTTTGAGGAAACAAAGAAAACAGTCTACTGTTTCGAGAAGACACTTGAAAAAAAAACATCGAACCGACGAGACTAGGCTGAAAAGCGAGATTCATTTCTTTCCATAAACGTCGATAATCTTGCTGTAAAAGCTCCAATCTGGGTGTGAAGAAGTTATTGCAGGCTTGCCAAATGGATTGGTTTTCACGAAAGTAGGCACATCTTCAGCTTCAGAGAGTTCATCCAGGTACTTCCTCAGCTTCCCTTCAGGTCCTAATACAAGCACAAAATGACCCAAATATGAAAGTTAAAGACTTACAACTACCCTTTTCAAGACGCAGTTTAGATCGAATGTTCTTTAGTTTCTAAATTAAAACTTTCATTAACAAGATGTGTGCTTTATTTTATAGCTCAAATGATTGATTCGTAATGATCAGGTGACTCACCTAGCTCGTTGTCAGAGACGTTCGAGACAGTGTACTCCTCGGGGAAAATGGATGTATTAGGCTGCATGTACGAGCGATCATAAGTAACCACAGGTACATATGAATTTAAGTATGAATGACCTATGATATGAGTGTTAAGGAGCAAAAAGGATACCGGATTGACAAGGGACTTGTAAGGGTCACTATCTATCAGCAGAGATTCTGTAGCCAAATACTTGGTGCCTTTGGCGCTGAGGGACTCCACAAGTTGGTTCAGATCCTTGAGGAAGATGGGCTTAAACTTGTTATCCAAGCACTTGAATCCTGTTCTGGTACATTCTTCCTGATCCTGAAGAATGATAAATCACATCCAAGTTAATAGCTTCGACATGGTAATCCAGAATTCGAAAGGATTTCGGTTTGGATGATTACCCAAGTGAACAGAAGCTGTTTCTTGAGACCTCCCATCACACAATCCAGAGCATCATCCAAATTCGACCTGGTTTGAGACACAGACAACCCAAAACCATGATCAATTCAACTAAATTGCATGGGAGAAAAATGGTTTCAGGGAAAAAATCAAAATGATTCCATGTCTTGTTTACTAACTCTTTCGAGGACGACCAGATTCCGACTTCAAATCGTTCAAAGCAGAATTTGACGAAGTCATCACAGTAAGGCCTCTTGTAAACTGCAACAAAATAAGCAATTACACAATGAACATCCGCATTCAGTACACGATACAATGAACAAAACGAGAAAATGCTAAAAGACAGAGAGAGAGAACTTCATGTCTTACTACGGAAAGTTCCAACATCTGCATCAGGCTGGCGGTTGCGAGGAATCCTGATTTTGTTTTCCCTGTATTTAAAGACCTTGTGGCAGAGGAGCCCACCAAGTGAGATTACCAGCAGCTTCTTCTTAGGTCCGAGGCTCAGCTTTCCCAGGGAAAGTAGTTCATCGGGCAGATCTCCTCCTTGGTCCTCAGCTTCCGAGTCGTCGCTATTGACGCTTTTTTCATCGTCGTCGTCGCTACTGTTGCAGAGTGCTTTCAGCTTGATCAAGTCACCGCCTTTCTTGGCCATGGCTTTCGTTGGTGCTCTGCTCTATATATGTCTGTCTCTCTTATGCTTGAGGAGGGATTGGATGATGGATTGGTAGAAGAATCAAAGAGGTGTTTATATAGAAATATTAGATGGATTGGCGACGGGGGAGATTAATGAATAATGAAAGCTCTCGTTTAAAACACAGGGTGACGGTTTGACTGCCTAATTAGAGTGCATGGAGAATGTAATGGTGTCTTTACTTCTCTTTATTATAGGTGGAGACCGCTTGGAAATATAAATCTCCCATGCTTCAATGTCAATGAATGTGCATGCATGCCATGATTAGCATGACAATTCGGGCTTTGAGTTGTTTCATGCATATGGTGGATTATCTTAAGTCCAACTTTCTCCAAAACATTGGGTTATTTGAGTCAATTTTTTTTCACTGGACCGATCAATTCTAATTTCGCACCAGTTAGAACAATCCTTGATATATGAAGATGATGTGCATTGATGCATCTCACTGTCAAAGTCGTTACTTCTTTTATTAGTATTATCTCGACTCTTCGTACTAATTGTTCGCGAATCATTACAGTTAATTGTTTATTTGGGACATTTGTATTAGTTTATGGTTATGATTATAATTATTAATTGTTTATTGAATAGGAAGTATAGTCTAGTTGATTTTGTATCAGGAGAATGTTTTATTTACACGGTTGAACATCAACGGAGTTGTTCCATTTATGTTGCTCGAATTTTAAGAACTCGACTTTTGAAAATGCCTTACGAATAATCAAACCCGACCAACATGCAGGACAAAATGGTAGTATTTAATGAAAGCAAAAATGACGAGAATTACATAAGAGCATCTCCATTGGAATTGCAATTAGAATTGCATTATGACATGACATTCATTTGCAATTGCATTATGCAATTACATCGATGTAGATGACAATTGCATCTTTGCAAGCTTGCATATAAGAAAGATAACAAATTTTTGGGATTGCCATAAAGAAAGAAAGAAAAGAAAAGGTTTAAAGGACTTTGAATTTAAGAGGGTGAGGAATGACCGGTGATTAAATAAAGGAGAATAGGTTTTCTCTTGTTTAATTTGGCCGTGGATGAAGGAACCTACTAAAGGAAAGGGAACGAGAAGGATGTTGATGCCAAGATGAAATTGAGGAACAAGTTCATAATAGCTAAAAAAAAATCAGTTCATGGTCTATGGTTACTTAGACTATGCAACCAAGAGTGAGAATATAGAAGGCTAGAAAGTGTGAAGAATTATACAATATCTGTAGTCTAGTAAGATAAAAAGCATTGGAATGATAAAGTATTGTGGATGGAAAGAAGTGTTTCCAGAGTTTAGCAATAGAGATGAATTAATGCTTTTTATCTATATTTTGATAATGGTGATGGAATGCATTAAAACATAAACGAAAGAAGAACAGTACAAACGAGACACAAAAAAATGAAAAACAAAGAATAAAAGGCGGTTCACAAGATAAGAACCAACCAAAAAACAACCAAAACAAAGGAAGAAAAGAACTGCTAGATGGTGACATACAACAATCTCAAGGATAGGTAACACTTTCTGGGTTCAAGTCCTACAAGTTCTTGACACTGGTTGCCACAAATATGGCTGCAAGGGGATTGGATATCAATGATGTGCAGTTGATTATCCAGTGTGAACCTTCGCGTGATGTTGAAGCTTATATTCATCGATCTGGACGTACAGGAAGAGCACACAATACTGGGGTCGCTGTGATGCTCATTGATTCCAGAAGGGCTAACATTTCCAAGATACATAGGTGTTGATATGACTTGAATCGGACTATCAGCCGCTACGACTGGTAACCGGGGGTACTCCTCTGTAATCTGTAATCTCCTCGATATAGTGAAACTGGCTCTCTCTCGCCCGTGGACTAGCTAACACACATCGTGTTAGTGAACCACGTAAATCGTGTGTCTGTGTTCTTTCGATTCTCGCTCTCGTATTCTTGCTTTATCGATTCCGGCAATTTCCCGATCCGTAGCAGCGCGTTTATAACAATAGGGAAGCTGGTGTAACAATTTTAACATGTAGTTGCACCTCAAGCTACTGATATCCACCAATTTGTTGGCCTACAAGCAGCTCAAACAATAACCAAAGTTTCAGACAGTGTGATCCCTGCTTTTTAAGGTTGCAGCTGAGGAACTATTGAATTCTTCTGGTACATTAGTTGTGGATCTCCTAGCTAAAGCATTGGCAAAGGCTTTTGGTTATACCGAGATTAAGACTATATCACTTTTTATCTATATTGAATATATAATAAAGTGATTTAATGTTTAGTGCATGATTTGCTAACCTATTATGCATGAGTTTGAAATATGAACTTGAAGAATAATGATTTCTTCTATATTATAGTATATAGATAGCTATATATCATATTATATTGGGAAAGTATAATTTAAGACTAATTTAGACCAACGACATGATCATGGAAGTCCAATTCCAAAGTTGATAACACGAGACCATTCATCAGTCTAGCCAAAATTGAAAATCCAACCGAGAGCAGCAAATGTAAAAGAAAACAAGGGAAATGACAAATTTAGTGGTGATCATCAACAACTTCCACCATGAGCCTGGATTATCTTTTTGTAGTAAGCCCAATCAGAATGGGCTGGAGTGATAGCAGGCTTCCCAAATGGATGGGCCTTCACGTAAGACGGGACATCATCTCCTGCTCTCGCTAGCCCATCCAGAAACATCCACAGTTCACCTCCTGGAGCTGCAAATACATTGCCGCAACGGAGCAAGAAACGTCGTTAGAAGACCGCACAATCCCATTAACTAATGAATGCAAAGAGAAGCGTCAAATTATGTTGGATAGTTGAAGGTATTTACCTAGTACATTGTCATTCATGTTCTCAAACTTGTACTCAGTAGTGAACACCGCAGTATTGGGCTACAACAATTAAACATTTAAAAATGCATAGCGATATATCATAAACAAATTCATAGCTTAATACCTGATGAGAAAGTGTCCGTACAACAAAACAAGAAGTCTTACAGGATTCAGAAGTGTCTTGTAAGGCTCGTCTTCAATCATTAAGGTATTCGAAGCCAAAGCCGAATACGAGACATTACGAACCATAAAAAGGTTATCCAAAACCTTCTTCAGCTCTTTCATAAACAGAGGCTTGTCCGTCTTGTTCAGAGTCTTGAATCCTGAGTCTTTACATTGATCTTGATTCTGAGGATGAACAATACTTTTATAAAGAAATTATAGATTTTATTTTGTACCATGTATGTATACTTAAAAAGAAAATAGGTTACATACCCATGTGAACACAATGTCACTTCTCTTCAACCCATTCATCACACAGTCTAAAGCGTTGTCCGTATACCATCTGCCAGATCATTAACCGATCAGTAAAATAGAAGACTAATAGTTTTCTATTATAACCATCACTGACTATTGACATATTCAGTAAAATACGGTACGAGTAGATATAAAATACAAACGGATGATTTATTTTGTTATAAAGCATATGAAATGAATTATTCCAAAAATAAACAAATGTGTAAATAATATTGAAAATATCAATTTAATTCATTATATACAAGTAAGTTATACTAATTTTATACGTGTTAAATACAAGAATCACCCGATGAACAGGAAAAAAGAAGAAGATAAAACTGTTTGTTAAAAGTATAGTAACATAAAATTTGAACGCATAAAATATGCTCGTAGTAAACGGAATATTGACTAACCTCTTAGCCGTGGTCCAAAATGCAACGTCGAACCTTTCGAAGCAGAAGTTCAAGAACTCTTGACAGTGTGGCCGCTTGTAAACTTGAAATGCATGCAATAATAAAGTTTATTTAAAACCGATGAAATAAGAAACTGCATGAGTTTATAACGTCGGAGTACTTCTCACCAACGAAGCTCCCGTAGGCTGCATCGTGAGGGCGAGTGGCGGCGACGAGTCGGTACTGGTTTTCTCGTTTGAGGACACGATCGCAGAGCAAGCCGCCGAGGGCCAGAATCAGAAGCTTCCGCCGGTTCGTGGTCGGGCGGCGAGGAACAAAGCTCGCCGGGAGGTGAAACGTCGTCGTCTTTCACTTGTTTCTGCTTCAGTTTCCCGGCCTCCATATCTCTCTGACTCTCTCTCTCTTTGTGATGTTTGAAGTTCCGGTAACTTGGAGTGTAATTTATGGAGGAAGGAATGGATTCCTGACGCTTGGACTGGATTAGCATTTAACTGCCTGTCGTTAGCAAATGAGTAGCTGATTCGTTACATTATGTGATTAGTAATAATTATTACTAGTACTGATCCTGAAGATGTTTCGATTTCCAATATGTTATTAGGGAATATTAATGACCTGTCGAACAAACTAATTATTTCCCCCCGTAATTGTTGTGTTCTCGGTCATCCTTTGTTAAACCAAAGCCTTTTGAAACCCAAACTGACAGAATACACAGGGTTTGTTTGCTAATACTAGACTGAACTCAGGATTTACTTTGGCTGTAGTATGCTACTTCTTGGTTGATCTGCATAAATAGTTAAGCATTACTTCTTTTTGCTGTTGTAAATGCTCGATTGCATCTCTCCTTCTATACCAGAGCCACAAATCAACACCACAAATTGAACACCTATCAGCTTGCTATGACATAACAAGCATACATCCGAATCAGTAACCCCCCACTCCTTCTGTCCTTCAATTGCACTCTAATTTTTATTCGGATCATTTGGATGAGTTAATTATCAATGTGGTATTTGTAGAGTCAAATAACTCATTTATTGTTCATGTGGTATTTCAATGTTATTTCAGTGGTAATTGAAATAAAGTATCTCGTTTGGTTGAAGCATGCAAATGTGATATTTGGTAAAAACAGAGTGGTAAAATGAGTTATTTCGAAATAACACATGTGTATGAGTTATTTCAAATAATTCATTTTGAGTTATTTGTAAATAACGCACTGTCCAAATAACTCATTTCAATAAAATGCTGAACAACGAGTTATTTGTGTCCAAATAACTCATCATAAATTATTTGAACCCAAATAACTCATATAAATACTCTATCCACACAACTTCCATGGTTAAGTACCAGCCATGCTAAAAATCTGTGCCCGGGAATGGTGAATTTGCTGCTGCCATGTGCTTTGGGGACTTTAGATTGAATTATTATAGGGTAATAATGTAATGGGGGATGTAAAGGTGTGGTGGTGGAAGGATTGTTGCCCACATACCAAATTGAATGATTTTGAAGTTGTCTTTTAGCTACACCATCCCACGTTATTATTGTTGTACGTACCCTTCCAACAGAGTAGAAGTGACCATAACAATGGCCGGCCATACCAAAAATAGGTGGGAGGGAATGAATTCATTTCTTCACTTGTCTGGTTGTGTGTGTCCTACCAAAAATGAGTGTCGGTGATATTTGGTTTGGTTCTACTTCTTGTATCTAATTATGGACACAATCATTGGAATATTTTATTATGGATTTGTTCATTCTTAAATTTTATCCTCATTGATACAATCGTGTGGCTGCAATCAACTCGTCATTTCGATTTCATTCAAAGAAATTGTTCTCAAATTAGTCTCGATACGTATATTAGTTCAATGACGGAGTGCAGACTTCAAAATCTCATTTGAAATTCAAATTTAGTTCCGTAAAGTCATGTGTGATTGTGGAAGGATTTTCTAATATTTTATACGATATATAGGTTTTGACATGACATGTTGACCGTTAATCATCGGTTATGATCATTAAACACATAATTGTCAATACTCAATTTGGGCTAATTAAGTAATTTGTAGTGATAGTTTAAACCATGATGTTATATAGTGAAAAGATTGATTGATCAGGACCCAAGATGTTAAAAAGGTAAAGTTCGGACCAAACAAAAATATTAACCCTAAATAAAAATAAGAACGAAAAAAAGTTCTTTGACTTTGTCTATTAAGTATTAACTCCTGATTATAAAAAAAAATTGTTATAAAAAACCTATTATCTCCTCCCGAAAAATAAATAAATACAAATAATTAGTAATAAAAATATTGTACCTGCCAAGTACTCCCCGTTCCTTCCTTCCGTCTTTTTCATATATATTTGATTATTTTCCCTTCCTTCCCCTTCCCTTCCCGCCTCTCTCAAACGGTTACGCAAAACTAGAGCCTAGAGTAAATCATCTCTCTCGCCTCTTTCCTCCATCTCCGCCGCCGCTCTCCGGTCAGATTCAGTTCCAAAATCAATGAAGAAGCAACTAATCCGCCGCCTCTCCCGCGCGACCGACTCCTCCACCTACAGCCTCCTCCGCTCCGACTCCCACCACAACCTCCGCCGTGCCGCCGCCGGAAGAGCCGAATCGTTCCGATCGCTGGTGGAGCCGGCGAGGAGATCCAGCTGCGAGAAGGCCGTCGACCACGGCTACGCCCCCGTCCACGTCGGCCACGAGATGGAACGGTTCGTGGTGATGAAGAAATTTCTAAAACCCCTAATCCAGAATTTACTCATTTATCCCCAAATTCAAATTCAAAACTTTCCCCGCCGAAATATGGCATCGTCAACCTCTGACCCAAGAACGCCGGACGCCAGAGTTCGAATCCTCTCAACAGAAATCATCCACGCCAAAAACACCCAATCACCTCTCGAACGGATTCCCCTCACCGCCTGCGACCTCCGCCTCATCCTCGTAGGAACCATCCAAAAGGGGCTCCTCTTCCGAAACCCGACCACCGATCATCCCATCTCTCGCCAAACCTTCATCGAAAACTTGAAATCCGCCTTCTCCAAGGCTCTCGCCCTCCACCACCCGTTCGCCGGCAGACTCACAGCCGACGAACACCCCGACGGCTCCGCCTCCGTCTACATCGACTGCAACGACGCCGGATGCCCGTTCCTCCACGCCGTCGCCGACGGCGTCACCGTCGATGAAGCCCTGCATCAGCCTTTCCCCGTCCCTCCCGCTCCCATCCTCTGGTCGTTCTTCCCCTCCAACGACGTCAAGAACTACCACGGATTCACAAAGCCACTGATGTCGGTCCAGATAACAGAGCTCGTCGACGGAGTGTTCATCGGCTGGACGGTCAACCACGCCGTCGCCGACGGGACCGCACACTGGAACTTCCACCGGATCTGGTCCAGCATCTGCCGCGGATGCGGCGAGTACTCGCCGCCGGTGTTCACGAGAGATTCATCGCTCGAAGCAATTAAAAAAAAAATCAGAGTCCCCTGGTCGAGAATCAGGGACTTCAACGAGGACAATCTCGTCATTCCGCCTCTGAAGGAAGGTACCTTCCACTTCAGCAGGAAGAAAATCGCCGAATTGAAAGCAAAAGGCACCGCCGAATTATCCGGATCTCGCCAAATCTCGTCTCTCCAGATCCTGATTGCTCACCTCTGGAGAGCCGTGATTAGAAGCCGTGCGGATCCGGATCCCGAATCCGAGACCCGGTTCGTGATCCAGGTGGGCTTCCGGGGCCGATTCGAGCCCAATAAGTTCCCAGCCCATTACTTCGGGAACGCGATTGGAGGGAGGACGGTCACGATGAAGGTGAAGGATCTGGTGGCGGAAGGGAGCTTGGGACGCGTGGCGGCGGAGGTGAACAGAGTGGTGGCGGAGACGACGGACGAGAAGCTTAGAGAGGCGGTGGAGGATTGGATCGAGTCTCCGGACATGAGAGGGCTGGGAGAGTTTACGGAAGGAGGGCTGATGCTGAGTGGATCGCCGAGATTCGACGCCTACGGGACGGATTTCGGGTGGGGGAAGGCGGTGGCGGTGAGGAGCGGGTGGGCGAACAAATGCGACGGCAAGGTGACGGTGTTTCCGGGGCCGGAGACGGGTAGTATGGGGTTCGAGGTTTGTCTGTCGCCGGAGTGTTTTGATCGTCTGAGGATGGATTCGGAGTTCATGGCTGCCGTTACTGAGTGAATATTGGTGTTCGTTGATTGGTTGGATTTTCCGATACCGGTTCAACCTGGTTCAACCGATACCGGTCATAAAATCGGCGTGACACCACCGGTATGACCGGCATGATCGATATACGAATCTCTAAATAAAATAGCCTTATTTTAGTGAGTTTAATTGATAAAAATAATTTTATTATTTATTTTATGAATATAAAAGTTAAATATTGATGTTATTTGTTGGATTCAAGTATAAATGTTTAAGTATTGACGTTAAATGTCATGTTTAAATATGAGTATTTATAATTTTATTTATAATATTAACCGGCATGAACCGGCACAAACCGGTATGTGCCACCGGTCGAACTATTCCACTTGCTAAACCGGCACACTGGCATAAACCGGTTTGACAACCTTGCTCCTCACAGTGTGGCCGCCTGAGTACTGGATGAGCAATTTAATTCCTCGTCATTAACAAATGGGTAGGTGATTAGTTACACATGTAATTAGTAATTATTACTAGTACAATGAAAGAGTAGTTTGATCATAAAGGTGCTTCGATTTCCAATATGTTATTAGGGAATATTAATGACCCGCGCCAAACAAAGTTTTCTTTTTACCGGTAATTGTTGTGCTCGATCTCTTATTTAGTTCATACTTGTGAAATCAAGCCTTTCGTAAAAATTACACATCTATTCAAAGACAACAGAACAACTACAAAACTGATAGAATACACCTGGCCAGGTTGCTTGCTAATACTATACTGAAACCAGGATTGCCTTAATTTGTTGTATTATGCTACTTCTTGCTTGATCTGCATAAATTACTAGCCATGTCAAAAATCTGTGTCTCTGGGAATGGTGAATTTGCTGCTGCCATGTGCTTTGGGGACTGTAGAATGTAGATTGAATTATTATAGGGATGGCAATTTCGACTTGACCCGATTTACCCGATTTGTTTGACCTGTTTTGGGGCGGGTCAGGCAATTTCGACTTTACCCGATTTACCCGACCTGTTTGGCCGGTTTTGGGGCGAGCATGTGTATCTCGCATCGACCCGACCTGTCCTGACCCGCCCCATTCTCGACCCGTTCTTGCCTAAGTTACATATAATCTTAGTCAAATTACTTAGGATTGTCCTCTTATTACATTATATTTTAACTATAATCAAGTAGTAATTAAGTGAAAACCTCAATTTCTACAATAATTTAACTAGATTTTATCATGTTATGGTTTCTTTCTTGGTCTTTTAATGAAAATAACTAATATTTCTAATGTTTTTGACATAAATTACATACCCATTGGGTCGACCTGTCCCGACCCGCACCCCGTAATAAATTACCGGACCTGAACCGGACCTGTCCATTGTCATTCCTAAATTATTATAGGGGTAATAATGTAAAGGGTAAATACAATATATTAGCCACAGCTATTATGAAACGGGGAATTATAGCCACAACTATTGAAATTCAAATTATTAGCCAAACGTTAACTATCTGCTAACAATTTCGTTAGTAATACGGACTAAACTTTTATGTTTTGAAGTTATAACCTAAAAGCATTCCTACGTGGCCGCTGTCGTGGCCGATGACGTGGCCTTCTCCGTAAAAAATTCAATAACAGTAACAGACAGTTAGCCATATCTTGACCTGCAACAATAGTTATGGCTAATAATTTGAATTTTCATAGTTGTGGCTATAATTTCCCGCTTCGTAATAGTTGTGGCTAATATATTGTATTAACCCTAATGTAAATGGAGGTGTAAAGGCGTGGTGGTGGAAGGATTGTCGCACACATGCCATATTGAATGATTTTGAAGTTGTCTTTTAGCTACACCAATATCCCACGTTATTATTGCACCCTTCCAACAAAGTAGAAGTGACCATAATAATGGCCGGCCATACCAAAAATAGGTGGGACGGAATTCATTTGTTCACTTGTTGGGTTGTGTGTCTTATAAAAAATGAGTAGTGGTGTTATTTAGTTTGGTTCGAGTTTTCCTGTTTAATTATCGACACAATCGTTTGGAATATTCTATTATGAATTTGTTTCCTTTTAAATCTCCTACTTATTAATATGTCGCCAACTTATGTGCGCAATTGGCTCGTTGTTTCGATTTCAAATGAAGAAATTGTTCCCAAATTAGTGTCAGTACTTAAAACTTCAAAATACATATCTCACATACATATCTCACAACAAACCTATTATCTCTTCCCGAAAAATAAATAAATAAATGCAAAAAAAATAAATAAAAGTAAAAATATTATACCTGCCATGTACTTCTCCCCCAAAACCGTCCCTTCTCCTCCTTCCTTCATTCCTTCATTCCTTTTCATATATATTCCCTTCCTTCCCGCCTCTCTCAAACGGTCACACAAAACCAGAGCCTAGAGTAAAGCATCTCTCTCCTCCTTCCTCCATCTTCGTCGCCGCTCTCCTGTCAGGTTCAGTTCCATAATCAATGATGAAGCAGTTAATCCGCCGCCTCTCCCGCGTGGCCAACTCCTCCACCTAAAGCCTCCGCCGCGCCACCGCCGGAAGAGCCGAATCGTTCCGGTCGCTGGTGGAGCCGGCGAGGACATCCAGCTGCGGGAAGGCCGTCCCCCACTGCGACGGCGACGTGATGGGGCAGTTCGTGGTGAAGAAATTTCTAAATCCCGTAATCCAGAATTTACTCATTTACCCCCAAAATCATATTCAAAATATTTCCCGCCGAAACTTGTGTCAAAACTACTTATCCACAATCCTCCACATCTATCCAATATTGGCCTACACTTACTCTAGAAGAGACCCACGTAAGTAAGTGAAGGAGACAATCTCCACATGCCAACTACCTACAATAACTAAGATAAAATAACAAAAATAAAGCATAGCCACATATCAAACCAAACTCCTAATAATTATTGTATCTAAAGGTCTCGATGTATGGCAGTGGAGTGCTTGGCAAGTAGTATAAATATATGCCATTGTCATGCTTGAAAAAGTACAGTGAGCTAGAGAGCATAGGCTCCTCTCAAGGGTTAAGGCAACAAACTTGCCTAATCCGTTATGGAAAAATGTAGGCAGAGTGTTTGTGAGGATAGAAGTAGAACAATCAAGAGCAGCAGCTCTAATGTAAAAGGTAACAATTGCCTAGTTGTGTGAGATATTAGAGTGAAAAAATTTCCTCTATTTTCGATCCATCTCACCGTATTTCCGCTGTGCCCAACAACATGGCGTCCACCTACTCTGGCCCAGTAACGCCGGACACCAGAGTTCGAATCCTCTCAACGGAAATCATCCACGCCAAAAACACCCAAACACCTCTCGAACGGATTCCCCTCACCGCCTGCGACCTCCGCCTCATCCTCGTCAGAACAATCCAGAATGGGCTCCTCTTCAGAAACCCGACCGATCATCATCCCATCTCCCGTCAAGCCTTCATCGAAAACCTGAAATCCGCCTTCTCCAAGGCCCTCGCCCTCCACCACCCGTTCGCCGGCCGACTCACCGCCGACGAACACCCCGACGGCTCCGCCACCGTCTACATCGACTGCAACGACGCCGGATGCCCGTTCCTTCACGCCGTCGCCGACGGCATCACCGTCGACGAAGCTCTGAACCAGCCTTTCCCCGTCCCTCCAGCTCCCGTCCTCTGGTCGTTCTTCCCCTCCAACGACGTGAAGAACTACCACGGATTCATAAGGCCGCTGATGTCGATCCAGATAACAGAGCTCGTCGACGGAGTGTTCATCGGCTGGACGATTAACCACGCCGTCGCTGACGGGACCACACACTGGAACTTCCACCGGATTTGGTCCAGCATCTGCCGCGGATCTGGCGATCACTCGCCGCCGGTGTTCACCAGAGATTCATCGCTCGAAGCAATTAAAAAAAAAATCCGAGTCCCCTGGTCGAGAATCAGGGACTTCAACGAGGACAATCTCGTCATTCCGCCTCTGAAGGAAGGCACATTCCACTTCAGCAAGAAGAAAATCGCCGAATTGAAAGCAAAAGGCACCGCCGAATTATCCGGATCTCGCCAGATCTCGTCTCTCCAGATCCTGATTGCTCACCTCTGGAGAGCCGTGATTAGAAGCCGTGCGGATCCGGATCCCGAATCCGAGACCCGGTTCGGTATCCAGGTGGGCTTCCGGGGCCGATTCGAGCCCAATAAGTTCCCGGCCCATTACTTCGGGAACGCGATTGGAGGGAGGACGGTCACGATGAAGGTGAAGGATCTGGTGGCGGAAGGGAGTTTGGGACGCGTGGCGGCGGAGGTGAACAGAGTGGTGGCGGAGACGACGGACGAGAAGCTTAGAGAGGCGGTGGAGGATTGGATCGAGTCTCCGGACATGAGAGGGCTGGGAGAGTTTACGGAAGGAGCGCTGATGCTGAGTGGATCGCCGAGATTCGACGCCTACGGGACGGATTTCGGGTGGGGGAAGGCGGTGGCGGTGAGGAGCGGGTGGGCGAACAAATGCGACGGCAAGGTGACGGTGTTTCCGGGGCCGGAGACGGGGAGTATGGGGTTCGAGATCTGTCTGTCGCCGGAGTGTTTTGATCGTCTGAGGATGGATTCGGAGTTCATGGCTGCCGTTACTGAATGAATATTGGTGTTCGTTGATTGGTTGGATTTTCCGGCGTGAATGATTTGGTGAACTTCTTTCTGATTGAGTGATGTGGATTGTGGAGTTCCATTCTTAGTTCGGAATCTTCTGTGGAACGATTCGAGTACTTCCTGAATCCTGATTGTGTTTTTTAGTCTCGCCGCGGATGGTACTCAGGCCAGCCATGGAGCTGGATTGGGCCGACTACTTAACTTAGTTATGGGCCTCAAAGTACGGGTAAGGCTTAGTCGGCTGTTGTAATAGTATGGTATAGACTCATCAGCCCGTTATTTCATATCATGCACAACACCATATGGGCTTTTTTAGAATTTGTAATCCGACCCTGTAGGATGGGCCTGGATGCGCGGTGAGCTTCTGCGCTCAGTCGTCTCATTTGTTAACAACGTTAAAATTTGATCATTATTTATGAAAATAAGTTTAACTGTACGATTTGTTCTTTATCATTTTCACACGGTAACTTTTTATTAAGAAGTCGGTAAATATTATTGGCGATAAATGCCGTGTATAATACACCAAAAGAACGAAACAAATGTCTTAGACTAAAACCGTCTATATCTCAACTTAACTAAAACGATTAATATTGGTCTATGAAAGCGAGGCAATCGAAACTTCATATGAAGGGTTTCTCCTTCTTTCATTATTGTTCTTAATAATTGAACCATAGTTATATGCTCCAATGATTCTGATCTTGTGGGGTTAAACAGATCTTTTCGAAGTGTGAATAAGCACTTAAAAAAAAGGCCTCTTCGGTTTGCCACTAATCTATAGAGAACTATACTTCTGGTACATACAATAACAAGGATCCAAAATTTGGAGAAAAGCAAACGCAACATATTAAAGTACATATCATATAATACTACTACTACTACTAATAATAATGATTTTGATTTGATGAGCTAATTGTGAATACAAAATTAGTACGTGCATAATGATAATTGGTATTTTGTTTACCTAACTATTATATAGTGACCCATGTGTCGGTGTTGACTAAGCTAAAGGAGAGGGAGCTTTGTGGGAATATGCTATTGCTAGGGACTTATAAGATGGCATATTATTAGTAGTTGTCTCTCTTTTGGGGAGAAGAGAAATGGTCCTGTAGGTAGCTTCAATTCACTAAAGACAATAAGAACTTATAATCTGGTTGATAGCGATGATTAACCCCTCATCGTGAGACATCATATGAAGCGGTAAAAAACTTATTACGAACGATATTATATTCTCTATCTCGCCTAATATTTAAAGTAGAAGTCTATCATTAACAATATTGTTTGGATTTTTGTTGAGCCGCCTGGAAAGGAGAGATGCCTTGAAGCACAAGGCCCAGTTGTATAGTGTGTCAGTACTCAGTAATGGAACGATCGAACACATTAATTCCAACACGTGTGTTCTTCACCACATGGTTCTGCAATCATGCAATCTTATTATTCAAGGACAAGGCAACCCCAACAGATCTCCTTCACCAGCCAAAGCAAATGGAACTGAAACAGAAACAGAAAGGAAAGGATGGCCAGAGAAAGAAATTATTTGCCCATTTCCACAACAATGAATGAATAGGAATGAATGTTTTGGGTGTGGATGACAGCAATATCCCTTGCTGGAAATCTTTCCCTTCTTTCTTTCTTTCCTTTTCTCTTCTGCTTTCCCATGTTACTTTGTTTCTTTGGTGGATATGATGGTATTTCATTATGACCAAAGAGAAATCGGTGGCTTAGCTAGGGTAGTGCTGATTTGTTTCTCCTTATGTGGGTATGCAATGAAGGACTTGCCAAGCTGTCGTTGCTTCTTATAGCAAAGAGGGAAAACACGATTTCACTCAAAAAGTGTTTGTAGCGGCCTAGCGGGTAAAGACAATAAATTTCGATCGTAAATGATTATTGTCGTAGTAGTGATGGTAGATGATTCAAGGCAGATAGTTTATCAGTATGACGATAATGAGATTTGAACAAGAGTTTCGGTTCTATCTTTGCCATTGAGCTAATATGTATGATGATTACTATCAATCAACATCCATGTCGGTTCAATCTAATATTATGTATCATAATTCATAAAGCAGATACGCATGTAAACATAGTTTTTGTGTTAGTTCCGAAAGAAGTTTTCACACATCTCTATCTTAATGATGCAAGATGGAACATATTTAGAAAACAAGGCGCAACGAAGATCCACGTATATTATGTTAAGTCCTCAAACTACACCCTCGTTATCGTGCAACCAAATCACTATCCGTTTCCCTTCTTCTTGAGCCATCATTTGGTGAGTGGATGATTCCAGGCATAACCATGTCATGAGTAGTTGTACCTCGTCATTCAAACACCACCCACACTAATGGGAATAGGGTTAACTCAAGATAAGATTGATGGACAAACAAGTGTTGAGGTTACACAACCTTAGGAAATAAGTAAAACCTATATGTTTGGGAAAAGGTGTGATGTCTATTTATATTAGTTCCAAACAACCTGAGCTTCTGGTCTTATGGCAAATTCCATTCCATGCTTCTTGATTGCATAAAGGACCTAATCATACATTAGGGCTTCTCGAGCATCGCATTGACTGAAGATAGAACTACTTAATTGAGGAACCCACTTGACTTAAACCAAATGATTAGAAACTTAAACCTGTAATTAAGCTATATTAGTGGAGGGGACAAATATTATTGGGATGGTACTGCATCACATCCATATTGCATCATTTTATTCTTTTTCAACACTTGCCAACCCCCCAATCCCTTTGCCCTACTATAACCTTTTTTTGTGCCTGTGATTTGATTGAATTATATATAAGGTGGGACTAAATATATCCCAAATACCATATATGGTCCAATATTTAGTTTGATCATCAAACTTAAAACTAGACCATCTATGTTTGAACAAGGCATCCTTCTAGTTTTTTTCGATATAGGTTACGTCATAAAATTCAGGCCTAATAAACTTGCAAAACCCGTGTCTTACCACTCCTAATACGATGGTGATCATATGATTCATATCAGAATGATATGACACGGAATTCATAGAAAAGAGTTGCGTACCCTATCCGTCCTCGTTTATTATCTATAAAAAATATTCACCACCCAGAAAAAACCTGAGAGTTTTCAGAGAATAAAGTTGATTTATAGATTTGTTTTTCCGTTACAAAAAAAAATTCATCGAAAACAGTTTTTCTCGACTCTCATGAACACTCCATAAACCTTTGAAAGAGACTTGGATGGACATAACGATTTTGATGATGGTCGCCACGAGGGTAATGCAGAAGTGGTGGTTGCCATTTGCCAAGACTCGAAATAGCACTATGAAGTACAAGACTATTGGATTGTCACTTAATCACTCTTCCCTTTTACAGCAAGAACCTGAGAGTAGGTCTAAGTAAATATAGGAACCAAATTGGCGATTCCCCTAAAAATCAAGGGCCTAATAGGGATGTGGATTTGGGAGACTTGATATTATTCTTCTTCCTTACATTTGGCTTTCTTGAGAACACTGATAGACCACACACACACAACAACATTTGATTCCCAGCAAAAATTGTGCGAACTTAATATTCCATCTACTTTGAAAAAGACTATAAAGCTAATTCCTTTTGGCTAAATGTGTAGCTAACAAACACTACCATGGATATTCCTGCTTTTGTTTAATGAATGATACATGTATTAATTATAAGACATGGCTTGTATTATTAGGTTGGATTTTGGCCACTATCATTTTGAGAAAACAATTTGATGGGCATTGACTATATGATTATGAATTTCTAGATGATTGACGAAAGACATGGTAATTTCGGACTTAGGGCATCCCGTTCCATCAAAATTGTCCATCTCGGGCATTTTAAATTTCGGGGGTAGCCCGACATTGGGGAACACAACAAGTCGTCGCTTTCATCTGCATATAAATAGTGCAATCGGGCAAGCAATTTTTTATTTTGTTTAGGTAAAATCTGTCATGAGTAAACTAAACATATAGAGATCAATTGCCACATTGTAAGTGAAAAACGGAAACCTGATTAAAAAGATGAAAGCATTCGTTCGATCAGGTCGATTAAGTACATAATGAATCTTGTGTCATAAAAAGATAGTCCGTGGGACTCCATTAAAGAGGTTTTGTTATGTATTTTTTTGATTTATAAATTAGTTTAGAATGTGGAAGATTCTTTTATTCTTCTCTCGATCTTCCTTGGGTTCTTGTTGTGTGGATTAGGATAAAAGTATCAGTAGAAGCCAAGAAGAACCATTTAGTGGCAAACGTTGTGATGATGGTGTAAGAGAATTGATGATGGTGTAAGATTATTCGCCCTTCCAAAACGATCAAAGGAGTTCATATCCATGTCCTTGAAACTAATAAACAGAAACGACATGTAGTTTGTTAGATTCCCATTTCCATCTTAATAAATTTGACTAGCCGAACTATACTAAATAATGGTCACATGAAACTACATTGTGAATCACTTTTTTTTATTTGAAAAGAGAGCAAAGACCCACTACCTTATAATATTAACAGTACTCGCCCAAGAAATTACCCTTTATACAAATGTGAGTGGTGTACAACGCTTCCTTCGTTAATAAACCAAACATATGTATTATTTTATTAACATAAAATATGAAACTACGATTCCGTCATGTTTAAACTAAAAGAAACAACATCTATGAGAAACGGGAAAATTTACGAGAATTTGAACACGATAATACTTGTGCATTAATTGGTACAATTGTTATTGTTAGGCTATGTGTTCTTTGGTTGACAATGAGTGCTCATATTCTAAAAGTACACAATTGACTTTAGTTTTTATACTTGCACTAGTAACAAGCAAATTCCCCCAAGAAATTGAGAGGTTGATCCACATTTGGTGAGCAAGTTGGCCATATGCTTCCTCATGTGAAGGTATAGTTTTAGAGACTTTGTTGGTTAATAATATAAACATATCACCTCCTCGATCCCATGGCACCACATGTGCACCAGCACTTAGGCCAATGTCCATGTTTTGGCCTTGATCAAACGAGTAGTTAAAGACTTCACATTTACCAGAAAATATACAACCTCTTAAAACGAACACTTCTTCTCTGATTTGATCGGTTCATCACTGTATCGAAGTACGTTGCAAGACAAACACTAGGAAAATAAATGATTGACCCAAACCTCAACCCTCCTGCGAGATAGATCTCTTAATCCACTCACTATAGTTTCTATTTGTACCGCTTACTCCATCGAAAGTCAATACCAACCGTTTTATTAGAAGAAGAAGAAAAAAAACATGTGGCCTTTAGATAATGAGTATTATAGTAACATTTTCTTGATCGTTAAATTATTGTTGATTATAGTATTAGCTGGTTAAAGATACCTACTACAATGACTTTTAATTAGGGCGAATTATGCAAACCCTTTTAAAAAACCACAGGTGTGCAATTGTAATTAATAAATATCAGATAGCCTTGCTAGCTAAATGCTAAAAGTTGCTAACTGCCGAGTGCCGACGATTTGGTTTTCTTTTCTGCGGATCAATGGGCGGCAGCCGTTGAGCAGTCTCTTTATGACCGCCTGCCTGTCTATAAAATATATTAACTTTTGTAAAATATTTTCCTTTCTTACGGAATTTTGGAGTTCTTATGATAACTCCTCCATTTATCACAAAATGTGTCAGTTAATGTCGGTTTTTTACTTATAAACCATGAATCTCCTGTACATTGTCGATTTAAAATTCGCCTAAAGTATTACAATTTTCTTTCTGAAAAAAAAGATAGATTTTTTTCTTCTTATAAATATCAAATCATTTTGCCCCTCATTATGAGCTCAAGAGACTAACCACTCAAAATATAATAGCAAATCGTATAAGAATTTACTGCAGATGCATGTATAATTACGATATATATAGCTCTTTTAATTGATCACTTGTATGTGGTTAAACAACATCGCCTATACTTATAAATTATGATACAGTTTCCTGAAACATAGTCTGGAATTTGTGTTATTTGTCGTGTTAACTAAGGAGATATTTCATTCATCATCGGTATAATAATATAATAAAATTTAATATTTTATATTTTTTCCTTGTTCGGTATTATGGCCTAGCCTATAAAGGAAAGAAATGCTGAAAGAATCACCTAAACTGAGAATGATTTCGACAAGTGTTTTATTAAATCATTCATTCCTTGGATGTTGCTAGAATCCATTCATTGAAGCATATCAGTAAAACGGCCTCAAGTTTGTTTGTTGGAAAATTCATCTCTCAGTTGACATTGCTAGGCTAGGCTAAGGTGGAAGGAATATATAGAAAACCAATGATGAAATCATTTGTCGACATACAAAGCCGTCAGTTAAAATATTTGCACGAATGGCCTCAAATTTTATTTCCCCACAGTAGTTGCACAAATTCTCCTCTTATACCAAATAAGAATATCTTCACATGAATATATTTTCTTGTCTGAACCGATCAACTATGTTCGTTAGATGATTCGACCAAAAAGATGTAAATAGACACGATTTGCTTCTGAGTTCGAATTCCTACATCCGACCATTCAAAGCAAAATCTATTTGGGAGCACCTGTTAGAGTGTAAGCAGAAATCTCGCCTCCTATAATTGGATGAACATGCATTCACCATTCTCGCAGTAGACTAACTATTTTCTTCAAAGAAACAAAGAGATTTTTTGTTGTTGCTAAAATTGAATCAATTTTTTTTTGTTCTCGTTATGAGGTCAAGAGACTAACCACTCGAAATAAAATACTAAATTGTAAAAGAATTTATTACATGAAATTACTAATAGCTAGGTCTTCTAATTGATTAATACTTGTATGCGATTTAACAAATATCACTAGTACTTATGATATTTATATTTGTGGTGTTAATTAATGGAAGATTTCATGTTTGATGTTGCATTATAATAGTTTGTGGGTTTATGTTACTGTGCACCAAAATTTATTGCTTTATTATGTCTCTTCGATCAATATTATGGACCTACCTTTGGAGGGGGAAAATGCAGAAAGAATCACCTAACTGAAAATGATTTTTCGCAAGTAAATCCATCATTGAAGCATAAATAAACGGGCCTTAAGTTTGTTTGTTGAAAAATCCATTTCTCGGTTGACATTGCTAGCCGAGGCTAGCTAGGTGGGATATATAGAAAACTAATGATGAAACAATTTGTCGACATTCTGAATAATTAATTAAATGTTTTTTCTATAAATGTTGTGCATGAATGAAATCAAGTATTCTTTCCCCACATAAGCTACACTAATTCTCATCTAATACCAAATAAGAATTTGTTAAGGGAAATATATTTTCTAGTTTGAAAGCCCAAATTAACGTTGCAAACGAGATGACACGATTTGCTTTTGGGTCCGAATTCCCACATCCTATCATTCAGAGAAAAATTCATCTGCGACCACATGTAGGATTGTAAACCCAAATAATCCCTTGTGTAGTTTTATCGGATATTCGTCAGAAGTTGGGTAGCATTGCATGTATTTCGGACTAATCCCTTTTTTCTATAATGGTATAAGTTTATTCTTACAGTTAGGTTATATTTATGAAATTCAAATATTAGACCTCTCGATTCAAAATCAATAATAATATCACTTTACCAAACTCTTGTTCGTGAGACCAAAACCCTCTTAATAAAAGAACAAAAAACTATACCAAAAGTAATTGGCTTGTGAGAGGCCGCGATACATATTGTGAGTGATAATGAAAATGATTAACCTCCTTTATGTAACAAGGAGAATGTAGTATTCTTCTGATTCCATGAGCACAAATGGTTTCTAAATCAACTTTGCAAAATGATGGGAAGTTTGAAGTCCCCATTAGTTAATCATTTCAAAGCACCGCATGATTAAACATGACACCCCAAAAAAGATGATGTAATTGGCTAATTGCTAACATTCTTGGTCGCATTACTTAAAATATACATGTCTCACAATGACTTGACAAATAATAAAACTTTTTTTCCCCATTACTATTAGTTAGGATCGAGTTTATACTATATTGTTTATAAACACAAAGGTTTTGCTCGTAGTTGGATAAATATGAGTTTGCTTGAATATTAGACACTATCACAATAACTTCATAAATCATAACGCTTTGATCCATTATCAATAGCTAAGATCGACTTTATATTATAAGGTTATGTATACGAAGTAGCATTTGTAATTGGATAAATGTATGCTCACCTTTTAAGGAGTAGATTAACTATTAATGATAGTCGCAACTCGAATACAACATATTTTCTACAAAATTTCTTTTTCTAAATAGATTATCGATATTTTGACCATCAAATACCAATTAAATGAGATGCACACACCATATATGCCAATGAGGTGTATTTTACCTCAAATACATATTAGGTGTATTCATATACCCATATTTCCACTAGTTATTTATTCCTTAAAGTTGTAGCATTGTTATTAACAAAAAAAAAAAAGTTTTAGCACTAACTCTAAAAGATACTCATAATCAATCAAATCGGTCAATAATATGAACCGCACAACAAGCCTTAATATCAAGTCATACTTAATTCCCAACTAATATTTTCCCAAATACAACAAACAAAACTAGCCTAATCAATATCTGCTCCCCACCTAATTCCCCAACATCACAATACAAAACATATGTTAGATTGTTAAGGAAAATGCATAAACTTAAATTTCAAAAACTAATTACTTGATTCACCCTCTTATAGGTCACTCGAATTCCACAAAACATTGAAAGGTATACAGATAAAGAGTTCAACGTAATCAGGAATGAAAATAGAAAACTTAATGAGACAATAATATATGGATTAATCACTCATACGATCAACCTTTAACTATGAAATTTACAAGAAATTAAAGCAAATCGAGATCCAAAATACATTCTCGCCGGCCGGCCGACAAGGGACCGGAACTCAACCTGCGGTGGACTATGTGATCATTTTAACTTGGTTGGACACCTGCCTTTCACTTTATTTTTTTTTTACAATTTCTAAACACAATAATTAAACGGCACTCTTTGTTGGTTTAAAACAGTAGGTTGGGTTTTAGAACCTCACGAAGAAGGTGACATTTCCTCAAAATAACCCCGAAAAGATTTTGAAAGGAAAGGGCAGAAAAGGAAAAGAAAATCAAATAAGTAGAAATATATGGTGGGCAATGGTCCGGTTCGATCTGGTGGGAAAACAATCCAGCTGATATAATATTACGTAGAACGTAAATTAATTAAGAGGATCGAAAATCTACCTCAAACTATTTATTCAACATGCATTATCAATTTTTGATCAAATTAGTATTGATTGACATACTGAATCGTATTGAATCATATTGAAACCTAATCGCATTTTTCTTTTATGAATGAAGAATGATGTAGAATTTTATTAGGAAGATACAAAGAAGAGAGTTAGAAAGCTACGTAGAGAGTGAAAACTAAGGAAACAAATCTCACATAATCATAAAAGTACAAATTCGTGAGATTACTAACACGACCGATCGGGTTTTATAGTACACATTTTTATTGTGCAATCAAACATTGTAGATCAGATCCAATCATTTACACTCGAACGAATCAAACCAACTCAAGAGCGTACATACTAAAAAAAAAACTAATCGAACCCACAACAGATTCAACCTGAATCGAACCCAGGTACCCGGTCCGATTCCCTGGCCCCTATTTATTTACAAACATCAAATGACTTCATAGCTCTTACAAACAGAGAAAAAGGAAAATGGTAGGGAAAAAACAGAGAACAGTGCTACTGAAGACTTGAAAGCCACAAGAAGAGATTTGAGCCCCCCTATAAAACCCACCATTATTGTCCACTTCTTCTCCTCAACAGCACCCAAAAAAAACAAACATTTCCCCCTTGTTTCCCTCTCCCTCTTCCGCCATTGCCAGAGCTCCCCTGCTTCTGCTCGGAGCTCAGAAGCAGAGCAAAAACAGAGTGATAAAACATTTCACATTTCTCAGCTCCTTCAGAAATGAAATGACACTCCTCGATTAGCTTAAGATCTCAACCCACAACCATTCCAATCTTCCCCCTTTTCCTCCCAGATCTAAACCCTTCTTTTTTCCAGCCTTCCAATTTGTTGGCTGTGTCTGAAAAAGGGGAAGAGGAAGAGAAAGAATGGAGTACACGACGAGGGTAATTCCGGAATCTTTCCGGGGAGCGAGGGACGACTTTACCCTGCAATTCTCCATGGTGTGGGACCAGATCAAAGCTCCGTTGATCGTGCCGCTGCTCCGGCTGGCCGTCGCCGTCTGCTTAATCATGTCGGTGATGCTGTTCATCGAGCGGGTGTACATGGGCGTCGTCATCATTCTGATCAAGCTGTTCGGCCGGCGGCCGGAGAAGCGGTACAAATGGGAGCCGATGAAGGACGACGTCGAGCTGGGGAACTCCGGCTACCCCATGGTCTTAATCCAAGTCCCAATGTACAACGAACGCGAGGTTAGTTAAACAAGCAAAAATAAAAATCTAGGCTCTCAAAGCAAGTTGCATTTTTTTTTTTGAGGACCAGAGTTTCCGGCCTGTCTTGTTCACTGGTCCGGTTCAACCTCGTACGACGGACCGGGTTAATACGATATTTCGTTACCCACTTTTGTCCCATACCAAGTAGAATATTTGGTTGAAATTGGATTGATTAATTGGTTGAAATTGGATACGACATTTGAATCACAGGTGTATCAGCTTTCGATTGGGGCGGCTTGCGGGCTATCCTGGCCTTCGGACCGGATCATAATTCAAGTTCTTGACGATTCGACCGATCCTACGATTAAGGTAGGTTCGATCGATACGTGATTTCTATCTACTCCGATCTTTTCACTAGAATTTTGATTGAATTGTGGTTTTGATTCGTGATTTTAGGATATGGTGGAGCTAGAATGCCAGAGATGGGCAAGCAAAGGGATCAACATTAAGTACGAAATCAGAGACAACAGGAATGGGTACAAGGCAGGAGCCCTGAAGGAAGGAATGAAGCGAAGCTACGTGAAGAACTGCGACTACGTTGCAATTTTCGATGCCGATTTCCAGCCCGAGCCCGATTTTTTGTGGCGGACCATCCCGTTCCTCGTGCACAACCCCGAGATCGGTCTTGTTCAAGCCCGTTGGAAATTCGGTAAGCTATTATTAATAAGCACATCTCGGTTCATTTTCACTTACATATCATTTCGTGAAAGGTTTCACTTTGCATTAGAGTTCACATGACTTTCTAATTTAGACCGTTAAATTGATAGTTTTCTAGCCGTGATTAATGCTTGAAATGTAGGAATGTGACATTCGCTGGTTTTCATGTTTTAGGTCGTTAAATTCAGGGCCTGACTAAGTAATTTTTTTATTAAATTTTCTATTTTTGTGTGTTATTTGCCTATTTTTTATTATTTATTTTCTGAAGCAATTCAAGACTCAAGAGACTGTCGGTGGTTTTGTGCTGTGGAAAATTATTTTTTGTTGATTTCAATATTTTATACTTATAATTTTGTTGGGTTGTGGAAGAGAAAGGGATTGGTGGAGTAGTGGGAGAGTGAAAGTGGGTCCTACCTCGTGGTTCTTTCAGTCCACTCCTTGCTGGCTGGACACGTGGCGAGTGTTGATTGGGTGTATCTGAGGTGGACCCTCATGCTCTCTGTGAGCTTTGCTGGGGGATTAATTAAGAAAATAAGTGAGTAGTTGTGTTGTAGGTGTGTGTGTTAGTTGTTTCTTTTACCTTTTCCCTCCTTCTTTTTCCCTTCAAATTTGACATACAAAATTTTAATCAACTAAGGATTAAAAAAGTGATAAATCTAATACTATGAATCATTAATAAGAGAACAATTAGTAGGCTGAATGTCAAATTCCAACATGGTATCATTCATATTCGAAAAAATTTCAACTAAATAAGGCGAATGAAAATAAAAAAGTCAGAATGCAGAGCAATTTCTATTCACTCTGCATCTTTTTAGTCTTGATGTTCGTAGCATAGAGATTACTTTCTTTGATGCCCAATCTTTTTGAAGATGTTTGATCAGGCGTTTGAAACGTTGTCGAGTGACAACGTTGAAGAGAGTCAATTGTAATTGTAGGATGTTCAAGAGAGAGTATGTGGTAGGTTATCTCTTCCTTTGTTTTCTCCCACTCATCTTTCAAGTGTTCACACTAGATCAACCAATTTTTTTCTCACATGCAACATGCATGGCATGGAAAAGGATGTGATTTGGACTAACTAATAACACATTTAAAAAATGGACCACCCACAAGGCTATTTACATGAACCACCTACCTAATTGAATTTTGGCAACTACTTCCTTCCCATCACCACACACACACCTTTCTTTTTGTAAGAAAAGAGCTTCTATTGGAATTGGAGAAGATAACAAACCTCACCCCCAATGGAAAATGAAATCCAAGAATCTTGGGGTCCAAATCCAACCACAGCAAATAATGCTTGAATGTGACTAAAAATGGGTTGGGTAGAATAGTAAACGTGGCATGTTTGGCCCTTACATTTTTGGGAATACATGGGTCAAGGCTAGATTCTTTTCCCCCCAAACAAACCGTTTCCTCATATATTCTTTTGCCATTTTCCTCTTACGTCAAAAAAATGCTTCTTTTTATATATTTCGACAATATAGTATGAATTTGCTAGTTCGAAATGATCCTCATGTAAATTTGACTGCCATAAGACTAATTTTACTAGTTAAAAATTTACACAAACCGATAACATAAGACTAATTTTACATGTTTACCGCCATCAAATCAAAGAGGATGGTAATTTATAAGCAACACCATAAAATATCTACACAAGTCGAGAACACGAGATTGTCTCTACATGTTTCTAGCATTCATCTATCAAAACACATAATAATTTTATAGACAATATCATACATGCTGATTCAATAGTTGTGAACATGTAAACTAATCCAACGATATCAGCTCATACAAATCCGCTTCTATCTGCATGATAACCGAACCCAACACATGGTAGTCCATAGCCAACTAGAACATTCTTCTTCTTTTTTTTTTTTTTTTTTTGGTATTTATAAAACAAACTTGGTTACTTTTTTATGCTCATTTGAACACCTCGTGGTGTAGATGCCGAGTGATACATATATATACTTTGTATTCGCCAGCAAGCAAACCATAGCAAGCTAAGCATATGCATGTGCAAATTCTAAATGGTGGACCTCATATGTTCATGTCCTAGTCCTTGTCCCTGTCTGCTTAACGAACAACTCACTGTACTAGATTTCGATTTTGTTTGTTTTCTTTTTAATGATAATTATAAAATGTACTGTGTATAATGTTCGCCAGCTGTGCTGTTTTTCTTCTTTTCTTCTTCTAGTGAATGCTGACGAATGCCTGATGACAAGAATGCAAGAGATGTCATTGAACTACCATTTCTCCGTCGAGCAAGAGGTCGGCTCCTCCACCTACGCCTTCTTCGGCTTCAACGGCACCGCCGGAGTATGGAGGATCGCCGCGCTGAACGAAGCCGGCGGGTGGAAGGACAGAACCACCGTCGAGGACATGGACCTCGCCGTCCGGGCCAGTCTCAAGGGCTGGAAGTTCTTGTACCTCGACGACCTCAGGGTAACGTAACTTCGCATTCCTGTCTTTTATATTCATTAAACCCTTATAAAGATTGGTTCTTAATACGATATTAAAGTCTTCAAAAATGACTAAACAAGTAAATGCCTGTTACACATCGGTCTAGCTAATCTTGATACCAACACTTAATTCAATTAGAGACTACAAGAAGAAAACAAAATGAAATAATTTTCTTTTGAAAGAATACGTGATGCGACACAACATCAATTTGTGGGATCGTTCGTAAGGGAAATCTCTTCATGCCAATTAATTTGATGAAGTAAAGACTACAAGCTTTATACGAATTAGATACGAGGTTTTATGTACGATAATCCGAAATCAGAAGATTAGGATTGTGACAGAACAGAAGTGAACATAATTGACAACTTAATCACAATCCTAATCTTCAGGTTTCGAGCTATCGACTAAATTCCAACAAGCTTTTGTCTAGTTCCATGGGAATGGAGGGTTCTTTTCCCTGCCCTCTTTCCTTTCATGCCTGTCGAAGGAAACTTACATAATACATAAAGATTGATGGTCGGTTGGTTGATTCATTCATTGGTTGGAATTTACCAGGTGAAAAATGAGCTGCCAAGTACGTTCAAGGCCTACCGTTATCAACAACACCGGTGGTCATGTGGTCCAGCCAACCTCTTCAGGAAGATGATCAAGGAAATCGTCATGAACAAGGTCAGTAATTTCTCTCACCTTTTTGTTTCCAATACAAGCTCGGTTTCACCTCATCAGGAAGCTCACCCTTTTTCTTTTCCATTTTTTGTGTGTTGGGAGCTCAGAAAGTGACATTGTGGAAGAAGGTCCATGTGATCTACAGCTTCTTCTTCGTCAGGAAGATCGTAGCCCACATCATCACCTTCGTATTCTACTGCGTCGTTTTGCCTCTAACCGTCGTCGTCCCTGAAGTTGAGGTCCCTAAATGGGGGCTCGTCTACATTCCTTCAATCATTACCGTTTTGAACTCGGTTGGCACTCCTAGGTCGCTTCATTTGGTGATCTTTTGGATCGTGTTCGAGAATGTTATATCGCTTCATCGAACCAAGGCCACCTTCATAGGCTTGCTGGAGACCGGGAGAGTGAACGAATGGATCGTGACTGAGAAGCTAGGAGATGCCCTGAAGGCCAACAAATCCACCAAGGCGCCCAAAAAGCCTCGATTCAGGCTTGGCGAGAGGTAATTATTAGGCATGGTTGATTCATCTCTTGTCGATGTTGAAATTATAAGGAGATCATAACGATGAATGGACGGACCTTCAATCAATCTGTTGTTTTTTTTTGTAGGCTTCATTTGTTGGAGATTCTGACGGGATTTTACCTACTGACCTGCGGGTTGTACGATCTGGCCTACGGACAGTACCGCTACTACCTGTACCTCTTCGTTCAAGCCGTGGCGTTCTTCATCGTTGGAACGGGTTACGTCGGGACATTTGTGTCTCATTCTTGATGACGGCGACATTTAGCGATGAAAATGGTTGGCGCTGGACTTCTCAACTTGGTTTAGTTGGGGGGAAGGGAAATTTGTTTCCTCTATATGTTGTTGGTTTCTTGCATTTCCTCTTCTTCTTCTTCTGATGTATTTTGTGTAAAGGGTTGCCAAAGAGAAAGTAAAGAAGATCATATTAAATTCTTTTAGGGTTTGGGGCATAAAAGGTGTCAAGGTGTTGGGGGATGAGAAGAAGAAAGAAAAAGGGTTTTGTCAATTGGGGTAAATTTCCCATCTATGGTTCCTTGTGAATATATTGTGTGGTAGTTGAAGGTTCAAAGAAGGGGGCCTTTTGGGAAGAGTTGTTACATTTTTAATTTACATACAATGGAGGGGGAACAAGAAGAAGAGGTAAATGGAAGGACAGGTTGTTTGTGTTCTAAATAGAGTAGAAAGAGTGTAATTGTGAGTTACTCCTTATTACTTTTTGGTTCATCATTTTTTTCTATAGCTCCCTATGTTGGGTTTGAGATTTTGGGTTGGAAGTAATAATAAGAAAAGATTAATCTTTCCATGTCAAATTTTCTAGAGGGATTTCCCTTTCTCTGAAACTAGTTTCACTTTCTCATACATATAAAACAACTATCCTAAAGCTCTTATCGATCATTTATCTACTCGAAATTGATATGGAAAGATAAGAAATCAATTCCAAGAAGTTGACATTGTAGTAATGTGGAGATAAGAACATTCACCACGTTCTAAATTCGAATCTTATGATCAACAATCAACGAAAAAAAGAAATAAAAAATCACTATTCTACAAAAAAAAATGTATCGACGTCTGGTCATAAAAAAGTAGAGATATCATTAAACAACGAAGTGAAAAAATCATACAACGGAGAAAGATCCAAAACAACGGGTTCTTTATACCGAGACTAACAGAGAAACGTAATTGTACTGAAGGATCGGCCCAATGTTAGGTGGTCTTCACAGATTGGACCAGGAGACAAAATATTGGACTTCGGCCCGACTGAATCATTTGATTTGGCGAACCCCAGTCACAGGTCCATAATTCATGGTTTTTGGTCCAAGGCCAGCCCAACGAGCGCGATGTTCTTTGACTCTTCAGCGCCACGAAGGTAATAAGTAAATAGATTAAATAACAAAATATCCGCAGTTTCAGACGGCGGAAAATTGGAAGCCCAAAAATATAAAAAATGGAAAAGGAAACCAAACGCCTCTTCGTTTCCTCCGTCGCACGTGCCACACACACGTGGCCGTCACTCGTCCTCTCTCATTCGTTAGTCAAATCTTCGTTCCCATCGCCAGCCACCTGGCCGAACTAACGCCATCCATCCATATCAAAACCCTCCCACGCCAACAACCTTCCGGCTTGCAATCTACACTTCATTCTCTCTCACTACAGCCAATTTCGCCATGGCCGCCTCCTTCTCCATCTCCAGAACCTTCCTCGCCTCCTCCCCGGCATCCGCTGCCGCCGCCAAAGCCTTCCTCCTCCCGCCGGTCTCAATCGCCTCCGCATCCTCCCTCTCCTCGCTCAAAACCCTCCCGCTCCGACTGACCACCAGATCCAGACGATTCTCCGCCACCAGATCCACCGCCGCCGCAGTCCCCTCAATCTCCGCCTCGATCTCCGTCGGCGACAAGCTCCCGGAAGCCACGCTCTCCTACCTCGACGCCGACGACGAGGTCCAGACCGTCACGATCTCGTCCCTCACCGCGGGGAAGAAGGCCATCCTCTTCGCCGTCCCCGGCGCGTTCACCCCGACCTGCTCGCAGAAGCACGTCCCGGGGTTCGTGGAGAAGGCGGCGGAGCTGAAATCGAAGGGAGTCGACACAATCGCCTGCGTGTCGGTGAACGACGTGTTCGTGATGAAGGCGTGGAAGGAGAATTTGGGGATTAAGGACGACGCCGGCTTGCTGCTGCTCTCCGACGGGAATGGAGATTTCACCAGGGCGTTGGGGGTGGAGCTGGATCTGAGCGATAAGCCGGTCGGGCTCGGGGTTAGGTCGAGGAGGTACGCGCTGCTGGCGGAGGACGGCGTCGTGAAGGTGATGAATCTGGAGGAAGGCGGCGCGTTCACTTTCAGCAGCGCCGAGGATATGCTCAAGGCTCTGTGAGTGTGAAGCGGCTGAAGGGCGAGTGGGGACTTTTTTTTACCGTTTTGGTCCTCTGTTATTTCTAGTTTGTCTTTTTAGGTCCCGGAGTTATTTTCGTTTTCTTTGTTGTTTGGTTCTGTTTGAGATGAGGTAATAAGAATGAAACGGAAGGATGGAATTGGAACTTTGTGCTTCCAATTGATTTTTTTGACTAGAAACAGAAACCACTCCTATGCTATGCGGACCTCACCGCTGCTGACTGGAAAGAAAGGCAACCCAATGTATGATTATTATGAACATAACGAAACAAACATTTCATTAGTCCGACAGTCAAAATCGCGTGGTGACCTACAAGCATAAATAGGTAACTGCACTTGTGATCGTAATCGCATACAGCGTGCAAAGTGCAATTCTATGGAGAAGCATACGCATACAACTAACAAGCGCAATTCTACGGAGAAGCGTATGCAATTCTACGGAGAAGTGTGTTGGTGACCAGAACAGAAGCGTTTTGGTGATCAGAAGTAGGAATTTTGTTCCGGCCCAGCCAGTGATGTAGCTAGCTATTACGTTACGGAATAATCCGCCTCGTTCAACTTTGAAATATAGGTGCGTAGTTCATTTCATTTGGTATGATTCGCACGTTTATCTTTACGAATGATATCAGAGACAGAGCTTTGTTATGGAAGGGGGCCAACATAGACTCTGAATTATTAGCATTAAAACTACACTCCACAGAAAAACTTGCAACAAGTTTGGAAAACAGAAGGGTGCGATCAACAACAAGACTACACCCATATATGACAGCAATACAAATATTATGTTTTACATAATCGAACATAGGAGAAAGGAATGGTTCTCATCATGTCATGTGAATATCCCAAAGAAACAAGAGGAATGCAACAAAGTCGATAAGTTAAGATTCAACAATATTGTCTTTCAACATCTAGAAAACAACAAAGAGCAAATCCATAAAGAACATGTTTTTGTTTTAACAAGACTACAACAGGAAACTTGAAAAATGCCCCCACTACTCTGCCTCTTCTCAAAGCTACGTCTCCAACACCACCTGCAACAATGGCTCCTGCAGTTTTTATCAGCGCCGAAAAAACCTGTATAGAAACATTCTGGTAAGCTGCAAGAAAATTATATGAGGCCACCTGAACCTGCAAAACTCGTAAATTGCGTAAGAAGCAGAAACACAAAGGAAAAATAAGTGTCCACTAGATATTACGAACTTCAATTCACTGCTTGTAAGTATACTGAAGATTGCCCTTATCCCAAAACTATGATTGGTTGGTATACCAACGTGCAGCAGGCAACTAGGATTTGTAATAGTTTCAAACCAGTCAACGTAACAACTTAAAAAGATTTCCCTACCAACGTTTCCAAGAGCACAATTCATTTTCAACTTGAATAGACTAAACACTTACCCAAGCAAGAACCTGTACCTAGTGGTTTTACTAAGCTTTTTCAAACTCAGAAGATTCTACAGACCAGACCTGCCCCCGGCTAAACAAAGCTTGCTGAAAAGGGTTTTCAAAGGAAACTACACAAGTTTTAGAGAGGACAATGGTTCAAAACACTTTTTCTTATCCTAATTTGATTTGATAGCCTGTTCAATTGGTTAAAGGAGGTGATAAGTGGAGGGGGGTTGACACAAGACAACTGAACCTGTACTCCACCTGCACAGTGGAAATGGCAGTGAGCTACAGTTCCTGGAGTGGGATAACTAGCTAATTTTCTCTTTGTTATCACGAAAACAAGGTCCGTTTTGAAGATCAACTTAGAGAAGGGGAATGATAAACCAGGCACCTCTTTAAGTTGGTGAGTAGCAGCATCCAGCTTTGATCCCTACTGATACTGATGATCATCCGGGGAGCTACCCCCGCCATTGTTTCTTGCCAATCCATTGCTGTTGTTCCCATCAAGATCACCGCCCCTATTATCAGGCTCTGGCTGCTCTCTCTCCCTGTTCCACTGCTCAATCTTTGCCCTCCTCTCAGCGCTACTCTCTCTCATCTCTCTCATCATTGGAGGACTCCTATTTCTCCTTCCTCCTCCTACAGGGCTTCTGCTCCTGCCCCCTCCCCTTCTTCCAGGCGGACTCCGGCTTCTTGGCCTCCTGCCACCACCACCCCTCTCAAGGTGGTGACCCCTGTCGTCATCTCTTCTCCCGAAGCTACGACCACCATGATGTGGGCCGCCATGAGGAGGACGATCATCATGGCCACGGTGCCTCGGGGGACTACGGCTCCTGCTCCTACTGTTCCTTCTCCTGTTCCTCCCAAATAGCTGCCTCCTCAACTCCCTGAAGTCAATGAACTAATGATCATTAGCTAAACTATAAAAAAATATATCACCACAATTACACAAATAGACTTTAACCGTAAGAATCTCCTTCACCTGCTGATCTTCTTCAAATGCATGAAGTTACAGTATCCGCCTCTGTTGCACACATTTTCCTCATACTGCCTACATGTTGCCTCACGAAAATCCGTCACCGGAGAGAAGTCAACAATGATCGGCCGCCCTGCAAACAGATCATAAACACATAGAATCAAATCATTCAAACACACTTATTTTCAGATCTAATAGCTATAATGCATCATACTCAAAACTGTAATCCGTAAACTAATAACAGTGCACCACCAACAATCAGAAGAATCAATTCAAGCTGTCAAATGTAACAAAATCACAGCTCCTACAAGCTCAAAAAGATTTCTGATAGATCAATAACTAGCTGAAACCATCAGGAGCCACAAAAATCAACTACTTCTATCATACCACTTAATATTATACGCTCAACAAGCTCAAAACTTTGTGAAATCTAATTACTTACAGAGAAGAGAGACATACCTGCATAGAACCTTCCAGTAAGAGCCTGGAGTGCACTGGCAGCATGATCCTCCTCTCTAAACTGGACATACACGTTCCCAACCTGCTCCAAATTCGTGATAAATTCAATCAAAATAAGCACCAAAAAAGGCAAAAAATCAGCAGATATTATGGATAAAGAGAGAGAGAGCAACACCCGAAACGCACCATGTGGTCCGCGAGATTATCACAGATGTTCAAGCTCTCGATGTGCCCGTGCTTGCTGAGCTCCTCGAACAAGTCCTGGTAGAAATCCTCGAAGTGGTCTTGGATCTTGCGAGGGTCGAGCCCCTGGGACTGGGAGGCCGGGTCGACGCCGGGAGTGAGCATGTCGGGCCTCTGGTACATGTTGGCGAGGAGGAGGGTCGGGCTGATGCTCGGCTTCGTGTGGAGGCGAGAGCAGCGGTCGCCGTGGCGACAGGCTCCGATCTTGAAATAGAAGGGGCAGTTCACCCTGTCCTTCTCGGTACCGAAGATCGACGCCAAGTGCTCCGCCATGGTTGATTGATTTTTCTCTTTGGCTCTCTGTTCTCTTCCTGTCTAGCGGCTTTGGTTTCGTCTCCCCTCTTTTTCTTTCTTTGTTTCTCGGCCGCAACGATCTAGGGTTTCTTTTCTGTGAGCGACGGTGCGTCTGCGTTATCACTTATATCAATCTATTATTTATAAGCGGTAGGTATAATATGATTTGTGTAAAACATAAACAATTCGCAGGTTTGCCCGAGTGGTTTAAGGGGGAAGACTTAAGATCTTCTGCACATAAGTGCGCGTGGGTTCGAACCCCACAGCCTGCAATTTTCTTTTCTTTTTTGGAGCTAATCGGCTTATTATCATATGTCCGACTTTGTGTTAGTGAAGTCTTCTTTTGTCCAAATTTCACATAATAGTAGCCCCTAGCAAGATCCATGTTAAGTCTCTAATGTTACGCAAATCTTCAATTCATAATATTGTCGAGGCTACTTATTGTATCATATCGAACTTTGTGTAGTCTCTTATGTTAGGGATTTTTTATGTTTGTATTGTTATGGATGTAACTTTTAGTGCTTTCGTCTAACTCTATCTTAGTGAAACGAGTTATTTAGGACCAAAGCATTGTAATCTTATCGAAAATCCATTTTGAGTCTCTTATAGTACACAAATCTTACTTATTGTCTCGTATCTTGAAGTGACGTCTCTTATGATACAATAATCTCTTGTTTGACTTCGTGTTAGTGAAGTCCACACAATAGAAAGTTGTAATAGGTTCGTCCAAGTCCCTTACGTTACGTATGTTAAAAAAATAATGTGGAGACTACTCATTATCATCTATATGATTTTGTGTTAGTGAATTCACCTTTTGTCCAAATTTCACATATAGAAAGTTGTAATAGGTTCGGCCAAGATCCATGTTTAGACAATTTAGTGGTCTCTCATGTTGTGGCAACTTGATGTTCAGATTTTTGTGGAGGCTACTTATTATCTCATGTCTAACTTGGTGTTAGCAAAGTCATCTATGTTATGGAATTCGTATGTTCATATTGTTGTGGAAGCTACTTAGTGTCTTCTATCTAACTATGCTTTAGTGAAAAGAGTTATGCAGACCAAACCAATGTAAATTGACTGAAAATTCATGTTAAGTTTCTTATGATTCGAAAATCTTACTTATTATCTCTTATCTATGATAGCGAAGTCTCTTTTATTATGGAAGTCTTATGTTCAAACCGTGGTGGGAGAGGCTACTTATTGTCTCATATATAACTATGTTTGTGAAAAGGGTTACACATACCATAGTAAATTGCCCAAAAATGCATTGTTGTGTACTGTGTATGCTACATATTTGCTATTGTCCAACTTTGTGTCGGTGAATATAGTTATATAAATACAACAACACATATCTTATTTTCATTACAATAGACTTATACCAAATTGAATACATTAAAATTACCCTATTATGCTTATTTTCTCGAGGCACTGAATATAGGTGAACAAACTTGCTAGATAGAGGGGATCATAGCCCAGAGACCCGCTGAAGTTATCGTTTCTCATGTACATACCAAATCATAGTAAATTGCATTAAAATCCATTTCGAGTCTCTTCATGTCACATAAACTCTTGCATACTAATATACTCTACAACAGATAACATTCAAATATATAAGAAATTCAAATATGCTGCTCTTAACAGATGGAGCTAATATTCTTTCAATGTTATTTTGAACATTCTATAAGAGCTATAGATTATTTGACTTTGTTTTTATTCAATCGAGAACTCAATTTATATGAATTTCATCTAGCATACTTCTAAACATTAAAATTAAGCTAACCATACAAAATGGGTCAAGGTGAAACCAACTGGAATAGGCATGAAATTTCGTTTGATAGACTGCCTACATTTATGTTTGATCAACTTGCTTTGGATGATGTAACAAGTACAATTGATTAATAAAATCTCCAATGGTTTAAATAATAATAATAACAATAATAAAACAGATGGAGTTACTATTCTTTGTCAAGACTAATTTTTTTAAGATTCTCTACGATCTACTATTAGGTTTGGTTTCCATTCAGAATAAAACTCAACTTATATTAATTTCATCTTGCATCCATCTAAACATCAAAATTAAGTTAACACAACAACATTAAAACGGTGCGGGGGATTGATTATATTGGACCATACTTCTAAGCATTACCAAAATTCACAGAACCTCACAAAAACAAAACAGCTCAGTTAAAAAAAGACAACTTGGGTCCATCGCAGAAAATTATTCAAACCGAAATCTTAAAGGACAACGCCCAACCCGAACCCTACATAAAAAGATTCTTCCGAGATCCGCCCGTCAAATCCACACACCCTCTGCTGCGTCCCATTCATCGCTCTCGCTCCTCAGTTCTCTAGTATGGCTCGACAGGCTTCCTGAAGTTGGCTCCGGCATAGACGGCTTCCGATCCCAGCTCTTCCTCAATCCTCAACAGCTGGTTGTACTTGGCCAGACGCTCAGACCGGCAAGGTGCTCCCGTCTTGATTTGTCCCTGCATGTGGTTTCGAGTAATACAGATGAGTGAAACGATTCTCGAGCAAAGTCAGCAGCAACTAAGACCGGTGGTGTGAGATTGATCATGAATTACCGTGGATAGACCGACTGAGAGATCAGCAATGAAGGTGTCCTCGGTTTCACCACTGCGGTGGCTGGCCATCACTCCCCATCCAGCGCGCTTCGACATCTTCACAGCTTCAATACTCTCTGTCACAGATCCAATTTGGTTAACCTTGAGGAGGAGAGCATTGCAAGCCTTATCCTTGATGGCTTTCTCGACCCTCTGCCGAAATGAAGACAAGCAAGATTTTAGCACAGGCCAAATGAATATAGTACTGAGACAGCAAAATAATAGGAAGAGAAGAGGTTTATATGAGCTGACCTTGGGGTTGGTGACCAAGAGATCGTCTCCCACAATCTGAACCTTCTCTCCTATTTCACTGGTCATCTTGTTGTAGTGTTCCCAGTCGTCTTGGTCAAAGGGATCCTCAATGGACACAATAGGGTACTCTGTCGCGAATGACTTGTACAGATCCTTGAGGGCATCGCCAGAGATCTTGTCAGCACCATTGTTATTCTGCAAACACGGTGACACACAATTAAGTTGTCTACTTGCAAGGGATTCGTGTTTCTCAGAGGTGTGGTGACCATTTGAGAAGAACCATACCTCTTCCTTAAAGTTCAGGTCGTACTTCTTGTCTGAGGTGTAAAACTCAGATGCAGCCACATCCATTCCAATAACCACCTAATCGATGCATGTACAGACTTTTGATTATTAAGATATTCAAAACGATCTCCCGAGAGGCTAATGAATTGAGATGGTAAACGAGCAAACTGACCTTGTCTGAATAACCAGCCTTGGCAATAGCAGTCTTGAGCAACTCAAGACCTTCCTTGTTTTCCTGAGATAAATTTTTTTGCAATACCACATTAACCAACTAATCGCAAGAATGAAACTTCATATTAATCCGGAAACTCCATCAAACAAGCTATACCTGAATGTTAGGGGCAAAGCCGCCCTCGTCACCAACATTAGTTGCATCCTGACCGTACTTCTTCTTAATCACAGACTGCAAACAGATAACAGAATTTATCAATCATAATATCCAAATAAATTGCAGGACGCCCACCCAAGGCAGCTCTACAACGAGATATGCATCAGCAACCATAGTTATAAGAGAAAACACAATCAATGAGGAGTTTACTGGAGACCAACCTTCAAATGATGGTAGACCTCAGCACCCATCTTCATGGCTTCCTTGAAGGAGGAAGCTCCGGTGGGAAGAATCATGAATTCCTGCATAGCGAGCTTGTTTCCAGCATGCGATCCACCGTTGATGACATTGAAAGCAGGAACTGGAAGCACCAGCTTAGAGTTGCCAGCAAGGTTTGCAATGTGCTGCATCCAGACATCATGTAGATATATCAGACACCGTTACAGCAGAACCCACCGTTCTAATAACCCATAACAAACAACCAATACAACAGCTTATAGTATTGAGAAATGGCTTGAAAATGAGCAATCATTTAGACAATCTACCTTGTAGAGTGGGATGCCCTTGGCATGAGCTCCAGCTTTGCAGACTGCAAGAGACACAGCCAGGATGGCATTTGCTCCAAGCTGGGGATTAAGAGGTAAACAGAAGGAATCAGCCCAGGAACTAAAGCCGAAACGAGATTCGGCAATCAATGGCAGGGTGATCTGTCTGTTAAACTAATAACATACCTTCTGCTTGCACCAACCCCACTCGTTAACAGTTCCATCGAGTTGCTGAACCATAAAGGTATCAATAGCAGTCTGCTCCGCAGGGTCCTGTCGACATCAAACAGAATCAAACAAAACGATTCAGTTCAAACCGAACTTAATCTAATCTGAGCTGAAAAGGAGAATGAAATGCGATCCATGGAATGCTACAACTACTAACCTTGCCGATCAATGCAGGGCCGATAATGGAATTCACATTGTTAACAGCCTACAAGCCAAATCGAAAACGAAAATACAACCAGCTTCAGAAATCACATACCAAGCTATACCGATAGAGAATCTCAGAGGCAATCACCATTGGCGACTAACTCACCTTAGAGACACCTTTCCCAAGGTACTCAGATCCTCCGTCCCTGAGCTCAAGAGCCTCGTAAATACCTTGACAGAAAAGGAAGGAATCAAATCAAACAACCATTTCTGATTACTCTCACAGTTTATTCCTCGAATAGCTCAGAAGCTACGTACCGGTAGAAGCACCGCTCGGAACGGCGGCTCTGGCCAAGTAGCCATCGGACAGCGTAATATCAGTCTACACACAACCAACCGAAACGAAATGAAAAAGTCAATCAATCAATCTTAAGCTCCATCGAAACAAACTCGGAAACAACATCCTCAATGCGCAATAATCATCATAAGTTTCATAGATCCTCAATCGTATTTAATTAATCAACCAGCGCAACCGTTTATGGAAACCATTTGCGAGAGGTAAGAGATAGAGATGGAACGAACCTCGACGGTGGGGTTACCGCGACTGTCGAAGATCTGGCGAGCCTTGACAGAAACGATGGTGATCGCCATGGATGAGGAAGCTTCGTTAGATCTAGAAAATCACGAGGAAGAGGGAATAGAGACAGAAGGCAGTTGGTTGGAGTAGTGACCAAAGGCGGAAGACATCCGGTATATATGTAGGACAAAATGCCGGGGGAGCCAAGAAAAATCACAAGGCGATCGCAGCCGTTGGATGAGATCGACGGTTGAGATGTACATCTCGTTTTTTTTTTCTTTTCTTCTGAACTCTCTCCCACGGCGCAACGTGGATATTCCCTCTCAGCCCTTTTTTATTCTATGGGCCTGCGGAGCCGTTTGCTTGACTTTCGGTTTGCTGGTATTGTTTGAACTTTGAACTCATGAGAGGCGTGCTTTGTTTTGGTAAGGAAAGAAAGTTGCTGCTTTTCCGTAGCTTTTCTTTTTTGTAAATGTGGTTAGTGGTTCTAATTGTTATTATTAATTTTTAACCTATTTATTCCAATCAAACTTAGTAAGTGTTAAATATTGAGATGGTAGGTCGACGTTTAGCACGTCCTAACAAGATTATAATTGAGATGATTGATCTAATGAACTCGTATGATAAAAATTTGTAGGTTGATGTTACAATTGTTGTCCCACACATCCTTTTGGTAGCTTATCGATTGTTAGCACGCTTTTGAGGCAATTAGCTTCTTTAATCAAGCATTTGAGATCTAAACCACTTGATCTTTTTATTTCTTTAATCATCATAAGAAAATGGATTTTTTAGATATCGACTAGTCGCGTAGTCATCTAAATTGTTATGTTAATATGAATAATTCAGGCTAAACTAATCCAAGAACAAAACAATGGCATAATTAGCAACTTAATTAGGTTGCGACAAGGAGTGCATACTGAGGTATAGATGACATGGTGTTTAAATGAAACTCTAGTTTGGTTCTTCAAACAAAGATAACATCTCCTCCAGCAAAAGCTCGTCAATTCTCTTCCACCAATACTTGATGGTGTAGTGCGGAGAACCCAAATCATTCATGAAGCTGTTCAAAGATTTGGGGTATTCGTTTAAAGCAGAAGGGTTGACAAAAGAGCTACTAATTGCCCAAGCACAGATACACAAACATTAGATATACTACCTAACCTCTCCCGTCTACCTGCTTCAACACACTCCACAAAATGTTCAAAACAGCGATAAAGCAAACACCCCAAGCTTCACTTTCCCTGCTGGCAAACCCCACCTTCACTTTGCATCACCGTGCTTGGCTTTGGTATGAGATTGCAGAGCATTATCAGAGCCGAATGTCCTGTCCCAAAAATAGAACCGACCAACGTAAAGAAGACCGTACATGCAGTTTCCGGAGATGGGGGGTTGTTCTTCATTTGAAGAGATTCAAGGCAAGGGAGTTTACCTGTCGCAGGACTTGCAAACATGAGACTTGGAGTCACTGGTGGATGCTGTCTTCGATGCTTGCTTCGCAGGGTGAGGTGTTGCCTGGTGTTCACCGGCTTTCTTCCCGCCTGCAGAGTAAAGTTACATCGATAAAGGGGTTCATGATGAAAAGACAGTGTTTCTGGGAACTTGTAGCGAATGCAATTGATGTTTGATACCAAATCAGTAGAGGGATTAAGGAGAGGGCTGCAGTGTATCAATACTGAAACTATTACCAGTTTTCTGAGGAGTGACCAACTTGGTCTTCTTGCTGGGAGCAGGGGTCTTTGCCTCTGGAGCAGATCTCTTTTTGCCCGTATCCTTCTTCTTGGAGAGAAAAAAAGCTCACTAGTTAGTCATCATAGCCTACTCCAAGGAGGAACTCATAAATGGTTAAACTATATATGTACAGAAATTACCTTTGTGTCTGCCAATTCCTCCTCATCAGTTTCTTCTTCATCATCACTGTCGTCGTCTTCATCGTCATCCTCCTCGTCACTCTCACCCTCAACTTCAACCGGCTTACCCTGAAAACATCATCCAGTATTAGAATCTGACCAAGGGGAATAACGGTTCAACATGCAAATGGCAGTTAGGAAACGTGAATAAAAATGAACCAAAGTATTTTCACTCTGGTTGCCACTTCCAATGATAGGAGGAAGAACAAGAAGTCTTGTACAAGAGTATCCACGCCGGACCTCCAAGGTAAATGGTATGAAATTGATACACAATGCTAACAAAGCCACATGTATGCATCAAAACAGCACCTGCGTAGCTAACCAGCGATCTTCATCACTAGAGTCATCGTCACTTTCCTCATCATCCTTCTTAGGCTCAATAATTTGAACATGCTTAGTTCCAGAGGGACCAGATTTGGCCTTTTCCCTTTTAGCCGGCTTGTTCTCATTAGTGAGAGATATAGGTCCACCTGCCAAAAAAAAAAAAAAAATGGAAGACGTCAAAATGAAAAGCAAGACTTTGTTGTTAACAAGTACAACCAGGAGCGTGTTGTATAAAAATACCATTGACAGCAGCAGCTGGAAGAGGCTCCATCTCTGACTCAGAGTCTTCATTTGTGAAAGAAACACAAGATAAGGTCAAGGAGAAAACAACATTCTAATAATGCAAAAAGCGGAAAACTTGCATCACTACACACACAGTACATATGCACTCTGCGCTGCTTGCGTTCACTGAAAGAAAACCCCTACAAAAGACAAGGTCAAGGAGAAAACTCTGCACTGCATCAGAGGGGAAAAAAAGGATATTCAGCTTCACGAACTTGGTAACCCATGAAGTATACACTCCCATTCTTCCCGGTATGAGATAACTCGAAATCTCGTTCAAACACCAAATCAAATTGCAACTGAGGAACCTTCTCTGGGTAAAGTGTCCCAAGAACGAGCTTCTTGCCCCCAACCTTCACAGACAGGGAAACCGAGCCGTTTCCCTTGTCCTTCTTACACTCACCAAGAGTAGCCTGCCCCAACAAACACCAGACTTAGAACAGTATTCGGACCTCAAAAACCCCAAATCAGTAGATAATAAACAATTCAATTTTCCAGCTCGAATCCCAAAAGGTCAACAACCTGCGAAAGGTGCAGAATGAAGTCATCCCCACACTGAACCGGGAGCGGCTCTCCACTTTTCACCTCAACACCTAATCATCATCACATACAATCAACATAACAACGAATCCATCAATAAGTTCAAACAGCATTTAAACCACAGTCCGATTCAAGCGTAACGAAAGCGACCTAAACAGAGGAAACGACAGCGAGAAATCGCCAACGTTGACAACCAGAACCAGCAACTCTTCACCATTCTAACACGGAAACCCTAGAATCGGTTGAAACGGAGAAATTGCGGGACTGATAACGTGAGAGATAGAAGACTTACCCCAGAACTGCATTGCGGCTTATCGAGAGAGCTCGACGACGAGGAAGAATCCAAGGGCTTCTTTCTAGAGATTTCGCTTTCTCTTCAGTGTTTCCGCGAAATGGTTGGGTTTGGGAGGCAAGAGAGTCGGGGGATCGTTTTTGAAACACTGTGGTGGTGAACTCTCTCTGCAGTGCGCGTGAAGTACAAAGGGATTTTAAACGGGCCGGATGGAACTGATAGTCAGGCCTGGCCCACGAAATCTCAAGCCCGTAAGCTAAGTGGGCAATGGTCCGGACAAAGCCCACCCATCCACGGCTGCAACGGCCAACAACCGCCAAAGAAGGGTGTTCGTTATGCAAAGCGGCGTCGTTGCCTTCATCTTCATCGTCAAAATCAAAGGAAAAACAGATTGGTTTTGCTCATTGGAACTGTCGCTCTTCAAACACTGTCAAACAGTCCGAGCCGCAACAAATAAACAGGAACTCAGTCGAGCTGAAGAAGTAAGAGAGAGCAGCTCATTGAAGAAGGGAAACCAAGCTCGGGAAAAAGGCGGGATCTTTGGTCAAGGGGGACGAAGCAAACGTGACTTGCTGATGGATTTGGATCTGGGTTCGCTTCTTCACTCCCTGATTCCCTCCTGGAACTCTGTAAGTTTCTCCTCCTAGCCAAGCTCTGTACAATGCTGGATCTTTCTCTGACGACTTCTAGTGGCAATTCGTGCTTAGGTTGCTGTATTGGGTGTGTATTTCGGGTATCTGGCTATTGCTGGATCTATATTGCCTGGGAAAGTAGTTTCGGGTGCTACCTTACAGGATGGCTCCCGTCTCCATTATCGCTGCAATGGTCTGTTCTAGTCTCCTTTCTGATTGATGAGATGTGTTGGAAACTTCTTTCTGTTGTATGTGCTGATTGGAGGACCCTTTACAGGCTTGTTGTCTTTGTTATTGCTGGTTGGGCTGCTTGGTGTTGGAGCTCAGATGGAGATCGTTTCAGCTACCGTGAGTTCCGTAGCAATGTTTGAAATTCTGAGAGAATTGGTGTCTTTGTGCTGATGGTTCTCTGAGAGCAATGTTTGCAGGTGATATCGGAAAGAGGACTTGAGCTTCTGTCAGCGACATTTATATTCAGTGTTGCGGTGAGTGATAACTTCACAAGCATTCTGCACTTTTGTTACGCGATTGAGTTTTTTTTTTGGGGTTCATGTATTTCGATGTTACGTGTAAAACTTCAAATCCAGGTGACGATGATGCTCTATGTAGCTGGTCGCATGTCAAAAGATAAGGGTTCTTCCCTTAGGCCTCATGTCACTGGGAACCTTATAGAAGACTGGTAATCTGACCCCATATAAATCCTTATAACTTGACATTGATGTTTATTTCTTGCTGGGATAGTTTTTTGCAAATTAAAGTTTCATGGCAATCTTGATTCCATTTTTGTAACATGGATAAGGGGGATTGTGTTTTGCTGAATTTAAAGCTGCCATCCCTTGTGTGGAACATGAACTTAGATTTTGATGAGCAAGGATTAAGCATCCCAACTATACAACCATTCTTCCCTCGTAACTTGAGCATTACTGTGAAAACTAGATTTGATGGTGATAACAACGGAAAAACAGACTTCTAGTGCACAAGTCAAACATTGGATCATCCACATGATCTTCCCAATTTGTATTGTATGGATTCTGCCAATCTGAATATTCTGAAATTATTTTCTTCTTGTGCTATTCTCCAGGTGGTTTGGAATACAGCTTAATCCTCAGTTTCTGAGTATTGATTTAAAGTATGTAAGCTTAATCCCTTTGGTTTAACTTGGTTCTTTCAGTAAAAGCATTGAGCTAATTGTAAATTAGTTTGCTTCTGCAGATTCTTCTTTGTTAGAGCTGGAATGATGGGATGGCTGTTTATAAACCTGTCGGTTTTAGCAAAGAGTATCCAAGATGGTACCCTGAACCAGTCAATGATCCTTTACCAAAGCTTCTGTACAGTAAGTTGCTATTTTATACTTGACAGTGTGATTTCTTTTGAAGAAACATAGGTTTGATATCCCTGATGAATCATTTGCTCTCGGCATCCTTATCCAGTTATACATCATGGACTACTTTTTCTACGAAGAATACATGACATCTACGTAAGTACGCCCAAAGAACATGTTTTTTGCCCCATTTCGTGAACTGTAGTTGTTTTTCTGTGGTTGAAACTCCAGTATGATCCTGGTCTATCTGAAACTTTCTGACTATTCATATTTCTTTCTGACATTCTCATTTCTAGATGGGACATAATTGCGGAGAGATTGGGCTTTATGCTGGTGTTTGGGGATCTCGTTTGGATTCCTTTTACCTTTAGCATTCAGGTATTTAACATTGCACTCCCTAATCTTCTACCAATTCGGAGGAAAACTTGGCATAACTTATATCAGATGTTATGATTCAAACTTTTAAACAGGGATGGTGGCTGCTAAGAAACAACGTGGAGCTAACAACAGCAGCCGTCATTGCTAATTGCTTTGTGTTCCTGATGGGGTAAACAGAGAATAATGCACTGCCAATATATTTCACTTGTTTATACGTATTACCTAAACTCACACTGCTGGAGTGTATTAAATCATCTGCAGATATATGGTATTTAGAGGAGCTAACAAGCAGAAACACGATTTCAAAAAGGATCCCAAAGCGCCAATATGGGGCAAGGCGCCGAGAGTCATTGGAGGAAAGCTGCTGGCTTCTGGATATTGGTATGTTTGTGTTGGTTAATTGGTTATAACCCCGATCTCGAGATGCTTAACTCTGTCGGGGATCACTGCTTCACTCCGATGTATGATCTTGACGCTTAGTGATGTTGTTCTTTCGTGAAGGGGAATTGCAAGGCATTGCAACTATCTTGGTGACTTAATGCTGGCTTTGTCATTCAGCCTTCCGTGCGGAATAAGGTAGTCATGTTCTCAGCTTCTCAGTTCCGACTTCCGAGTTTCTCCCTGGAAAGCTCATCTTCTGCCTGCCATTTTCTTGCAGCTCTCCGGTTCCATACTTCTACCCAATCTATCTTCTGATCCTGCTGATATGGAGAGAAAGAAGAGACGAGGCTCGCTGCGCGGAGAAGTATAGAGAAGTTTGGGCAGAATACCGTCGATTGGTTCCATGGAGGATATTGCCGTACATGTATTAGAACAATCTCTGGAAATGAACCCTGGGTCCTTGTGTTTGTATGCTTGTGTACGCTTAACCACTTTAGTCAGAGCGCTAACTTGCTTAATTCTTCAGCTTGAACACCAGACTATATTTGTTATCGTTACTTCTTTGGGTTACAATTTATAGCATGAAGCAACCCCACGCTCTGTGTGTTAAACAAGAGAGAACAGGGTAACCTCTGAAGAGGGAAAACCAGCGCAGCAATGGCGGAAAACAGAATGATTGCTGATCAAGAAATAATACTGCTTGAGTTTTGACGCTGTCATCGGAATTCTTTACCGGGAGGGATCAGGAAATCCTGGTGATAGTTTGCGAGGAGAGCTTTACCGTCCACCACCAGCTGCCGCCGCAGCAGCAGGGGAAGGAGGCGGCCGACGGCTGAGGAAAAATCCGCGGGAAAATCGTGAGACGGCTGAAACGCCGAAACGCGATATGTTTCGAGTCCTCAAAACCGAATTCGAAACGCGGTAACGATATCTCGCGATATTTATGCCTTCTGTGACAGGACAGGACACCCAATTGGCCCCTTATTACGGTTTAACCGTTGGATAGTCGAGACTCGAGAGTGCAAAGAGGGTTTTAGCGGGAGAAGGAGCTCAGAACCACCGCCGAAGCTCTGCAATGGCGGCGAGGCAGCTGCCGCGGCGTCTCCTTCCCATACTCAATTCCCCAACACCCAGAAAAAACTTCCCTCCGACTTTCTCTTCTCCTTTCTGCTCGCTCTCTCCGCCACAGCAAGCCGAAGACCAGGACCGGCATGAAGTAGTTGAAAAGCTGTTGGGTCTCCTTCAAGAAGGCGGCGAGACGGCGGCTTACCAATTCACCAAATCCCTCGTTCTATCAAAGTCTCCGTTCTCGTCACCCTCCGATCTCCTCTCCTTCATCTCCGCCGCTTCTCCGTCGATCAGACCTACTCTCTCCCACATGTTGCTCGCCATAAGCTGCGAGTCCAAAATGGAAGGTCAGGGTTACAGGGGAAGAAGGGATCTTTCTCCCTTTTTAGCTGCCAGGGAGTGTTTAGGGGCGCTGGTGGAGATGAAGCAGTTCGAAAAGGTGCTGTCTTTGTTTGCGGAGACAATGGAGTTGGGTTTCAGGCCTGATACGTTCATGTACGGGAAGGCTGTGCAAGCCGCTGTGAAGTCAGGGGATCTGAAGAAGGGTACGGAGCTTTTTGAGTCGATGAAGAGTTCTGGAGTGCGTCCTAATGTGTTTGTTTTCAATGTCCTGATCGGTGGGCTATGCAAGGAAAGGAGAATCCGGGATGCAGAGAAGGTGTTCGACGAAATGTGTAAGTGGAATTTGGCTGCTAATAAAGTGACGTACAATACATTGATCGATGGTTATTGTAAAGTAGGAGAAGTAGAGGCAGCATTTGGTTTGAGAGGTAGGATGAGGAAAGAGAACGTTGAGCCGAGCATTGTAACTTTCAACACGCTGCTAAGTGCCTTGTGTAAGGCTAAGAGAATGGGGGAAGCCCAAGTGCTGTTGAAGGAGATGAAGGAATGTGGGTTTGAGCCGGATGGCTTCACTGTATCCACCCTTTTGGATGGCATGTCAAAGAGTGGCGATGGAGCAGGCGCATTGGAATGGTACGAGACAGCCATTTCGGATGGAGTTCGGATCAATAACTACACCAGCAGTATTCTTTTGAACGGGTTGTGCAGAGAAGGTAGAGTTGAGAAGGCTGAGGAGATTTTGACGAAACTGGAGAGTCGCCTAACTCCTGATGAGGTGGTGTACAACACAATTGTGCATGGGTACTGTCTGGTGGGCGACATGGATAAAGCGATTTCGATCGTGGAGCGCATGGAAAGAAAAGGGTTGAGGCCCAATAGCATCACTTTCAATTGCTTGATTCACAAGTTTTGCGAAATGCAGAAGATGGATGAGGCGGAAAAGTGGATAGAGAACATGGTCAAGAAAGGAGTTGCTCCAACTGTGGAGACTTATAACACACTGATTGATGGCTACGGACAAGCATGTGTATTCGACAGGTGCTTTGAACTTCTAGATGAAATGGAAGCCAAAGGGTTAAAGCCCAATGTGGTAAGTTATGGTTCATTGATAAACCGTTTTTGCAAGCAGGGAAAGATCCTTGAAGCAGAAATAATGCTTCGAGATATGTTGGCAAAGGGAGTTCTTGCTAATACACAGATATACAATATGCTCATTGATGGCAGCTGTTTGGCTGGGAAGTTGAAAGATGCTTTGAGATTCTTTGATGAGATGACGAGGAGTGAAATCCCCTTTACGCTTGTGACCTACAATGCATTGATGAACGGTCTCTGTAAGAAGGGGAAGTTAACTGAAGCAGAAGACTTGCTTCGTGAAATTACGAACCAGGGTCTTAGCCCAGATGTCATAACCTACAATTGCTTGATCTCTGGATATGCAAATGCTGGAAAGAGGCAAAAATGTCTCGAGGTCTACGAAACTATGAAGAAGTCAGGAATCAGACCCACTGTAAGTACATACCATCCGTTGATCAATGAATGTAGCAAGGAAGGAGTGGAGATTGTGGAGAAAATTTTCAATGAAATGTCGCAAATGAACTTGGTTCCCGACAGAGTTGTGTATAATGCCATGATCTTTTCCGTTGTGGAGGCTGGACTTGTTGACAGAGCCTTCAGTTTACATGATGAGATGAAAGCTAGGGACATTGTTCCAGACAAGATGACCTACAATAGTCTGATTCTGGGATGCGTTAGAGAAGGGAAGTTGCCCGAAGCGAACAGTCTCGTTGATGACATGAAGGCCAAAGGGCTTGCCCTAAAAGCTGATACTTACAGTATTCTGATCAAAGGGTACTGTGACCTAAAGGATTTTGGTGGAGCATACACTTGGTACAGAGAAATGTATGACAATGGTCTCTTACCAAACATCGGTATGTGTAATGAACTAGTCTCCGGCCTTCGAGAGGAAGGGAAAGAGGAAGAAGCCCAGATTCTGTGCTCAGAGTTGGGCGTTAAAGGTGTGGATGATCAGAGCACCAGTGAGGACCTTTCTGTACAACATGTGATCTCTTAAAGGAAGTTATTTGGGTGAGATTAATAAGCCTTGTACTCTTGATTTATATGTAACTGTCATCTTGTACTCTTGATTTATATGTACAGATGGTATTTCCTCTCTGCTGTCTTATTTTGTCTGAAATGCTTTCGGAGAAAGCCTAAAAGGGTATTGGACAACGATTCATTAGTTTGTAAATGTGCTGGTCTGCTCCTTTCTACTCATATATCCAAATAGCGCCAGAATTTGCTTGCTTTGTTTCTACATTAGTACGGAACAGTAGGTAAAATTGTTCCAACAGAAAAGAGTGATAGCTGAAAGAGTGTGCTCGAGCGCAAATTTAGTTTTAACTCCATTTGTTGGTATAAGTTAAGGAAGTAAAACTTGTATAGTTCTTTTACACTAACTCACATTCGTGAAATTTGTACAATCATCGATGATTACTAAGACTACTATGTTTTCAATATTGGTTCGATTCGAACGAACCTCAAAAGAATCCTCAAGAATGTGTAACTGATTCGAACGGCTTCTCGGGGTGATGGAACTGTATCATTTGCTTTTGGTAAATTCTATTATGGTATTACCGATGCTTATACACGAAATTACAAATCCTTTGTGATGCTATGAGATGATGGCTCACTCCTAATTTTTTTTTATTGTTACTTTTAGTGGAGATTCTCAATTGTGTTACATTGGTCACTTTCATGTCTTTGCTCCGGATAGTTTTAACAGAACTGCCCATATGCCCTGAGAAATTATTAGTTATTTTTTGATTAAATTATCGTTCTTGGTTATTGTCTGCGTAATAATCTTGTTGTTCCGCCATATGCCCTGAGAGATTATTTTGGATAAAAAAAATGGAACCTTGAACCCTAAAGAGGGTGCTCTTATTTGACTATCGCGGTAGTGTCCATGGGAACTATGACATTTCACCTTGATTTATGATCGTGAATCGCAAAACGCCTGATTAAACAACTACTAGTGATACTGATTAGAACATCCTAATCCAACCGGCATGAGGATTGTAGCCTGATCAGTCCAATACTTCAATTAGGGTGATAGGTGGCTGGTTGGGTGGCAGTAGGTGGGAAGCTCTCCTTTTTTCCATTACTTCCCCCTCTTTACTTCTCATTTTGAGTTTTTCTTTTGAACACAATTTTGGGAGGTTCAGAAAACTATGATGAATGAAGAAGAAGATAAGCTTTCTTCCTTGTAGTTGAGTGCAGTGGAGGATTCCTTGTGTCACTTTCTGCCGCTTAACAGACACACATCAGTTGAATGATTCCTTCCCCTTTTTCTCTCTCTTTTTTTTTTGGGCTTCTGGGTTTTCACTTTGGGGTGAAAAAAGAGGAAGGACAAGTGGGGTGTGGGAGCCATCCAAAGCAACGATCTATAATCTATTCATCTCATCACATGGTGCCCATCTGACCCATGACTGCTGCGTCGATGGTGATTTTGGCTTTAGCTTTTAATGCCTTTGTAGTTTGTACTACTTTGGTTTGGGCAATGATGGGCCTGGGGCATGCGTCTCCCGGCGGATCGTGGATCCGTAAAATATCCGACAAATTCATGAGAGCAAGCGAATGCGCGATCCAGTTCGAATTCGTTTGGTTACTCCATTCAATTCAAGGTTTGGAAAGGTCCACTATAAAAGAGATTTGTGTTTGATCCAAGAAGGACCATCACAAAAATGGGCTTATATAATAGAAGTCCATTTTTTACACCTAAAACAATAAACTAGTTAATGACATAGATTGAATACACGACTTTGCTTCTGCTGAACCAAGTATGGCATCAATTTGGAAGGCTCCAACAGATATGTTGGGGCGACGTCAAGGACCCACTGCGCGCACTCGAGTGGAAATTGGGTGGTTGCCACCTCCACCTGGTTGGGTCAAAATGAATGTAGATGGAGCCTCTAACGGGGAGCAGGGGCGAGCAGGGGCTGGGGGAGTTTTACGGGATGCTAACAAGCTTTGGATAGGGGGCTTTGTCTCCAGCCTTGGATCATGCGCAGCAGGTATGGCGGAAGTTTGGGCGATCTACCATGGACTTAAAATGGCTTGGGCTGGCGGTCATAGAGTGATCATTTTGGAATCAGATTCGCAGACGGCGATCCATCTCGTGAATAACAGATCGGACCCCCTCCACCCTTATGCGACGCTACTCTCAGCTATTAGGCGCTTGATGTCTCAAGACTGGGTGGTGAAGCTAGTTCATACCTACCGGGAAGGGAATAGAGTCG